TTTAATTATAAAATATATTTGCATTATGTTAATCACATGAGTAATATGATATGCCTCATATAAACATTTTTAATGGAGTGGCGTTAAACAATTTTTGCGGTTCGCTTTCATATTTTTCTCGTATGTACTAAATAAGAACTTTCCTGACTGACATTGTAATCCTTTCGATATTTTTTGTCTTTATTCTCAATAATTCGAGCGAAAACAGTTTGTTAATCGCCTGCAAATCTCGGGCAAGATTCCGTCATTTTACTCTTTTGTTTACAATTTTAAATAAAAAATTACATCATGCACCAAAAATAATTTCAATAGTTGGTGGGTGGCGAAATAATGAAAATTGTTTTCAGGCTATTAGCCAATCACAATGGAGATTGTCACTTCATTGTATAATACTATTTAATATTCGTATATGGATGTCATAAACTCTAAAAAACAACTGTTTTTAAGGATATTAATTTAAAAAGTGCTTATATGAATAGTACCAGAACAGTTTTTATCAAACTTTTACTTTTACTGATAAAACAAATTTCATATTAAGAGACACACCAAATATTAGCAACTCGAATGTAAAATGTATTACATAAATTCCATTGTAATATTTCTTGTGACCAGTCCTTTCAGATGCACACATATATTATTACGCATGTGATCTACATAATGGCAACAATTAGCTACATTTTTTTTACCACAATTATTGCTGAGCTGGTTAGTACGTGATTGAAGCGAATGAACATAATAGAAATTCGTATTTTCTAGCAAAAGCTTGTTTACATTTGTTTTTATTTCCTTTTTAAAGTCAAGTTGTTTTTACCATGAAATATAATTTTCTTTCGCAATAGTTCATGTAACAGCAGGAAAAACCCGTTAATTCGCATTTTATAGACAAAGCTTATTTTTGTTCTAAGTAATCAGAATAGAAAAAGTCTTCAACGTAGTAAAAAGTGTAAAATTAATCTTCAGATTTTAATCAAATCATTAGAATCAATGGTGGATCTTGTGTTATAGTAAAAATGAATTATAGGCTGCAATATAATAACAAAAAATTCTAAATAAAAAATTTTACCAGTCGGCTTACCCGAATAAAAATGATATAAGTTGTATTTGCAGCATTTTCATGCAAATTTACTCATAATTTTCAAGCCAAAGTGTTACATAATGAGGATGAAACCAGTTGCGTACGAGAATCGTTAATTGGGGGGGGGGGGCACATATTCATACATCCATGTTCTGCCGCATTAAGCTCCTTTGAAATCCATTGTTTTCAACGGATTAAGACATGCATATATGAATTTGTGCCCCCCAATGAACGATTCTCGTATGCCACTGGATGAAACTCAAATGGTTTTCCAAATTCACAATTTCAAATAATTATCACAACAATAAAAATGTTTTTATAATTGAAGAATGCGTGTCCACCAAGATGCATTGCGCGTTTATCACAACGTGGCGGCCATTTTGTTGTTCAAGAAAATGGCGGATTTTGTTATTGTAGTCTTGCAACTTAGACAAACAATAATAGTTAATGTAAAACAGAGTTTTTAATTAATGTTTTTTTCGCGAACTTTTTCTTATGAATTAGACGGCGTAGCGATGAAATTGATTTCATTGCGCTGCAAGCTCAAAAATTCATGCTGTAAACATAAACAAAAGTGTGCAATGTATCTTAGTTGTCACACATTCTTTCATTAAAAAACAAGACATCTTTACAAATACATAATTATCATTCTAATACCCAAACAGACTGCCAGACGTGCAGCATGGCTTTTAAACTCTTTATCCCAAAACCAACGATTGAAAAAATTACACCTTATCATATGTTTTCAATTAAAAACATGTCAACAAATTTAGCCAAACAATACTTTGGAAAATATTTATTTCTATTTTGCAATATATCTAAGGTTCAAAAAAAATTGCTAGTGAAATATTTCATGAGCATTTTTATCCATTGATTACATAACTTATTGTTAAACTATTGTTGAACCATTATTAATAGTAAGATTGGGCAATGACAAAAGAATATAAGTCAAATCGTCGGTTGAAACATCCGCTGTGGAGCTACTTCTACAGCGCATTTCAAATTTCCATAGAAGAAAGCCAAGATGAGCGTTTCGTCTTCATTGCTGAGGTTGGCAAACAGGAATCGTATAAAACCACCTTTTGCTCAATAGAGAAGCCTTTTAGATCATTTTGCATCCTTCACATTGAAAAACTTTTATCGATGCTCATTTTTTGTTAAAAGCTACTCAGATGTACACACAATTCGTATCTATTTTTAAACTATAGTTGCGGATACGTCAATAAACACTTTATATTTTACTGTACTAACGAAGCCGACTTTACAGTTTTAATTCTTCCTTTTTCAGAAGAAGAAAGAAAAACAACATACAAACCATTTTATGTCTTTAAATGTTCAAGTTACAACTTTCTACATTTCAACTACAACTCACTTGAAACTGGTGTCTTGCCTTTAATTCTAGCTTTAATTTAAAGATGTTTGTTTCTTTCTTGGAATTTGTTTTGTCGTCTTTGTTGCCTTCTCTTTGTTTTAAAAGTACAATACGAAATTAAATAAATTATAGTGAATCAGCTTTTGTATATTTTAAATAATAAATAGCATTTTTTATAACAGACTTATCTTTCCAAGTTCCATGCAATAAAGATAACTATGATAGACAAATAAATTAATCGAATGTTTTAACAAATTAAATCAATTGTATGTGTCAATGAACTAACGTCGTACTAACAAAGCCTTCTAAGGACTTTCAATCCTTCCTTTCTCAGAATGCGGTTATTCCAAAAGAAAGAAAGACGGTTTAATGTTGAATTTACGCTGCAAAACAAACTTATCCAGATACTAAACGAGGGCAAGCGTGACGTATAGAATGGTGTTTTTACTACTTTACACTACGCAATCTATTTCTCAAAAGTTTTTCTTTGGCTTTTGCGATACAATACATTTTGAAGTTGAATAATGAAATCAGAAGAAAAGACACACGAAAATAAACCAGCAAAATAAGTTTTAGTGCTGTTTCGAATATGTAGATGAGAACTGTTGCAATGGAAAAAGTACACCCACAAAAATTGTCAAAACTAAAAGATGATGACTCTGCACATGTGTCGCGTGAAAAAAAGGGCAAACGAGAGCTAGAGATATAACCATTTACTTTTGTATTTAACCATTTATGTGCCAACAGAGATAGCGTCGAGAAACCAACTAGTATCGTGTTCACAGAAATTGTCGTGGGATCCAAATGTCTATTATTGCTTTTCAAAAAGATACGCTACTGTCGTAAGTGTGTTCAGCGTATGTGAAACACTTACATTTGCCAAGTCGAAGCATGATAAGACAAAAATATTAAAATAGCAAAGCTTCTTTCGTAGCTGTGAACAACGCCATTTGGAAATAATCACGACTGAATTTAATACTATTCCACAGATTTGTGAATAAATATTTACAATGCAGAGAACAACCCCGTTCCAAAAATTCATTTGTTTTTTAAGAAAAAAAAATTAAAACTTTTCCATAACTTTGATCTTTTGTCTTTCAACTGATAAAACGAGAATTGTTTACAAGCTACAACATACGGTAGCGGTCATTCCACAACCTGTATATGTCTTTTTTTCTTTACGTTCAATATGCACTAATTGCAGCCAATGAAATTGCTCAAAATTATTTTTTAAAATCAGCACTTTAAATTGACCAATTACAACAATGATTGGCTTAAGTTGAATGCAGCTACCACTTCATGTAATAATAGCTAATGTAAATATTTGAAGGGCACACACATTGATCCAACAAATTTGATTGGCTGTGGGTTTTTTGAGTTGGAAAACGAAATGAAGACAAACGTACAGTATTAAAGCAATTAATAACTCTCGTCTTTCAGGCTTTAACTATGTATATACATACAGAATGTATAAGAAAAACGGAAAAGTTTGGTAAACGTCGCTAAAGTCGTCAGCGCGCCAAATTTGCAAAAAAGCGTTTGGTGGAAATAGGTATTTAGACTTCCAATGGCTTACATATATGAATGACGGTAAAATTGTCGTACAAAATAGAATGAGAATTGTGTTGCCAAGAAGCGCTTTTGTAAGAATTTTAGCATGAAAATGACAAAGTTAAAAAGCAATTTGAATACATAGAGTTAAAATATGACACATGTTCTTCAAGCTAACAGAGTTTTAGAAAATTTTGCAGATGCAAACGCTAGAGCTTACAGCGTTCAAATTGCGAATTTATTTGAATTTTTCGTTTTTACATGCCATCTTGTTATGATCCTCATCAATTATGCGTTAATTTGAGCTAAAGTTAATCCAAATATGAATAATATATAATCTGAAAGGTAATCCGTAATCTGGATGCCTAGCGTTCGTGCGCAGTTTGGCTAAATTTCAAGGAAGTTTGCAAGCTTCAACAACATGTCCCATATTTTAATTCTGTATGTTCCAATTGATTTTTAGATTTGTCATATTTGTGCGCAAGCTATTTGAACGGTAACACAAATTATCAATGGGGAGTCCACCTACCTATTTCATTAAAGGTTTCTGCAGATCTACCCGCAGATCAGTTTTTATATACACCCTGCATATATACAAAGTAAAAAATTTAGAATTTTTAAGTTGTCTTTTTTCTAAAAGATAAACTTTTAAGATATGTCTTGCGTGCATACTTACTCATTTTTGTCACCCGTTACAATATAGCTATGACAGATAACTATATTGTATCATATATTGTGCCACAAATTAATCGAAGTGATGTAGCCAGCTTTTTGCCTAGTTTATTAACCAGTTGAATTTTAATAAATTTTGTTTTTCGTAGTGACGTAATAATGACGTAAGTCACCTAAAGCTGCTTGCTATCTTTTGGCAGAGTTCTTCCAAATATAATTTCAAATCAATATATGACAAAGAATGATTCCAATAAAGAGTGTTGCCATGTAACATACATATAATTATTTGTATATTACATGATAGCATTCTTTCCTCAAAAATTTCTTAAATTTTTTAAACAAAGTATTCTTTTAATAACGAAATATTTAAAGAGAACTATTTAATACACAAACTCACTCTAAAGTGTTTCTATGCAAGATATTTCCTGTCCATAATGATAATTTTTTCTGTATTCTTTACGTCTGATTAACAGTTTTTATTTTTTTGGCTTTAGTATTTTATATTGGACAAAATGTGGGATTTTGAAGCACCAATTTTCCAGATGTTGTATCTGGAATTTGTTTCTTACTTTTTGGTATACTTGTCTGTGGTTCTCAGAAGTATCAAAAGTTAATTTTAATTCACAAAGAAATTTATTGTACATTCTAAATTTGCAAAGCATTACCATTAACAAGATTTTCCATTCTCAGTTCGTAAGAATATAGCTAAAACAAGTGAATTGATGTGTTATTAATTTTTGATGCGCTGTGGTAGTGTTCTTATCATCTTTATTGCTTCTTTTCTCAGTATGCTGTTCTTCCAAAAAAAAATAAGACAGTTCATCGTTGAACTCATGGCGGATAATGAACCTATCCATAGGCTGGGCGAGAACAAACGTGAATCGCTGCATGAAACATCCATGATCAAGCATGTAGATACATACCCAAGACATGGGATTGCGCCGAACAAAAGATAACACACAACAACAATTATGCACGTTGAAACTTTCTTTAAATCGTTAAATTGTCTTTTGTTTTGTCCAAAAGATGCCGTCGTCAAATTGCGTAATATATTTCCCGAAAGTTTTTTTTTGGCTTTTGCAATACGGTACATTTTGTAGTTAAATAATGAAATTAGAAAAAAAGAGATGCAAAGATAAACAATCAAAATGAGGTTTATTGTTTTCTCATGATTGAATAGGAAAAATGTTAGAAGAGCAAAAAGTACACCTGGACAAATCGTGAGAACTAAAAAACGACATCTGTTTACATGTTTTGCGTGAAAAAATGGGAAATTCAAAGCTAGAAATCTTTCAATATTGAGCATTAGCAGAGAAAGTGTGGACAATTCGAAAAATATCGTGCTTAATTTCGACCGTGTTATCCTCAAGGAAATATTGCTTTTCCATAGGCAAGCTGCAGTCGAAAGTATGATCAGCGTATGTGTGACACTCACGTTTGCCAAGTCGAAGCATGATAAAACCAAGATTGTAAAATAACAAAGCTTCTTTCGCAGTTGTGAACAGCGCCAGATGCAGAGAATAACGACTGAATTTAATGTTATTCCACAGATCAACAATGATATATTTATAATGCACAAAAAAACCCCGTTCCATAAACCCATGTTCTTCTCAGAAGCCATTCGCTTGCTCAGTAGCTAAAAAAGGAATTTTCCATTAATTCGATCTTGTCCATGTTACGATGCTCACTTGTTATAACAAACAAAAAACGCACATTGGGCTAAGATGTCTATATTTTATTCATTTTAATTAACATTTTCTCAATAGTGCATACATAATTGTGTTTTTTTCTTCATTCAGATTACCATTATCTTAGCCAATGAAATTGCTCTGAAATATTAGCCATAATCCAAGCACTAAATTTACTTTATTATAACATATTTAAACAAATTAATGCCATCTTGATCAACAAAAATACATGATGCGGAGAAAGCACACAGGGGTATTTGTAAAGCCAGAAATGGGGAAGCAAAAAATTAAACGGAAATACACAGGACGACAGAAAGCGAAAATGAAACTTTTAATGAGCAATAAATTTTCACAACTTCCCTTTTACGTTTATTTGTAAAACTACCTCAATTATGTGTACCTGCATGGGAGGCACTTACGTACAACAATTCCTTCTTGAAGACTTAAAAAGCAACTTTTGCTTAAAAATTTGTAAATTGCTTATTAACAATTGATTCAACCCGTTTCTTTAGTGAAAAACTTGCAAAAATTCCAACATCCTTGTTTGTTAAATTTTCAAATTCTCAAAATTTTTCATCAATATTGCTGTATCATGTAAAAGTCACATCGATGTTTTTAACATAATTTGTAGTTGAGAACAAGCTTTGCGAAAATTCAAATGTCAAATTATTTGAAATGACGGCATCAAAATATCAAATGCACGATGCTCAGAACTCATAACGTTTGAACTTTAAAAACTTTATGTTGATACTATATGAGTTACAAAGACAAGCTGTTAAATGCAATATAGCGTAAAGAACGCAAATGTCATCAAGAGACTGAACTTAATGGGAGGAATAGATATCTGACTTAAAGTCTAATAACTTTTTCTTAGCCTACAGGCCCCGTAATTATAGTAATCCGCCACGTGTTGTATGACTACCTAATCGCAACAGTTTGGAATTTAATGACGCAATGACTAGTGACAGGTCACGTCTTTAATATAATAACCTAAAACAATACTTCATACATGTTCATCTTGGACAAATGGGTATGAAAAATAGCTTTACGGGGCAATGGAAACTCAATTATTGGAAAATCAGGACATATGGTTATAAAAATTGTACTGCTTGCTATCTTTTGGCAGAGTTCTTCCAAATATAATTTCAATTCAATATATGACAAGGAATGATTCCAATAAAGAGTGTTGCCATGTAACATACATATAATTATTTGTATATTACATGATAGCATTCTTTCCTCAAAAATTTCTTAAATTTTTTAAACAAGGTATTCTTTTAATAACGAAATATTTAAAGAGAACTATTTAATACACAAACTCACTCTAAAGTGTTTCTATGCAAGATATTTCCTGTCCATAATGATAATTTTTTCTGTATTCTTTACGTGTGATTAGCAGTTTTTATTTTTTTTGCTTTAGTATTTTATATTGGACAAAATGTGGGATTTTGAAGCACCAATTTTCCAGATGTTGTATCTGGAATTTGTTTCTTACTTTTTGGTATACTTGTCTGTGGTTCTCAGAAGTATCAAAGGTCAATTTTAATTCACAAAGAAATTTATTGTAAATTCTAAATTTGCAAAGCATTACCATTAACAAGATTTTCCATTCTCAGTCCGTAAGAATATAGCTAAAACAAGTGAATTGATGTGTTATTAATTTTTGATGCGCTTTGGTAGTGTTCTTATCATCTTTAATGCCTCTTTTCTCAATATGCTGTTCTTCCAAAAAAAGATAAGACAGTTCATCGTTGAACTCATGGTAGATAATGAACTTATCCATAGGTTGGGCGAGAACAAACGGGGATCGTTGCATGAAACATCCATGATCAAGCATGTAGATACATACCCAAGACATGGGATTGCGCCGAACAAAAGATAACACACAACAACAACTACGCACGTTGAAACTTTCTTTAAATCGTTAAATTGTCTTTTGTTTTGTCCAAAAGATGCCTTTGTCAAATTGCGTAATATATTTCCCGAAAGTTTTTTTTTGGCTTTTGCAATACGGTACATTTTGTAGTTAAATAATGAAATTAGAAAAAAAGAGATGCAAAGATAAACAATCAAAATGAGGTTTATTGTTTTCTCATGATTGAATAGGAGAAATGTTAGAAGAGCAAGAAGTACACCTGGACAAATCGTGAGAACTAAAAACGACATCTGTTTATATGTTTTGCGTGAAAAAATGGGAAATTCAAAGCTAGAAATCTTTCAATATTGAGCATTATCAGAGAAAGTGTGGACAATTCAAAAACTATCGTGCTTATTTTAAACCTTGTTACCTCCAAGACAATATTTATTTTCAACAGGCAAGCTGTAGTCGAAAGTATGATCAGCGTATGTGTGACACTCACGTTTGCCAAGTCGAAGCATGATAAAACCAAGATTGTAAAATAACAAAGCTTCTTTCGTAAATTTGAACAGCGCCAGATGCAGAGAATAACGACTAAATTTAATGTTATTCCACAGATCAACAATGATATATTTATAATGCACAATAAAACCCCGTTCCATAAACTCATGTTCTTCTCAGAAGCCATTCGCTTGCTCAGTAAAAAAGGGAATTTTCCATGAATTCGATCTTGTCCATGTTACGATGCTCACTTGTTATAACAAACAAAAAACGCACATTGGGCTAAGATGTCTATATTTTATTCATTTTAATTAACATTTTCTCAATAGTGCATACATAATTGTGTTTTTTTCTTCATTCAGATTACCATTATCTTAGCCAATGAAATTGCTCTGAAATATTAGCCATAATCCAAGCACTAAATTTACTTTATGATAACATATTTAAACAAGTTAATGCCATCCTGATCAACAAAAATACATAATGTAGAGAAAGCACACAGGGGTATTTGTAAAGCATGAAATGGGGAAGCAAAAAATTAAATGGAATTACACAGGACGACAGAAAGCGAAAATGAAACTTTTAATGAGCAACAAATTTTCACAACTTCCCTTTTACGTTTATTTGTAAAACTACCTCAATTACGTGTACCTGCATGGGAGGCACTTACGTACAACAATTCCTTCTTGAAGACTTACAAAGCAACTTTTGCGTAAAAATTTGTAAATTGCTTATTAACAATTGATTCAACCCGTTTCTTTAGTGAAAAACTTGCAAAAGTCCAACATCCTTGTTTGTTAAATTTTCAAATTCTCAAAATTTTTCATCAATATTGCTGTATCATGTAAAAGTCACATCGATATTTTTAACGTAATTTGTAGTTGCGAACAAGCTTTGCGAAAATTCAAATGTCAAATTATTTGAAATGACGGCATCAAAATATCAAATGCACGATGCTCAGAACTCATGACGTTTGAACTTTAAAAACTTTATGTTGATACTATATGAGTTACAAAGACAAGCTGTTAAATGCAATATAGCGTAAAGAACGCAAATGTCATCAAGAGACTGAACTTAATGGGGGAATATATATCTGACTTAAAGTCTAATAACTTTTTCTTAGCCTACAGGCCCCGTAATTATAGTAATCCGCCACGTTTTGTATTACTACCTAATCGCAACAGTTTGGAATTTAATGACGCAATGACTAGTGACAGGTCACGTCTTTAATATAATAACCTAAAACAATACTTCATACATGTTCATCTTGGACAAATGGGTATGAAAAATAGCTTTACGGGGCAATGGAAACTCAATTATTGGAAAATCGGGACATATGGTTATAAAAGTTGTTAGAGTCAGAGAATTTAACATATTTTAACGAGCTTAATTGGCAAAGGTGGTTATAGCAAAGTAGTTCAACTACGATGGCAACTCGAGAAGAATGAGTATGCTACTGAAATTATTGTATGAGAAAAAGCAAATAACGAATGTGTCAAACGTAAACGGAGCATACTGGTTAATATAACATCTGAAAATATTTAGAAACATTTTAAGGACTAAATCATGAAGGGTGATGACAATATTTTACGGTTACATATTTAACTGGAGATGTGTTATCCAAAGTTGGCAAAATTTATATTCAAAACTTGTTTACCAAAAATATACAGGTTACTAAAACCAGTTTTATTTCGAGATCAAAGGATAAAGCAGTTATAGTTGTCCTTATTGTAAATGGAAAAGAACATAACATCACACAAATTCTTTTTAAGAAAACGATTCACAAAATTTCAGTTTCAAATGTCGAGGTCAAAGCCTTGACAACGGGCTATTTTTCAACAGTTACCACAGGTGATTTTAACAGCTTGGTAATGACGTAATAATGACGTTGTCTCTTAACGCTGCTGGCCATCTGTTGGCAGAGTTTCTCCTACTATAATTTTAATTCAATACATTTCATTTAAAGATGCTAAAAATTTGTCAATATTTCTTTTAATTATGAAATGTTTAAAGATAAAAGACGTAACGCTCAAACAAATTCATGCTTAAGTGTTTCCAGGTAAGAGATATTTCTCTGTCCATAATAATGAACCGTGCTATATTCTCCTCGTGCATTTGATTAATAGTTTTTCTTTTTTATGGCTGTGGTGCTTTTATAATAGGCAAAGTAAAGTCTGGGGAAAATATGAAGCATCAATTTTTTAGATGTCTCTTATTGCGCATTTTGAATATGTTTCAGTTTTTTTTCAATTATTTTCAGGTCTTTGATTTTCAGAAGCATACTAGGTCAATTTGTATTAACAAAGGGAGTTATTGTTCATTTTAAATTAGCAAAGCATTTCTATCAACAAGACTTTCCTTTTTCATTCGGTAAGAATATCTTGTTGTAACAGGTGGATTAATGTATTATTTATTTTTGATGCAATGACATAGCCGTTTGAGCATCTTTAGTGCTTCTTTTCTCAGTACGCTGTTCCTCCAGAAAAATATAATACAGTTTATCGTTGAATTCATGGTGATCAACGAACTTATCCATAGATTGGGCGAGAACAAACGTGAATCGTTGGATGACAAATTCATGATGAAGCATGTAGAGATATACACAAGAGATGGAATTGCACCAAATAGAAGATAACACACAACAGCGATTATGCACGTTGAAACTTTCTTCAAACTGTTCAATTGACGTTTGCTTTCTCGAAAAGATGCCATTGTCAAATTGCATACTGTATTTCTCAAAAGTTCTTGTTTGGCTTTTGCAATACGGTACAATTTGTAGTTAAATAATGAAATTAGAAAAGAAGATATAAAAAGAAGCACTATCAAAATGAGTTTTACTGTTTTCGCATAATTGAGTAGAAAACATGTTGGAATAACAAGAAGTACACCCTGACAAGTCGTGAGAACTAAAAAACGATGTCTGTTTACATGTCTTTCGTGAAAAAACGAGAAATTTAAAGCTAGAAACCTTTCAACATTGAGCATTAGCAGAGAAAGTGTGGACAATTCGAAAAATATCATGCTTATTTTCAACCGTGTTAGCTCCAAGATAATATTGCTCTTCCATAGGCAAGCTGCTGTGGAAAGTGTGTTTAACGTATGTGTGACACTCACGTTTGCCAAGTCGAAGCATGATAAAACCAAGATTGTAAAGTAACAAAGCTTCTTTCGTAAATTTGAACAACGCCAGATGCAAATAACAACGACCGAATTTAATATAATACCAGAAATCAAGAATGAAATATTTACAATGCACAAAATAACCCCGTTCCATAAACCGATGTTCTTCTCAGAATCCATTTTCTTGCTCAGTAGCTAAAAAGATAATTGTTCAAAATTTGATCTTGTCCATGTTACGATGCTCACTTGTTATAACAAACAAAAAACACCCATTGTGTTAAGATTTTTATACTTTATTCATTTTTATTAACATTTGCTCCATAGTGTATATATAAGTGTGTTTTGTTTCTTCATTCATATTACCTTTATTTTAGCCAATGAAATTGCTCTGAAATATTACCAATAATTGAAGCACCAAATTTGCTTGATGATAGCATATTAGGCAAAAGCCATTTTGATCAAATAAAATTCATAATGCGGAGAAAGCACACACGGGTGTTTATAAAGCATGAAATGAGAAGCGAGAATTTAAACGGAATTCACAGGATGTCAGAAAGCGAGAATATATGATAAGCAATACGTTTTCACACAAGCTTAACAACTCGTTCACAATATCCCATTTACGTTTATTTTTAAAACTGAATTACGTGCCGCCATGGCAAACGCCAACATACAGCATTTCCTTCTTGTTGACTCCCAAAGCAATGTTCGCATGAGAATTTGTATATTGCTCACGTTTTTTTTGTTGCGGCTTATTTACAAGTGATCCACCTGTTTCTTTAGTGAAAACTTGCAAAAGTTCCAATATGGACGTTTGTTAAATTTCCAAATTCTCACATCGTTTCATTAACATGTAGTTGTATAGTGTCAAAGTCACTTTGATGTTTTTGACATAATTTGAAGTTGCCAACGAATTTTGTGAAAATTCAAAATGTCAAATTATTTGAAATGAACGGCATCAAAATTCAAAATATCAAATGCACGATAATCAGAACTCATGAAGTTTGAACTTTAGATTTATCCTTGTTGTTAATCTATGAGTTACAAAAGCAAACTGGAAAATGCAAGGCAATAGAGCTTAAGGAGCGCAAAAGTCAGATAATAGATATCTGATTTAAAGTCCTATTACTTTGTCTTAGCCTACACGCCCCGTAATTACAATAATCCACGGCTACGTGCACGTTGTATTACTTCCCGGATTGGGTTAATACTAGATTACTTTTCGCACCGGATAGGCCTTACGTTCATACGGCTCCGCTTCAATACGATATGCTTTGTTTCGTTTTTTCTGGAGCGATTTGACTGCGCTGTGGAAGTGGTATGAAAACCAATCCAATACGTTCTTTTGTAAAGTAAATGGTTTGAACCCGGGAGTATCGTTACATGTTTGAAAATGCAGATCGTCCAGGTTGGTATAGTCCAGAGGAGGACTGTTTTTGTTGTTGTTGACTGACGTTTCGACAACCTTAGCGGTAGTCATCTTGTCAGTCAAATGACTCTGAAGATGACTACCGCTAAGGTTGTTGAAACGTCAGTCAACAACAACAAAAACAGTCCTTCTCAGGACTATACCAACCTGGACGATCTACATTTACAAACAAGTAACGTTCTGTTGTCCTATGAACGCTCAAATCCGATAAGTTCCACTGTGGCAACTAAAAAGTTCGTGCAATTTTTCAAAAATGAAAGCGAACGTAGCAGCTTTTAACAATGTATTATCGTAGTAAAAGCTTTTTTCTTGTATTATTGTATAAAGGCAACATATATTCCGTCCTTGCGCCATTCGCACAAAACGATGCAAAAACCTTAATGCGCTCAAGGAAAAAGCTCTACTTTATTATCTGTTAAAAAATTTCTCATTTTCTTACGAAATATTTTTATTAGAAAACATCGCTGTTATTACTTGCACGTACAAGTACTGGGCGAATTAAGAACTTATGTTGTGTCGTACAAATCCGGCATCGTGTGAACAGAGTGCATTTTTCGTATCGGATTGCTCAGCGAATCCGGTACAATACGAATCCGGTATCGTGTGAACAGGGCCTTAATGGCAACAGTTTGGAATTTAATGAAGCCATGACCAGTGAACAGATCACGTCTTCAATACGTACATCGACCTAAATAATAATTCGTCTATGTTCATCTTGGAAATTGGGTATGAAAAGTAGCTTTACTGGGCAATGGAAACTCGATTATTGGAAAATCAGGATATATGGTTATAAAAATTGTTTTACAGTCAGATCATTGAATATACCTTAACGAGCCTAATTGGCAAAGGTGGTTATACCAAGGTAGTTTGAGTACGATGGAAACTTGATAAAAATGAGTGAGCTGCTAAAATTCTTGTATTTGACAAAGAAAATAACGAATGTATCAAATGTGAACGGAACATAGTGGTTAGTACAACATCTGAAATTTTTTAGCAATATTTCAAGGACTAAATCATGAAGAGCGATTACGATATTTTACAGTTACATATTTAATGGGAGCTGTGTTATCCAGATTTGGCAAAATTTATATTCAAATTTTGTTTATCAAAAATACAGAGTTACTAAAACCCAGGGACACTGGAAGCAGCATGTGTCCGGACACCCACAGTTTTCAGACAGCGGGTGTCCTATATAAGCAGGACACCCACGAAATTTGCAAATTTTTTCAAAGTGATAATTGGTGTTTTCGAGGTGGTCCTTTGGTAAACTAGTTCTCCATAGTAAATTTCATTGCCATGCTTACAAAGATATTCTTTATGCATTAGACATTGATGAGTTCTACATAGTAAATTTCATTGCCATGCTCACAAAGATATGCTTTATTCATTAGCCAGGCGATTTACAAGGCATTTGTTTGCAATGAACAGCGACAGAAATATTTTGCACAATATTTGTGATCATTTATAGAATGTAAAAAGGTATGTGAGTTAACCCATGATATTCCTATCCGATGTACCATTTGAGATGGATTTCGCGTATGGTGTAAAAGGAAAAGATTCATTTAATTAGTATTGGTGAAATATTGTTGTTGAAATTGGCAAAATACTGTTTTTCAGAGAGAACACGATCAAAAATTTTGGACACCCTCAGTTTCAAGAGCTTCCCGAGCCCTGCTAAAACCAGTTTTGTTTCGAGATCAGTGGATGAAGCAGTTAAAGTTGTCATTATTGTAAATGGAAAAGAAAATGACATCACACAAATTCTTTTCAGGAAAACGATTCCCAAAATTTCAGTATCAAATGTCGAGGTCGAAGCCTTGACAACGGGATATTTTTCAACTGTTGCCACAGGTGATTTAACCAGCTCGGTGATGACGTAATAATGACGTTAGTCTCTTAACGCGGCTTGCCATCTGTTAGCAGAGTTTCTCCTACTGTAATTTTAATTCAATACGTTACATTTAAAGATGCTAACAATTTGTCAATGTTTGTAAATGACAGTTGTCAATTGACAATTTGTAAATGACAATTTGTCAATGTTTGTAAATGACAGTTGTCAATTTGTAAATGACAATTTGTCAATGTTTGTAAATGACAATTTGTCAATTTGTCATTTAAAACACGTCTCTTTTAATAATGAAATGTTTAAAGATAAAAGGCGTAACGCTCAAAAAAATTCATTCGTAAGTGTTTCTTGGTAAGATATTAAATGTAAAGTGATAAGAGACCAATATTAAATTGGTTATTTTTAAGCAAACATTATGCTGCAAATAGAAATTTATTCAAAAGTTTTCAACCCATTTAAAATTGGTCAAAATACCGAATAATATCATTTAAAAATTGGTTGAAAATTAATAGTAGCTTGATAAAAAAATCATTCTCTTTGTTTTTTCAGTATAGTTAATCGTTTTTTAGTAAAGTTTCTCTTGCAATTACAAATACACATACACGAGTGAATTTTTTAAAGACTGCAGAGAAATAGATATCAAAATAGTAGCTGATCCAAATTCACAAGCCTACACCAACATACTTTCTTTTTCCTGTACATTAGCTACATAATGTTATTCCTGTTATCGTAGCTGCTCCACGGTGTATAGAGATTAATAATTTACCCATAACTCCATATGTCCTCATAAATATTTTGAAATAATTTCATAGTCTTGACTCGAGTAGAGGATCGTCGATCTCCGTGCATGAAGGTTTGTCGTTGGTTTCGTGGTTTCTCTTGTGTCCCAGCCGCTCCGTTAAAACTTGTTTGTGAGTTTCTGGGAGAAAAAAGACTAGGATACCGCTGACAAGGAGTAACGTGCCTGCTATGATGTAAGGCACCACAATTGATGTCTTCATACCCTAAAATGATAACGTAAATTTGCACTTGTCACTAGCCTGTTTTTTTGACGATTTTTTTTACATATATATGTGAAAGCGAAAGGATGCTTCATTAATTTTTAACATGATGTCCAATGACTAATGAGCAATTTCCTAGATTTTATTTGTACAAATGGGCATTTTTCAAACGACATTAAAAGAAAACGAAACAAACCAAGAGAGACTAAACTCTTTCAACAGTAATTGACTCCACCATATATCTACTTTTTCAACACAATATTTCATGAAACAGAAAATCTTGATACTATAGCCTTCAGTATAGTGTTTCCACTTAATTCTTTATTTATCCAATTTTTTTGTCAGTCAAATTTCATACTATTTTGTGATTGTTGCCATATACGGTAACAGTGTGAAAAAGTGTTAAATAAACGAACGTACAGAAGGAATATTTTGTGCATGGTGTCCACTAAATTAAGATCAAAACTTTATAGTTTCTGTTAAATCAATGTAAACAAAAATATACATTATCTTACAAGAAAGAATAACTGCGGGGCAGCCATTGCACCAAGACGACACCAAAACATAGCAACACCAAAACCAATATTCCTATAGGAATGTGTTCATAACTTTAAAAAAATGTTGTCTCAAAGGGCTATATAGAATAATAATTTGCTATCAATCACTTCTCATGTTGTTAAAATGCCAATTTATTGTAAAGCGATCATAGTAGACTATAATAATAGTTTATAAAAGTAAATGGTTTAACCCAGGAGTATCGTTACATATTTGTAGATGTAGATCGTCCAGGCTAGTAGAGTCATGAGGAGGACTGTTTTTGTTGTTGTTGACTGATGTTTCGACAACATTAGCGGTAGTCATCGTCTGAATCAAGACCACCGCTAAGGTTGTCAAAACGTCAGTCAACAGCAACAAAAACAGTCCTTCTCAGGACTCTACTAACCTGGACGATCTACATCTACAAACATATAGTTTATAAAAGCAATAGTTTTTCTAAATCAAGTATATATTTGACAGTGTAGTAACTATTGATGATGCAAAATCGTTTAATTAATTACCTGAGAATTGTTGGATAAAGTTCTGCCGTGTAAAGTATCATAATAACAATGCAAGTGGATGAAAGACATTTTCCTCCAAGTGCTGCTATAGTTCGAATCATATCTACGATTCTTGAATCTGTAAAAAAATAGTTGTCTTATAAATTCACCTCGTCGTATTCTTTTGTTTACGCATATTTGACGAATGTTGCAAAAGTAGTCCCAATTATAATGACCATGAAAAATTTTTTAAGCAAAAATAGTGATCATTTTTTAGAAAGAATTGTACGAAACAAAGGACGTCGATTCAATGTTTCATGAGATTAGTTGAGAAAATTGCTCGGAGGTGAAGAAAATTCCGTTATGGCTAAATTTTTCAGATACCTTGCCAACAGTCTTTGTTTAAAAAAATTTGCAACACAAAATTTATGAAAACAGCCCAGCTGTATATAGTTCCATTTGTGAGTGCGACTCATAATGAGTTAAGGGTATCTGGTTACGATGAGTAAAATATGAATAAAAAATAAAATATACTATCAAATCACAAAATGCAAAACATTAATCCAGAAACAAAGTTATATTTACCAGTTATGTTTATTTGTACCTGCATTTAAGCCCGCGATCACTGCACATGTCGCTAAAGCGGTAGTGGACATAGGTAACATTAAAAGCAATAGTTTTCGTCGTCCAAATCTTAAAAAGAAATCATCAAAGTTCTTGTATGAACGGAAAAATTGCATAAAAAGTACTAAAATTTAGAGCATAACGAAATATGCCTTGTATTGGGAAAAATTCGAATTACTAATGCTAATTACTTCCTAAATAACTTGAGCAGTGGTCAAATTCTTGGACAATAAAAGACAATCTTTTGTTTTTACAAGTATAAGCAAACACTTTTTCACTTACTAAAACACTACATTACTAACCTTGGTAGAGTCCACAAAAGAGATGAAATTACTGCGCAGTCGATGATTTGACCAATAATATAGTTTAAATATTTGTTACCAAACAAGAACGATATATTCAATGATAATCCAAAAAATGTAATTGATATACTCATCCTATGAAATAAAAGTTCAATGCTCAATGTTTTTTCAATGCACTTTTGCTTTGGAGAAATATTACATGCAAATATATTTTGCTATGTTATATATTTTGCCTGTTTCCAAGCAGTACATCAGGCTTTGCAAGCAAAGATTCGCATTACAGGATTAGAAATGAAAAGCACCACAAACATTCTTTTCCTTCAAGACACTGTCTCATGCAGATGCGTAGCCAGCCAGCAAGTTTGTTGATGTTATGTAAATTTCTGTAAAAACAATAAATTCCTAAAGAAAGAAATAACGCTAATGATGAAAAATTTATGTTGCATGAACAAATTTGCAGGCTGGCTACGCCACTGGTTTCATTGGCTACATGTCGACTATTGAATTTAATCAATATAACAGGTAAACATGCTTATACCAATGATCTAGAACCCAATCTACTAGATATCTGACCCCCCAAAATTCTCTAGTTACGAGTGAGGCAAGCTGCCATCTTGAAAGGTGGCAAAACTGACGATATATATTTACAATAAATATCTGCTTTTTCTAAATTGATATTCAGAGGCAAAGTTGAGAGATTAGGTTTGATTTTTAAAATGTTTGATAGGATTGGTTTTTTGAACCTTCTTTTACAATATTTTCAATTTCGAATTTTTCCACCTTTCAAGATGGCGTCCTTGCCTCACCTTGACACGGTAGTTTAAGTCATTGAACTAAAATACATGGAATGCTACCTGTAATACAAAACCCTAATAATTTTTTGAAGCCGTAATTTTATCCCAGACGCGCGAGACTTTACCGCGAGACGTGTGTAGTCAATCAATTATTACTCCACGAGAGAATCGCGAAACATTAAACACGCGTGTCTGGGGTAAAATCGCGCGTGTCTGGCGTAAGATATGGCTTCAATTATTTGCCTGACGTAGGCGCTCCATGTATTTTAATTCAATGGTTTGAGTAGACATCTAGAGGATTGGGTTCTAAATCATTGGCTTATACTTGCACGAGGTAGCCTTTGATACTCTGATGAATGATATACTAGCAGGAGGTAGACATTGATATTCTGATCAATGATTGGGACTGTTTAAGGCAGCTATTGCTCAATAGAATTAATTGGTACTACTACGCCTTTCAGTGTATGAGACGAAGATTTCGTTAAGGACACTTACCATACGATTGTTAAAATTATAGATAACTTTCGCAATGATGGTTCTCGATAAACATCAAAAATGCTGCCAATGTTTTTTGTCTTTACATCACTTAACGCCAACTGTGATTGATCTTTTACTTTTTCAAACGTCTCTTCTGGAAAGTCTAGTTTATTTGCTTGAGTTATTCGACGGACAACCTTTTCAGCCTTCTCAAAATGACCATGCAACATGTACCAACGAATTGACTCAGGTATAAACCTGCAACAAAACAAGTTTACAGCAAATTCTGCATTTCATTACATCGTTACATTAGTAGATCAATTGGTTTTAATATGTATACATGGCATATTCATAGTCTGATTCGGTTTCAAAATATCATTATATTTATGTTTGAAAGATAAAGCAAACTTGCAGCTTCATATTCATTAAACGGTTGTTACATTTTGAATTTTAGGGTGCCCCATGCATGCTGATTCCTTGGGTGCCTGTGGCTCTGCCCACCCAGAGGTCATATAGCAGTTACGCCACTGACGTGGTCATTGCTTCAATATACCAATCAGCAACATGATCATCGTTTGAATGTTATAATCATTCATGAAATAACAACAAGGAAACGCGCGCACTGATTGGTCTATAGTTGAGTATACATTAGCCAGTGAAAACCGACCTGACAAAGATGAATCAAATCAATGAAATTGCAGATCAATCATGAAAACACATATTAGAAGAAATATTGAAAAAAATTTGTTTTAAATATATGTGTTCTGCTCTCAGCTTCTCTCAAAGGTCTCCGAAGCCTATTCAAATACAATAAGCTTCTTTTATTTTTTACAATGACCTCTTTTTAACTGCTTTATACTAAATGTGATAATTGTTCAAATACACAAATCACATGAACGTGGTTTCAATTGATTAAAGATTACACTATCATTGTTTCAAAGCATTAATCCTTTACCATAAAGAAAATATCTGTACAAACGAGGCAATAGACAAAGCCAATTGTACGTATCTCCAATCTTTGACAAGGTATACAAGAAGTCCAAAACACAACGCACCAATGTTTCCAGTTACGCCACACAAAGCACCGATATAGCTGCGATAATTTGTTGGAAACAGTTCCATTGCAAGGACAACACCGGAGCTCTGAAGACCCTGGGTAAAACTAATAATTAATTGTTTTTCGAAAGTTTTAACATCCGTTTTTTTAATACGAATAAAAAATAACATGAGCAGAGGACATACCTGTTTTTCTAATATTTTCATGTTCAGAGCACTCAGTCAGTTTTTTTAACTACACAGCGAATTTAGTAAAAACGAACCGTTTCCTATTTTTGTCGCAGACACCTTTTTGACAAAAGATTTATTGAGGGAACGCATTATTTCTTGAGTTTTTTTTTGTTTACCATTGTTCATGTCTTTAGAGATAAATTGTTCTTACGGTAAGTAAACACAAAAACATTTGCATGGCTGGAGTAAATTAAAAGTCGGCCAGAGGACAAAGACATATCAATTATTACCTGCATAGTCAAACCAAGAAAAAATCTGAAGACAGCAAAAGCAATGTAGTTTCTAAGGATGAAAATGGCCATGTTGATGATACCTGCAGCAAGCAAAGTGGAAGCTATGACAGGTTTTCTGCCAAACTTGTCGGCAATAACACCAAAGATGAGGCCACCCAACGTAACGCCAGTGAAGTAAATTGTTGTCGATAAGTCCACTTTGTATGAGTCATCACACACTAGATCAAACTTATTCGAATGGCAAAAGTTATTAAGTTAATGATAGCAAGCCAAAAGTTAGCTTTTATGAAACAAGCACACATATTTCATTTAACATTATCTAATAGAGTAGATGGTTTGAACATATAGTCCTGAGAAGGATTGTTGTTGGTTTCGACAACCTTAGCGGTTGTCATCTTCAGAGTCAAAAAAAAATGAAGATGAAGATGACTCTGAGGATGACTACCGCCAAGGTTGTCGAAACGTCAGTCAACAACAACAAAAACAGTCCTTCTCAGGACTATACTAACCTGGACGATCTACATCTACAAACATGTGACATTATCTAAATCGCTTATAGCAAGTGCGTGCGCAGGGAGGTTACTGGAACGTTAATTGGAGGGTATTTTTTTATGTATTCAGCTGCGCCCAACTGATGTCTGAAAGTGAATTTCTCAGTTTCCAAAATCGATCCAATAAAATGACATCTTTTTTCAGGCTAGTACTGATTTGGAAGTAGTACGTGTAGTGTTGTAGACACGCCCCTTAAAAGTGACAATGACATGTATATATATAGGAATGAGAAATGTTGTTGAAAAACAGATATTAGAGAGCACAATAGATAGATACTAAAGGAAGAAGATAAATTCTAAACGTAACATTGGCGACAAAGATGGGACAAAAAATCAACGCAAACATGGCAACATTTTTATCTCCCATGCCACATTTCAATCCGGATGAAGAAATCGGAGGAAACATTGCAAATAGATGGCGCACGTGGTTGGCAGATTTTAAAACATTTTTAACAGCCAGTAATATAACAAATAGAACTCGGCAACGGGCTTTACTTTATCAAGCAGGACCCGAATTCGAGAGATATTTCGACAATTTCCGGAGAAGATGATGTTTTGCTAAAGCGGAAATATACGGAGTATTTTGAACCACAGAAAAATCGGTTATATGAAGTTTACAAATTTCGACAAGCAAAGCAAGTAGAGTCCGAAACAATCGACCAATTTCATACAAGACTGCGCTCATTATCTAAAACTGTGAATTTGCTGATGTAGATTTTGAGATAATGGTTCAAATTGTTATTGGTGGACGATCCAGTCGTGTACGAAAACAAGCATTAAGAGATCCTAAATATACCTTAAAAGATCTGTTTTGAAGCAAGGCGTGAAGAAACAAGTAAAGTACAAGCGGCGGACATCGAAGAGCATTTGGACAGCCACGTTTACATACACAAAACTTACAAATAAAACTGATAAACCACAGAAGATATGCTTTTACTGTGGAGGTAACTACCCCATTTAGACAAACCGTGCCCAGCGAAGAACAAACATGCGCCAAATGCGGAAGTTAAATCATTTTGCAAGCCAATGTCGCAGCCGAAACTTGCAGAAAATCAAAACACCCGCTAAACCACGCCAAGACATACGACCGGTAAAGGCTGATGAGGAGAAAGATAGCAGCAGCGACAATAATTCGGAATACTGTTATGCGGTTTGTAACAACAACCAGCCTAAACGTTCTGAAACGTCAATATCGCTCAACGGACTATATGTCAGAATGACAATTGACACTGGCTCAAGCATAAATATAATCGACAAGAAGACTTTCCGGAAGAGCCAGCTCCAGAAGAGCCAGCTGCAAGGAGATCAACCCGACAAAGAAAAATAACAGAACAATATGGGAACTCAATAAACCCTGACTTTGTTATCCGTTAAGTTGAGGAGGGATGTAGTGTTGTAGACACGCCCCTTAAAAGTGACAATGACATGTATATATATAGGAATGAGGAATGTTGTTGAAAAACAGATATTAGAGAGCACAATAGATAGATACTAAAGGAAGAAGATAAATTCTAAACATTACAGTACGTACAGTTGAAAGCATTAAACTCATATGGCGCGATATTGAAGACTCTCAAATTTAGAGGGTGCGGGGGCATGCACCCCCGGAAATTTCAGATTTCTAAAACCTGTAAATAACTATCTACCGCATTTTGAGGATTATTAAACAATAAATATATTAAAAATCAGTGCAAAGAATCAGTAAACCGGTTTTTGTAGGAAGTCTTAAACTGCCAGTGTAATACAGTTTCCACTCTCTGTCATTTGCTTTCCCCCCCCCAAAAAGCCTCTTCTAAATTTTTGGATGAGGGCACCCAAATTAAGATTGCAAAAGCAAGGTATAAATAATAACTTCCTGTCTTTGCTAGTCACATTTGTGACTCGCTGCTTATTCACTAATTGAAACTAACAACAGAGGCGCAACTAGAACGTTAATTGGGAATTCAGTTCATTTTCAAAAGAAATCGGTAGGGCACAACGGAATATATGAATATGCACCCCCCCCAATTTAACGTTCTAGTTACGACCCTGCTAAACAATATCTATTGGTACACAAACATCGTACTTCACAAAAAACTTATGTAGTTTCCTTCATCATTACGCCATAACTAGTTCAATTAGGACCTGTCTGTCTTTATGGAAACTATTCTGATTTTCCTGATTATTTTGCCTGAATTTGTCACAGTTTTCACAATTTTCTGGGAGTAGTTGCCATCACTGGTTTTAAGGAATTGAGATGAAAATAGTGGCTGTCCAAACCTAACTAAATTTCATACAATTTGAATACTCATGTCTACGGCACAAAGTGTTCCATTTTTTTTTCTGACAGTCGCGCCGCATCTAGAAAACTTGTGAGATCATTTTCATTCCTTCGAAACATATTCTCATTTTTACGTCTGTCCATGTTGGACGTCTTTAACAAAAGATTATCTAACGTATAAAAGTCAACTCTAAAGAAATTTTTTGAGCCATGGGATGACAATCGAGAATCGAGAACTTTTTATACAGATAGCATTTTTATCTGACGTCTATCCGCGCTATATATGTTGGTAATGTATGAAGATGTTTACTGCAGGGCCCTGTATTACGAGAGTTGGGACACCGGAAGTAAAATTGCTTAGCGTCCGCCATTTTTGTTCCAAAATCCAGCAAATATAGAGCATTTAACGGTGGAAAGACAAGTTTTCTGTTGTGTTTTCTTATTCATGAATAGACAGCGATCCCTACCTTTGGAATTCAGTTGCTTATAGATATCATAATGATAGAAAAGCATTTATTTAATGTAGTGGATCTAATTTATACGCCTTTAACACTGTTTTTCGCCACAAGGGAGCGCTTATGTATCTACTCGTCATCGCTTTGATTGGCACTATTGTAAAGCAACATAAAATCATTAAAATCATTTTTTATAATTTATCTGCTATGTAAAAAATGGTTATAATTTCAACTTTTGGAACAAAATGGCGGCTTGATGCCCATGTGACCATATCTAATCATAATGCAAAATGCAGAGAACAATACGTGTCCCAATTCTTACAAATACTGGGCTTTGGTTTACTGTGTTTGAACGGGCTTATGCAAACCGAGGAGACCTTTGGGAGAACTGTGGAGCAGATCGGCGCAAGCCCGAGACCAAAGGTCAAGGGTTGCACATGCTTGAGAGCTCTCACAAACGTCTCCGAGGTTTGCATTAGCCAGTGCAAACACAGTAAGCATCTTTTATTTCTTTTATAAAATAAAATAATGCGGAAAAGAGAAACATTTTAATTTTTCCTCTAAAATGTATTCATGATCGATATGCAAATTCTCTTTGACTGATCGATTGTTTTGATTGATTTGATTGGTTGAGCTCAGATGTGTTTTGCACAGGCTTATGCAAACACGGCTCGAGACCAATCACTGCATTCGTTTTATTATTTTTATTTTGTAATATTTAATGAAGATCTTTTGTTTGGCACACCAATATGGCCGCTTTCTCCATTGAAATGTTGATCCCAGGGGAATGAGTGCAAAATGCTTACTTATTCCAAAAAATCAACACCTGTGTAGATGGCTCTGATTGTCTAAACTTCAAGAAATTTACATACTTAATGACGTCATAAGTACACGTCAAACACGTGCACGATGCCGTTAAATAAATGTGGATGTCAAACAAAACTAACCTCAGAGATAATTGTTCGCTCATTTTCTTTCATAATGTAACTCCAGCCATTTTTACAAGGTATTCTGTTCGTGCTATTTCTAGCCTCAAACATATGACAACTGTCTAATTCTTCATCTTTATTTTTAGCGGCGAGCGGTATGAAGTCGCTTAGATTTTGACCAATATCAAGCTTACAATGATGTTTTGTCTTTGCGCCGTAAAATATCATAGAAAAATGTGTTGATAACATTATCATAAAGTTGAAGCTTATCAATACGAAAATAAAGCTTTGAAATCTGCCTGGGTTGCCAATCGCTTGTATCAAATCCTCCATACAAACGCTTTGCTTTGTCTATCAAACGTCAAGTATGTTAGATCGAAACAAATTAACGCGAGTGATATTTGATCTGAAGAAACGGAAGAGCTTAATAATTTTAATTTTAATTTTGGAGCATTATACGTGAATTACATACTTGAACGTGTATGTGGCATAGTTCGTTTTGCACAGCGTCAATCAGCAAATTTTCACTTTCGTTCACGAGCTACAGAATATTGACAAAGCACGGGGGTATATATTCATATATTCACTTTTGTCGCACTGATTTCTTTTGAAATTCAATTAGCTTTCAAAAGAAATCAGTCGGGCACAACGGAACATATGAATATGCCCCCCCCGATTAACGTTCTAGTTACGCCTCTGAGCAGGGAGCAACCGAACTGAAGTCTGATCCGGATGCGATTAATTAACAGAATGGTTCAAGGAATTCGGATCAAGGATCAAGTCAATTGTATTTTACGCACCAACTGGAATGCAGAAATTGCTGACCACCTCTGCTAGTTGTATATTTGAAAATAAAAGGTAAACAGCCCCTTCTGGTTACTTCATAAAACAATTACTTTATTTCTTTTGGAAGAAATTCGTTTTTTTTGGGATATACCTTATTACAAATGGTTCAACATTAGCGCAACACAATGTAGCCACAATGCAACTTGTACTTGCACTTATTGCAACTTTGCAATTCAGGAAAATTTCCACTCATGCAATTTTAAGATATCACGATTCATTATATTCTGTTGTTGCATGTGGCTACTTGCACTTGGAACAGTGTCAGATGATCATTTGACGTCGTTTCATGATTTCACACCTGCTTCTCTCGAAAATTTGGTGCGCATTTGTTTGAAAATTCTTTGTTTCAAATCCCTACTTGTAAATAAACGAAATTGTCAACGGTCAAGCCACAAAAATTTGTTCATTGCACGCATTGGCATTCTTTGGCATTGATTTATTGAACTATTTACCGTTCAATATACCCCCCTCCCCCAAAGAAAAAGAAGCAATATGATTGGCTGTCAACTGTCAACATTTCCGCTACGAAATAATTCGCGCCCGATTGCCTTGACACAGATGAAAGTGAAGTGAACATTTATTATGAAAGTATGGAATACTATGGGTGGTGTTAAGTTGCAGGCCGTTGGTTATGTTTTAATGATGCTTAGAATGACAGAATATTTACTGTGGATTTAGAGAAAAATAAAAGCTGTAAGTGTTGTTCATATGTCATTCTACTGCACTTAAAATTTACAAAATGTTTTAATATATCGAAATTACAATCCAATGAACAACCTTGTCATGTTGGTGCACATTCATGGGACTCCTACTTATCTAGGTGGTTTGTATTTTTATGCCCTTACTGCACAATGGAGGTCTTAATAAAAGCCACATGTTTTCAGACCTTGTTGATAAAGCTTTCATTCAAATCTTGTTAATACTTATTTCTCTGGTTGTATTAGTATAGAATATTCACATTTAAAATTCTGATGAAGTTATAATTCTTAATGATTCTAAGTGGATTTTTTCCTCTATCTCACTACTTCCAGGTGAATCGAAAATCAATATTAACCCATAAATCTGTTTTTTTTTGAGCATTAAGAAACATGAACATTTATGCGGGCCGTATTACTGGCTATAGTAAGTTTCCTTTCAATGCATCATGAAGAGAAGAAAGCTTTTAGAAGTTAATTAAATGCATTTGTGCAATAACGCTTTGTCTAGCATGCTGCACAAAGAGGTGCTATAGCCTTTTGAAACTATTATTACCATATTCATGCGACCAGGAAATTTTATTACTAAAGGTAGAAGAATGAACACTATCATTTGCAGGAAATAATTATACAGCCAAAGAGATTACTCTTTGTAAAATTTTCAACTGTAAAACATTTAAATAGCCTTTATATGTAATTGTTGATGTGTGCTCAAAATGCACTCATTTTCACTGTGATATCTAGTCAACCCTTTTAAAACTGACTTCCCTCTCATCATATCGTGCTTCGTGATTAGCATTTTATGACAAAGTGATCAAGTGGAAGAGAATCATCAAATTTTATTTCAATTGATGGAAATGTTTTTCAAATGATGCAGCATGTGTTGTTTCAAATATTAAGTTCCTTACAGTTAGAAGAATTATGTAGTTATATAAGATCATTTTTTCATCCAATATATTCCTTGTACAATTATCAGTACACGGCTAACTATAGTTAATTGTTTTGTTGGCAAACAGTGCTAATGGTATGAACTTGTTATGTGCTCCCTACCAACCATTCTTAGTAGATGTCAAGGGCGGATTTACTGTGCGGAGATGGGTGCAGTGGGTGCCACCCCCCAAAACATCAGATTCCACCCCCTTAAACTGTTCACTCTTCTAAGAAACATTTTAACCCCCAAATTTTTAGTCAAAAAAATCAGTAGTAAGGTTGAATTGAGTTTTTCAAGGCAAAATTTCAACTTTTTACACGACTTTTAATAGCTGCATTACCACACAGCCCTAAATTCCAGACCCTTACATTGTCTTCTGTCACTTCATCAACAGCTCACTCCCCTAAAATTTTTAGCACCGCCCTGGGAAAAAAGATTAAAATCTGTCCTTTGTAGATGTACATTGATTATAGCAAATGTTGAAAGCATTGATGGTTCAGCAACATCTCTAACAAACTCTTTTGATACAAAACAGGTTCAACCAACCATGGAGAAAAACACTTCTTGTGCTTTAATTGAGGAGGATTTTTGGGGTGATAGTGATGACATGGATGATTTTTTGTCGCAGGTATGTACTAGTATGTACTAGTTATTGCCTTTAGATGTACGGTATCTACAAATAAATATATGGTTCATGCAAGTATGAGTGTTTGCATGGGAAGAAAGTCAAGAAACCTGTGGCACGACAGTCTCCAACTAGCTCATTAAGGAATGGAGGCAATGCTGTATCTGGCCTCGATACTTGCTGGGGTCAATATTCATATCTGAATGTTATAATTTTCAGAAAACAACTGATTTAAAAGGAACTTAATATGGCAGAACATGAATATTTGAATATTGCCCTCACCCCAATTATCAATCTAGCTACGGCCTTCGATGTACATGTACAATGTGTCTCCCAACATTCATTTTGAGTGTCATCCCTTTATTGAATATGATTCCTAGTAGAAATTCTTTTAATATTCAACTCCTTGCAAACTCAGGCTTTCCTTATATAATTTGTTTATACCATAGAAACATGAGAGATATTTTGATACCTTTTAAATCAATTTGAACAAAAAAAAACTAGGTTGATGTGGAGGAGATTTGTAGTCAGAGCATTTCAGAAAACAGTGATCAATGTTTTTCACAAGACTTGAAGCCAGACTGTTCTGTTGATTCAGGTGAGCGATTTGAATTTAATTATGCAGGATCGATGACTTAGAACCCAATCTATTAGATACGTATCTTACTCTGCTAAAATTCTGTAGTTTTGAGTGAGACAAGCTGCCATCTTGAAAGGCAACAAAAATGACGATATTTACAAATAATATCTGCTTTTTCTCAATTGATATACATTTGCAAAGTGGATAGTCTAGGCTTAAGTTTTAAAATGTTTGATGGGATAGGATTTTCAAATCTTCTAACTTTTTTTTCATTTTGAGTTTTGCTTTTTCCACCTCAACACGGTAGCTTTTAGATGATTGGGTTCTAAATCATTGTGCAGCTATTTTATCCAATAAAATCCATATACAGGTTTGCAGTAAATAGCTTGTTACCATTGTTTTGTGTACAAATAGTGAACGCAGTTTGCACTGTATGGTTAAGTTTACTTTGTCAACCACGCTCAGTTTTTTTTTACATTTATTATAGCAAATGTCAAAAGCAGTGATGGTCCTACAACCTCCCTAAAAAACCCTAATAATACTGTGCAGGATCAGTCAACCGTGTACAAAACCAATTCTCAAGCTTCGAACGAGAACTTTTTTGGTGAAAGCGATGACATGGACGATTTTTTGTCTGAGGTGCGTAATTGCATGTCGCCTTAAGATGTACCTACGTACAAAGGAATACTTGGTTCATGCAATTATGATTGTTTGCATGTGAATAAGCAATTGGCATGACTTCCTTTCGACATCTGAGTGGGGTAAGGCTGGATGTTGGATGTGTCTCCCAACTTTTCTAGGACATGCCTGTTGAATATGAATTTTTAAGAAATTCGCTTTGTACGTAATTATCGTATTTGTGGAATGTTGAGAGTTTGATGTGCTCTGTACATGTTGCTGTACACGTTTTACAGGGCCAAACCCGAGTCTTTAATCTATTGATGAAAGAACGTTTTTTAAGATTTTCTCATTATTCTATAACCATTCCTGTTTCGTACTACTCTTAGAAAGATGTTCTGTATAACCATTCCTGTTTCGTACAACCTTTAGAAGATGTTCTGTATAACCATTCCTGTTTCGTACTACTCTTAGAAAGATGTTCTGTATAACCATTCCTGTTTCGTACAACCCTTACAAAGATGTTCTGTATAACCATTCCTGTTTCGTACAACCCTTACAAAGATGTTCTGCATAACCATTCCTGTTTCGTACAACCTTTAGAAGATGTTCTGTATAACCATTCCTGTTTCGTACAACCCTTAGAAAGATGTTCTGTATAACCAACAACCCTTACAAAGATGTTCTGTGTAACCATTCCTGTTTCGTACAACCTTTAGAAGATGTTCTGTATAACCATTCCTGTTTCGTACTACTCTTAGAAAGATGTTCTGTATAACCATTCCTGTTTCTACAAAGATGTTCTGTATAACCATTCCTGTTTCGTACAACCTTTAGAAGATGTTCTGTATAACCATTCCTGTTTCGTACAACCCTTAGAAAGATGTTCTGTATAACCATTCCTGTTTCGTACAACCTTTAGAACATCTTTAATACTTTATTCAGTTTTTTCTAACACTTCAAGCTTTCCTTGACTAATTTTCTTTCACCATTTGTTTGATGGCGTAAATTTCGGGAGACATTTTGAAACTTTGTAAATCAATTTGAACAAAAAAAACTAGGTTGAAGTGGAGGAGATTTGTAGTCAGAGCATTTCAGAAAACAGTGATCAATGTTTTTCACAAGACTTGAAGCCGGACTGTTCTGTTGATTCAGGTGAGCGGTTTGAATTCATATTCGATTTGAATTAGAGTGAATGGTAATGTTTCTAGTTGATCGTTTGTTCACAATGACAATACACAATTGACACCCACACATTTCCAGTACACACAATACAATGACGTAAGAATCAGATAACAAATACGGCTAACCTGACGTTTACTCCTCGTTTGACTCTGAAGATGACTACCGCTAAGGTTGTCGAAACGTCAGTCAACAACAACAAAAACAGTCCTTCTCAGGACTATACCAACCTGGACGATCTACATTTACAAACATTGAATTTATATATTCATTAAAATTCTATAGTTCTTATATGATAGAAGTAATTTAATAATTACTAAACTCATAACGACTAGAAAAATTTTAATAATGTTAAGAGTTTTATACATGATCCAACTAATCAGTGAAAAATATACATGATCCTACTGATCAGTGAGAAATATACATGATCCAACTAATCAGTGAGAAATATGCATGATCCAACTAATCAGTGAAAATATACATGATCCAACTAATCAGTGAGAAATATACATGATCCAACTAATCAGTGAGAAATATACATGAACCAACTAATCAGTGAGAAATATACATGATCCTACTAATCAGTGAGAAATATACATGATCCAACTAATCAGTGAGAAATATACATGATCCAACTAATCAGTGAGAAATATACATGATCCTACTAATCAGTGAGAAATATACATGATCCAACTAATCAGTGAGAAATATACATGATCCAACTAATCAGTGAGAAATATACATGATCCAACTAATCAGTGAGAAATATACATGATCCAACTAATCAGTGAGAAATATACATGATCCACTAATCAGTGAGAAATATACATGATCCTACTAATCAGTGAGAAATATACATGATCCAACTAATCAGTGAGAAATATACATGATCCAACTAATCAGTGAGAAATATACATGATCCAACTAATCAGTGATAAATATACATGATCCAACTAATCAGTGAGAAATATACATGATCCAACTAATCAGTGAGAAATATACATGAACCAACTAATCAGTGAAATATACATGATCCTACTAATCAGTGAAATATACATGATCCAACTAATCAGTGAGAAATATACATGATCCAACTAATCAGTAGAAATATACATGATCCTACTAATCAGTAGAAATATACATGATCCTACTAATGAAATATACATGAACCAACTAATCAGTGAGAAATATACATGATCCAACTAATCAGTGAGAAATATACCTTATCCAACTAATCAGTGAGAAATATACATGATCCTACTAATCAGTGAGAAATATACATGATCCTACTAATCAGTGAGAAATACACATGATCCAACTAATCAGTGAGAAATATACATGATCCAACTAATCAGTGACAAATATACATGATCCAACTAATCAGTGAGAAAAATGATCATTGTGCACGTCAATTAGATCAAGTGTCTCTATAGATACGATTATTATATTTTGTTCATGGGTTGGTTTTTGACCAACTTGAATAGCAATCGTGAACTTGTAGCATAGCAAATTTATTGGTGTATGTACGTAGGTCGTGAAGTTTAGTAAATGCATTAAATTTTGCAGTATTTTGCATTTTTAGAATATAATACAAAATAGTGATACTTTTTGATATTATACGCTTTCCTCGTTTCTTTCTTAAATATGGCCAACAAACCGCATTCAGTAGCTAATCAGGAAGGTAACATAGAGGGCAACAAACCGCATTCAGTAGCTAATCAGGAAGGTAACATAGAGTTCAACAAACCGCATGTAGTAGCTAATCAAGAAGGTAACATAGAGTTCAACAAACCGCATGTAGTAGCTAATCAAGAAGGTAACATAGAGTTCAACAAACCGCATGTAGTAGCTAATCAGGAAGGTAACATAGAGTTCAACGTCGTTTTTTTTAGTGATAGAAGTTGACGAAGATGAACCGACAACAGCCCATACAGATTTTCTTAAAACAAATTTCGGATACTCAAAATTTCGACCGTATGTGAATGATTTTTCTTTAAAGATGATATTGTTGTAGTTCAAATAATTTTATCAACACAACGCTCTGGGACAATGTTATTGCAATGGGTATCTTAGATATGTTGCAATAGTTTTGCAATGTGGATTTTTAAGTGTTATCCATTTGTACTACCATTTGGATTTTTTGAGTGTGGTGTAATGGTACAGCAAGAATAACAATACATTATGTTTTGATCTTAACGTATTTATATATTTAAAATGTTTTCATTTTTCATCAAAAGATTAGATTCATTCTCCACAAGCACTGTGATCTATATAGTTCTGGATTATCCTCTGAATCGGTCATTTGTACCTAGAAGCTCAAAACAAATATATTATTTACAGAATGCAGTGGAAAATCATCTGTTCAGTCATTAAAAAAAAGAGAGATGTATGTGTTGTCATGTCAACAGGTACTATCAGTTGATTTGGTATATGTAGCCGCGTGATTACTTTTGTACTTCGGTGTACCTCTCTCTCATATGGCTAGTCCACTGAAATGTTCTGTTTAGTCCCTTTGTATTTGTTTCATTTCAACACGCGCAATTTTATACGCTTTTAAAACGCATTACATGAATGTATGAAGCAAGCTCCTTTTGCAAGTTCTTTTGTTAACAAGATCCATGCTGTAATAAAATTTTAAGTGTGTTATAGATTATGTTAAAGATTAATATATTATATATATTCTCTGATGATGGCTTTGGAATAAAGTCGAAACACGGTGCCATCCAGTAAACTGCTATAGTGGCGAGAATCTCTCGTCCATACGCAGTTTAAAAGAGGTTTGACTTGTCTCCAACCCCTGTGGGCTTAGTAGCTCAACAGGTAGAGCGGCGGACTAGTATCCCGAAGGTGCGAGTTCAAATCTCGTCCAAGTCACATGTTTTTCATGTGCATATTAAAAACCGTGTTAGGATTAATATATTATTTATAGATTATTGAGTGTATTTATGTTTAGCCCGTCATTCTTTGCATTTTTGGCTGCGCAGCTCATTGTCCTCATGTTTTAGGTTATGGTAAAAGTCTTTGCTATCAATATCCTGCAGTTTTTACTGGAAAGACGACAATTGTGGTGTCGCCTCTGATCTCTTTGATGCAAGATCAAGTGCAGAAACTGGAGTAAGTTCCTGATGTGCTCCCTTAGCTACGACGACGATAATTTTTATCAAATCTTCATAAGTATATTTGTTCATCTATTGTCCCAGCATTGCTTCAATAATTTTGCGTAAATTATTTTTGATGTGTGACTTTACTGCCACTTTCAAATAACAAAATAGCTTATGCCCACCGGCAAATATATTTTCAGTTTTTTCATCTTGCATGATTTTTTTATTGATAAATAAATTGTATCCTTCTCAAGAAGCATTTTTGTTGTGCTTTTTTCGCCCGTGTTGAATCATTGCCATTTGTATTATGAAAAAGTTGACGTTTTTATTCTAAGGGTTTTCAACATTCCTGTCTGTTATGTATTACGAAAAAGTTGACGTTTTTATTCTAAGGGTTTTCAACATTCCTGCCTGTTATGTATTATGAAAAAGTTGACGTTTTTATTCTAAGGGTTTTCAACGTTCCTGCCTGTTATGTATTACGAAAAAGTTGACGTTTTTATTCTAAGGGTTTTCAACATTCCTGCCTGTTATGTATTACGAAAAAGTTGATGTCTTTATTCTAAGGGTTTTCAACATTCCTGCCTGTTATCTTGGATCAGCTCAAGCCAATCAAAAAGCTGTGAAGTCGGCTGTATTGAGGTAAATCTTTGTTTTTCTCTTCTTTTACTATGATTAAAGTACTTGGAGTTATTACTACAAAGAGCACAAATTAAACCAGAACGAGAGAATATTTTATTTTTAGTGAGACTAGTAGACTTTGTTTTTATTTTTCAAGAAATATCAGACTTAGTCGTTGTCTATTACACAGATGTTTTGAAACAATTGGTTATTTACTTAAAAATGTTTTTATTTGCCATGAAGTCAATGAATGTTCCATTGAACTATAATACATGGAATGCTACCTGTAATAGAAAAGCCTAATAGTTTTTTGAAGCCAAATTTTACACCCAGACACTCTTGTGTGTGTAGTCAATCAATTTTCACTCCGCGAGAGAATCTCGAACCACTACACACGCGTGTCTGGGTGTAATCTCGCGTGTCTGGGTGTAAGATTTCGCTTCAATTATTTGCTTCAGGTAGCGTTCCATGTATTTTATTTCAATGGATTGTTCACCTCATGACACATGAATGAAAATTAAATGGGAGTTAATGGCGAAATTAGATAAATAAAACATTTTATGATCGATTCAAACTTTATCCTTTGATCGGGACATGTTTTTACATAGACGACTATGTTCTAGGCTGTTGCGGTATTAAAAAAACCCGATATTGATATATCGAAAAAAATACCGATATATCGATTTTTTTTCGATATTGAAACTTAGCCAACAATTGGCGCGCAGGTGTGATTGGGTCAAGATTGTCTAATAGTATACAAAACCATTAAAAACTGCCGTAAAGCCATTAAAAACTATCTATAATAACTAAATATATCGTAAAACTGAATATTTCTGTATTTTTTTCGATATTTTTGGTATATTGATATGTCGATATACCCAAAAAACCAATATCGATAAAACGATATTTAAAAAACCCCGATATACATCGATATACCCCGATATACTCCGATATACATCGATATACCCCGATATACCGCCGCAGCCAACTATGTTCCCTTTATTAAAATTATTTACAACAATTTGCTATTTTTCTAGAGGTAAATACCGGATTGTTTATGTAACTCCAGAGTACATTGACTGTGATTCGGATTTCATTCAATCTGTTCATCGCAATGTGGGTAAGTTTGAAAGTTTCCTTTATAATTTGGTATGTCATGTTGGAAATTGATTTGAATCGGTTGAATAACAACGTGCATCGTTATGAAACCTTATTGCATCGTTCTAAAATGTGAAATTGGTGTGAATCGGTTGGTAAACAACATGCGTCGTTAAGAAACCGCAATGCAACGTGTAAAATTTTGAAATTGTGTGAATCGGTTGGTAAACAACATGCGTCGTTAAGAAACCGCGATGCAACGTGTAAAATGTGGAATTGATTTGATTCGGTTGAAAAACAACGTGCATCGTTATGAAACCATATTGCATCGTTCTAAAATGTGGAATTGATGTGAATCGGTTGGTAAACAACATGCGTCGTTAAGAAACCGCGATGCAACGTGTAAAATGTGGAATTGATTTTAATCGGTTGAAAAACAACGTGCATCGTTATGAAACCATATTGCATCGTTCTAAAATGTGGAATTGATGTGAATCGGTTGGTAAACAACATGCGTCGTTAAGAAACCGCGATGCATCGTGTAAAATGTGGAATTGATTTTAATCGGTTGAAAACAACGTGCATCGTTATGAAACCATATTGCATCGTTCTAAAATGTGGAATTGATGTGAATCGGTTGGTAAACAACATGCGTCGTTAAGAAACCGCGATGCAACGTGTAAAATGTGGAATTGATTTTAATCGGTTGAAAACAACGTGCATCGTTATGAAACCATATTGCATCGTTCTAAAATGTGGAATTGATGTGAATCGGTTGGTAAACAACATGCGTCGTTAAGAAACCGCGATGCAACGTGTAAAATGTGGAATTGATTTTAATCGGTTGAAAAACAACGTGCATCGTTATGAAACCATATTGCATCGTTCTAAAATGTGGAATTGATGTGAATCGGTTGGTAAACAACATGCGTCGTTAAGAAACCGCGATGCAACGTGTAAAATGTGGAATTGATTTTAATCGGTTGAAAACAACGTGCATCGTTATGAAACCATATTGCATCGTTCTAAAATGTGGAATTGATGTGAATCGGTTGGTAAACAACATGCGTCGTTAAGAAACCGCGATGCATCGTGTAAAATGGAATTGATTTTAATCGGTTGAAAAACAACGTGCATCGTTAAGAAACCATATTGCATCGTTCTAAAATGTGGAATTGATGTGAATCGGTTGGAAAACAACATGCGTCGTTAAGAAACCGCGATGCAACGTGTAAAATGTGGAATTGATTTTAATCGGTTGAAAAACAACGTGCATCGTTATGAAACCATATTGCATCGTTCTAAAATGTGGAATTGATGTGAATCGGTTGGTAAACAACATGCGTCGTTAAGAAACCGCGATGCAACGTGTAAAATGTGGAATTGATTTTAATCGGTTGAAAAACAACGTGCATCGTTAAGAAACCATATTGCATCGTTCTAAAATGTGGAATTGATGTGAATCGGTTGGAAAACAACATGCGTCGTTAAGAAACCGCGATGCAACGTGTAAAATGTGGAATTGATTTTAATCGGTTGAAAAACAACGTGCATCGTTAAGAAACCATAATGTATCTTGTAAAATGCTATTGGTGAACGAACCTGATTTTCTTTGTGATGTAGCTTAGTGAGCCGTATTTTTTTGTTATTCTCCAATGAAAGTTTTTTCCATGGATTTCACTTCCCTTTAAGTTTAAAAGTCATTTACAGTAATTAACATCTTTACAATAGTGCATATAGAGTGAAGCATTTTATGGCATTCTCACAACTGCAGCTTTTTCTTGTTCGAAATACTTTGTTTGTTGTTCATTTTCAGTGAAAGAAATAATTGTTCTTCAATGCTTTTCCATAGTGACCAAAGTTTTTCGACATTTTAATATGTTTCCATTTTCAAGGAATTGTTTGTGTTGCCATCATTGAACTAAAATACATGGAACGCTACATGTAATAGAAAAGCCTAATAATTTTTTGAAGCCAAATCTTACACCCAGACACGCTTGTGTATGTAGTCAATCAATTTTCTCTGATTCTCGACACGCGTGTCTTGGTGTAAGTGTAGATTTGGCTTCAAATATTTGCTTTAGGTTTCGTTCCATGTATTTTAGTTCAATGGCTGCCATTGATGAAGCTCATTGTGTATCGCAATGGGGTCATGAAATTTCAAATATGTTTCCATTTTCAAGGAATTGTGTGTGTTGCCATTGATGAAGCTCATTGTGTATCGCAATGGGGTCATGAAATTTTTTAATATGTTTCCATTTTCAAGGAATTGTGTGTGTTGCCATTGATGAAGCTCATTGTGTATCGCAATGGGGTCATGATTTCAGAGATTCTTATCGTTTGCTCGGTGGAATAAAAGCAAAATTACCCGAGGTAAACGATAGCTTTTGTACATTTATACATCCTTCTTATTCATAAATTGTCACGGTGATTGTTTTTAGGTAGTTATGATGGCGTTAACTGCGACTGCCACATCTGTGGTACAAAGAGATATCTGTTCATGTCTTAAACTCGACAATCCATTACAAGTGAAAACTAGTTTTAACAGGTAGGAAGAGTTGACTAGTTTAACAAGTTTGATTACGTAGTTTTAGTGAGTATGAGATGACTATGTTAAGTAGTTAAGAGCTGGCGAGTGTTAGTGAGCATAGAGGGACCAGTTTAAGTTATTATGAGGGACTAGATTTAGCTAGTATAACAAACTTAGTAAGTATTAGATGACTAGTTTTAGTAAGTATGAGGTGGCTAGCTTTAGTAAGTATGAGGTGGCTAGTTTTAGTAAGTATGAGGTGGCTAGTTTTAGTAAGTATGTGGTGGCTAGTTTTAGTAAGTATAGGTGGCTAGTTTTAGTTAGTAAGGTGGCCAGTTTTAGTAAGTATGAGGTGGCCAGTTTTAGTAAGTATGAGGTAGTTTTAGTAAGTAGGTGGCCAGTTTTAGTAAGTATGAGGTGGCTAGTTTTAGTAAGTATGAGGTGGCTAGTTTTAGTTAGTATGAGGTGGCTAGTTTTAGTAAGTATGAGGTGGCCAGTTTTAGTAAGTATGAGGTGGCCCTTTTTAGTAAGTTTGAAGTGGCTAGTTTTAGTATGAGGTGGCTAGTTTTAGTAAGTTTGAGGTGGCTAGTTTTAGTAAGTATGAGGTGGCCAGTTTTAGTAAGTGAGGTGGCCAGTTTTAGTAAGTATGAGGTGGCCAGTTTTAGTAAGTATGAGGTGGCCAGTTTTAGTAAGTATGAGGTGGCCAGTTTTAGTAAGTTTGAGGTGGCCAGTTTTAGTAAGTATGAAGTCACTAGTTAAATTAAGTATGACGTGACTAGTTTCAATAAGTATAAGGTGGCCCAGAACGTGAGGTGATTAGTTTTAATAAGTATGAGTTGCCTGTAGTTGAAGCAAATAAGATGTTGAATTTTATATCCAGCCAGAGGAACTAGTTGATCTAGGGAAAAACGCAAGTTGGGAAGTAAATGTTATGAAAAGAAATTTTATCAAGTATCATTCAACCTTTTGAACAATCAGAAAAGGACTTGCATGCGGTATTAACTTGGACTGTGCTTTAAAAAATCGACTTGATTTTGTTATTGTTTAGACCCAATCTGTATCTTCAAGTGAAGAGGAAGAGCTCGAATCCTGAATATGACTTGAAGGACTTGATTACAAATAAATCAAAGTACAGCACTTGAGAAAATCACTAAAAAATAGTACAAATGCGATAGTAATATTCTATTTTCTTTAATTCCAGTGGCGATAAATTGTTTGGTGGCTCCTCTATCATTTACTGTCCTACCAAAAAGGAAACCGAGAATGTCACTAAGATATTGAAAGGTTTACACAAAAGAATTAATTGTTTCAGCTACTTGTAACTTTTCTATCCATTATAAGCTACGTAAAATTACAACCTTCATTTAAAATACATCTTGCAATGATTATAAAGGGAAAGAAATAGTTTTACTTCAACATAAGCTACTTTGAATACTGTAACCTTCATTTAAAATAAATCTTGCATTGATTATAAAGGGAATGAAATAGTTTTACTTCAATATGAGCTACTTTGAACATTACAACCTTCATTTAAAATAAATCTTGCATTGATTATAAAGGGAATGAAATAGTTTTACTTCAATATAAGCTACTTTGAATATTACAACCTTCATTTAAAATACATCTTGCAATGATTATAAAGGGAAAGAAATAGTTTTACTTCAATATAAGCTACTTTGAATATTACAACCTTCATTTAAAATACATCTTGCAATGATTATAAAGGGAAAGAAATAGTTTTACTTCAATATAAGCTACTTTGAACATTACAACCTTCATTTAAAATACATCTTGCAATGATTATAAAGGGAAAGAAATAGTTTTACTTCAATATAAGCTACTTTGAACATTACAACCTTCATTTAAAATACATCTTGCAATGATTATAAAGGGAAAGAAATAGTTTTACTTCAATATAAGCTACTTTGAACATTACAACCTTCATTTAAAATACATCTTGCAATGATTATAAAGGGAAAGAAATAGTTTTACTTCAATATAAGCTACTTTGAATATTACAACCTTCATTTAAAATACATCTTGCAATGATTATATAGGGAAAGAAATAGTTTTACTTCAATATAAGCTACTTTGAATATTACAACCTTCATTTAAAATAAATCTTGCAATGATTGTAAATTTTAATTGCCTTTCATCATTATTTCATGTTTTACTATTGCAAAGGTATCGGTGTAAATTGCGAAGCTTATCATGCTGGTCTGTCAACAAAAACACGTATGAACACTCACAGAAAGTTTGTTAGGGATGAAATTGAGGTATTTTTATGGTAACATTTTTATGGATTATTTTGACCATGTATAAAATAAGTAGAGGCTTTTGAGTCAAATTGAAATATGAATACTGCGAAGGCAAGCTGTCAAAATCCACAGGCTGATTGCAGTACTGTTTACATATGGTTTTCCACCATTTTTTCGGCAACATACATACGTAAGGACCTTACCAAATCAATGACGAAATTTTGTGATATTGTTTTCGAGAACAGATGTGATGAATGAACGTAAAATGAAAAAAAAAATGCAAAAAATTCTTCGCTTTTTCACGTTTGCCCGCTTATATTGGACATTTTCAATCATCATTGTGACCGAATTTGGAGAAATTCAACAATTTATCAAAATTTTTAATCGTATTTTAGTGTGTCGTTGCTACTGTAGCGTTTGGCATGGGAATTGATAAACCGGATGTCCGAAATATCATACATTATGGAGGTACAGGTCACAACGTAACGTGGTCAGCGGAAGATCAATGATTGAGAGGGAGCAATATTTATATTATATGTTCTTCTTTCTTATACATTCTATTGAAATGAATTGTAGTTACAGATTATACTGTATGAATGTATAAATATATCCCTTCTTTCATTAAACTTCTTATTAACTGTTAGGTGTATTAAAAACATCTGGGATCGGTTGCACGAAGGTCGAAAAGCGCTATCCCCTGGATAGCAAATTATTTTCAACGTTCAAGAAATCTCTTATGAAAGAAAATCATACGATTTTAACTGTGCAATCACTGAAATAAAATATTCTTTCGAAGATTACAAAATTTCTTTGTCGCAAGAAAAATATAAACACCGTTTCTGCAAGTTTGAAAATTTTCGCTATCCAATGGATAACTCTATCCAGGCTTCGTGCAACCTGCCCCAGTTTGATAAAACATCGCTCACTTTCCTTTTGGCGTGACATTAGCATTTACCATGAAGGGTTTGTTTTAGAATATTTCAATATCCCTCCGAAATGTTTCTCTGCTTTTCTGCTTCACAGCTCCTAAAGATATTGAATCGTATTATCAAGAGATTGGTCGAGCTGGCAGAGATGGGTAAGAGCTCAACGTACATGTATTGTAGTTGCACGTTTCTTTATTTGTCAGGACAAATGCGTCGTGTGCTTCCCACTGCAACTTCATTTTGTTTTCATTTTCAAAACACAATCATTTAATTTTCAAAAATTTTTCATGTATAAAAAAGGATTGTTTCTTATATTAAATAGACTTTTTTAAGCGAAATTATTAAATTCATTTATGATAGAAATAAACCATGCACGTGAGAATGTGTGCTTAGGTTTCACAAGCCAAATTTTTGTGTTTGATTTGTGGCTGCTCATGGCGGCAGTTTTTAAGTTTTTGCCAAACATTATGTGAAATGTCCCCAAAAGATGCATATTAATAAATAACAATTTTTTAAGCTTCATAAATTATTTATCCAAGTATTGCCAACGACGAGTGAAACACGAAGACAAACACATGACAAATGAGGGATTCGAAAATAAAGGGCAAACTGAGTTGACATGAGAAAGTAACAGCTTACTTCGCGTTTTAAATTTATTTAAATTTTAATGTTTCAATGAAAACAGAAAATAAAGGGCAAACTGAGTTGACATGAGAAAGTAACAGCTTACTTTGCGTTTTAAATTTATTTAAATTTTAATGTTTCAATGAAAACAGAAAATAAAGGACAAACTGAGTTGACATGAGAAAGTAACAGCTTACTTTGCGTTTTAAATTTATTTCAATTTTAATGTTTCAATGAAAACAGAAAATAAAGGGCAAACTGAGTTGACATGAGAAAGTAACAGCTTACTTTGCGTTTTAAATTTATTTAAATTTTAATGTTTCAATGAAAACAGAAAATAAAGGGCAAACTGAGTTGACATGAGAAAGTAACAGCTTACTTTGCGTTTTAAATTTATTTAAATTTTAATGTTTCAATGAAAACAGAAAATAAAGGGCAAACTGAGTTGACATGAGAAAGTAACAGCTTACTTTGCGTTTTAAATTTATTTAAATTTTAATGTTTCAATGAAAACAGAAAATAAAGGGCAAACTGAGTTGACATGAGAAAGTAACAGCTTACTTTGCGTTTTAAATTTATTTAAATTTTAATGTTTCAATGAAAACAGAAAATAAAGGGCAAACTGAGTTGACATGAGAAAGTAACAGCTTACTTTGCGTTTTAAATTTATTTAAATTTTAATGCTTCAATGAAAACAGAAAATAAAGGGCAAACTGAGTTGACATGAGAAAGTAACAGCTTACTTTGCGTTTTAAATTTATTTAAATTTTAATGTTTCAATGAAAACAGAAAATAAAGGGCAAACTGAGTTGACATGAGAAAGTAACAGCTTACTTCGCGTTTTAGATTTATTTCAATATTAATGTTTCAATGAAAACAGAAAATAAAGGGCAAACTGAGTTGACATGAGAAAGTAACAGCTTACTTTGCGTTTTAAATTTATTTAAATTTTAATGTTTCAATGAAAACAGAAAATAAAGGGCAAACTGAGTTGACATGAGAAAGTAACAGCTTACTTCGCGTTTTAAATTTATTTAAATTTTAATGTTTCAATGAAAACAGAAAATAAAGGGCAAACTGAGTTGACATGAGAAAGTAACAGCTTACTTTGCGTTTTAAATTTATTTAAATTTTAATGCTTCAATGAAAACAGAAAATAAAGGGCAAACTGAGTTGACATGAGAAAGTAACAGCTTACTTTGCGTTTTAAATTTATTTAAATTTTAATGTTTCAATGAAAACAGAAAATAAAGGGCAAACTGAGTTGACATGAGAAAGTAACAGCTTACTTTGCGTTTTAAATTTATTTCAATTTTAATGTTTCAATGAAAACAGAAAATAAAGGGCAAACTGAGTTGACATGAGAAAGTAACAGCTTACTTTGCGTTTTAAATTTATTTAAATTTTAATGTTTCAATGAAAACAGAAAATAAAGGGCAAACTGAGTTGACATGAGAAAGTAACAGCTTACTTTGCGTTTTAAATTTATTTAAATTTTAATGTTTCAATGAAAACAGAAAATAAAGGGCAAACTGAGTTGACATGAGAAAGTAACAGCTTACTTTGCGTTTTAAATTTATTTAAATTTTAATGTTTCAATGAAAACGTGCATGGTAGTAACTCAATTGTAAATGGCGGTAGTATAAAATATGTAATTGCCTTTAAAGGCTAAGTTTAACTTTTTACTAAACCTTGCTGTATAATTTCCTAGCTTCTAATACTCTTATATTAATAATTTACAGTACATAATGCCATTTTAGAATTTTCCTTGCCGTGGGGTGGTGTGTACTCCCCTTCAACGCCAGCAAATCCGCCTCTGTTTAAAAAACATTTTTTAGTTTTAGTGGTAGACTGTTTGCAAGCTATATTTCATAGAGGTAAAGGGAAATTACATAGTTCTACATACATTAATAACACAGTTCTTAATGATTATTTATGGATAATAACGTGCAGTTCTTTATATTAATAGAGCATAACGTAATTCTGTATCATTGTAGTTCAAACTGTTTTGTTGGCATAATGAGTAAATGACCTGTTTTGATAAACATATTAATACCTTTAGCTTACAGAGCTCGTGCTATACCTTCTACAATAATTCAGATTTTATCCTTGCAAGGTAAGTTAGTGCAGTTCATATACGTTCTTATATAAAAATGTACCGATACCGTATTAAAAAAAAACAACAATAGATGATGGCGATAAAACTTTATTTCTAGAGGACAACACGTGACACAACAAGTGCTAGAAACTTGTGGCACTCAATAATTTACAATATATTTAATTACAAATTTAAGACTAAAAACTCATGGTATCTACAGATTATTTAAAGTTAATAATATCAAAAGCACTATTATGAAGTTTCTTTTCAAAAGGTTTGGCGGAAGAAAGTTTACAAAATTTGTACTTAGCCTACGCTATTTTGTCTCTTTAATTCAGGCAAACAAATTGTTGATTTCATCCTTTATGTATGACATTCTGTTGTTAGTAGAAATAGAACTTGTTCTATTTTCATCTGAAAAGATCACAGGAAGCCGACTAGCCAAATTACATAGATTTGAAAAAGACTTTGAAACAGGATTAAAATACGCAAATATATCGATAAATGTACTTGAAAACACAAATGGCTCAAGACTATAAATATCTAAACTTATCTAAATATCAACAAAACTATCTGACAGTTTGAACAAGCAATCAAAAGACGGAACCGAAACAATCGGATCCGATAAACTGGAACCGGTGAACGGCCTTCAGATAGAAAGAAAACTCTAATTACGTATGTATGAAACCACCTGGATTGCTGTACGCGAAGGAGGTTTTAAGGGGTGTGACTGTACGGTGCAATTTTTCCAGACAAGGGGTTGGGGCAGCACTCCCCCCTTGCGATAGTAACTTCTAGTATGTATATATATATATATATATTGTTTAAAAATAAATTTTCTCCGGATTTTATAAATAATTTTGTTGAGCTTTCGACTCGTTGCTTCGAGCCTTCATCAGAATGAGGAAAATATCTGTTTACAGTTGCTTTTAGCTTGTAGACGCGTCTAATTGGATTAGCGGGTGGATTTATGTGAGTGGATGGGGATTAATGTGGTGGATTAATGATTAATATACATATATAGTTTTGTTCTTATATTTTCCAATCCTTCAAAACCGTAGGATGTTTGCAAACACAATAAAAAATGAAAAATTCAAGAACTATAAAATATCCATGGCCCAGGAAATGAAACATTACTTAAGCACAATTAGTTGCAGGAGACGGTATGTGTATATTTCATTGTGTTATCTAGTGAAAGTAAATACCGTAAACCCCCGCCAATAAGCACTGGGTTTTTATAAGTTTGTATATTTTATGGGGGAGGGGGTTGGTGCATAGATTATATACTGCACTGATCTGTAAACATTACACATTTAAAGAATGTGTGTCAACCAAGATGCATTGCGCGTTGATCACGGCGTGGCGGCCATTTTCTGGGACGCGAAAATGGCGGCTTGTGTTATTATTTGTTGTCCATGGAACTTTGACCAAACGACAACTTTAAAATAGAATGTTTAAGTAATTTTAAAAGTTTTGATTTGAAATGGCGTCGTTTCCTTAGCGAGGAAGGCCAAAACGGAAAGTTGAACAACAACGGATTTGTTTACAGATTGAATTATACCACGAGTGGATAAGACAAAAAGAGTTAAATAGAATGGTACAACAGACAGATAGTGAATTTGCTGCTTATTTTCTTCAAATTTTGAATGAAAAGAAAAACGTAGCTATAATTTACAACTACTAAACTAGTAAATCGCCATTAAAAAATAACAGCGTTGAGTTTTACATACAATAACTGTATTTTCTAGGCATTTTAATAAAAACATGTTCTGCAAAGTGAAATTTACCTGTGTCCGTTTCGAAGTTTGTACCAACTCAGCACTCGTAATTACACTCAAAATTTTTAAATAATGTTTTTTTTGTTTAATTATTCAGCTGAATTAGATGATGTATATCGGGGAACTAGGATTCAGTGTACCGATGGCTCAAAAATTAACCATGTAAACATAAACAAAAGCGCGCAATGCATCGTAGTTGACACACATTCTTTAAAGAAATTTGCGGGTGATGTTATATGAGGGTGGGCTTTTCTATGAAATTAGTTAAACACACAGTGTAGAAACAAACAGTAGTCCCACTCTATTGAAATTTTTTGTTTGGCGCATATCTTATTACGCATGTAATTAGCATAGTGGCAGCCAGTCAATTGCTTTTTTGGGCCAATAGGAGCACTAAGGTGGCTAGCTGAAGCCAGTAATCTACTTAAATATACTGCACCAAGTTGCACAATGGAGCGAGACTACTGTATGTTTCTATACTGTGGTTAAACATCACGATTAAAGTTTTTAAATTATTAGTTTGTACTTTTGGTTCTTGTTTTTGTTGGTAATGGTCAAAGTAATTGTCCTGATTAATTAAGATCTTAGTATCGTTGAATTTTACGTATGGTAATCGAGTGGCCAGTTGTACAGCATTTGAAGTTCCTATCTGCAGTCATATATGTAAAGTTTACTAGCTTTTCACGTGAAAATATAGGGTCATTCTATCGTATTGGTCAGTGGTATAACATTTGAAGTTCCTATCTGCAGTCATATATGTAAAGTTTACTTACTTTTCACGTGAAAATATAGGGTCATTCTATCGTATTTTGGCGAGAAATTTCCTCTTCAGTCGACATCTGATGAAGACTGCTGTGACAATTGTCAAAGAAGGTAAGAATTCAGATGTTAATCTTTTTTGGATTTTTAGGTTCGCTCCATTTTTTCAGTGGAAAGTTTGCTTTGTATAATTCTTTGATCTGAATAACTACTATTTACACAGAGTATGTCATCAAAATTAATATAGTTTATTTAAGCACGATTTGTTTCAGAAAAGCTTGGCGCCTAATCACTGTGTTAGAAATCAGGAGGGAGTGAATATTAAAAATATTTTTCCAAGTTAACGTTTGAAAACATAAAAAGATGTGTGTCAACCAAGATGCATTGCGCGTTTATTACAACGTGGCGGCCATTTTGTGCGACGAGAAAATGGTGGATTTTGTTGTTGTAGTGCATACAACCTAAACAATAGTATAAAAAAATAGAGCTTTTACTCAAGGCTTTTTGCTAACTCTTGAGATAAATTAGACGACGTAGTGACGAAATGGAATTCAGTGTACCGCAAGCTCAAATAGTAGCGATGTAAACATTACCAAAAGCGCGCAATGCATCTTGGTTAATACACTTTCTTTAAAATCGGGAACCCGAAATTGATTCCTAATCCGAAACCGTAACACTTTAACTAATACTTCTAGGTATGGCAGACATGTTAGAGGTTGGATAGAGGATCAATTTTGCGTATTGTACAAACATGGAATTCTACCAAAAATTTGCCATTGTCTCAGTGTTTTTGACTGTGTTAATACAAGTGCTATTATTTCTTCCAGATCTCATTGAACTTTATGATATAATCCCACTGCAGTTATTGATTTACTGAAACTTTATGATATAATCCCACTGCAGTTATTGATTTACTGAAACTTTATGATATAATCCCACTGCAGTTATTGATTTACTGAAACTTTATGATATAATCCCACTGCAGTTATTGATTTACTGACAGCCTGTTTACATTGTTTATTCAGAGCACTTGGTTTTACCACAACTACAGACGGAGAAAAAGTCAATTACGCGAAAGAAGCTAAAGATATTTTTACTGCAATAAAGGTTATTTTCAAAATTTTTGTACAACTCATAAGTCTGTATTGTCTGTACCATGCATCGTACCTTTAGCGAAATTCTCTGTTATCATTTTCACAGTAATTTTGTAGCGCAAATTATTGTTACCGTAATTTTGTAGCGCTAATTATTTTTACGGTAATTTTGTAGCGCAAATTATTTTTACGGTAATTTTGTAGCGCAAATTATTTTTACGGTAATTTTGCAGCGCAAATTATTCTTACGGTAATTTTGTAGCGCAAACTATTTTTACGGTAATTTTGTAGCGCAAACTATTTTTACGGTAATTTTGTAGCGCAAACTATTTTTACGGTAATTTTGTAGCGCAAATTATTTTTACGGTAATTTTGTAGCGCAAACTATTTTTACGGTAATTTTGTAGCGCAAATTATTTTACGGTAATTTTGTAGCGCAAATTATTTTACGGTAATTTTGTAGCGCAAATTATGTTTACGGTAATTTTGTAGCGCAAATTATGTTTACGGTAATTTTGTAGCGCAAATTATTTTACGGTAATTTTGTAGCGCAAATTATTTTTACGGTAATTTTGTAGCGCAAATTATGTTTACGGTAATTTTGTAGCGCAAACTATTTTTACGGTAATTTTGTAGCGCATATTATTTTTACGGTAATTTTGTAGCGCAAACTATTTTTACGGTAATTTTGTAGCGCAAATTATTTTTACGGTAATTTTGTAGCGCAAACTATTTTTACGGTAATTTTGTTGCGCGAATTATTTTTACGGTAATTTTGTAGCGCAAATTATTTTTACGGTAATTTTGTAGCGCAAATTATTTTTACGGTAATTATAATTCTAAGGGGACTTTAAACGTCAAGTGGTTGTGCAAAAATAGTCGTTTTTGAGGTTTTAGTCTGGTCGAATTTTGAAATTTTTTATCCTCGTTGCCAACCATGGTTGCTTCTTGTAAGATTGTAAGAAAGCATGACTAAATATGACTACGCCACTCTTTGTACTTATGAGGCTCTTTTTCCCTCTAAGGTGACAGGTAATGGCAGATATGGTATGGGAGTACCTGTTATGCTTCTTCGTGGTTCTGTAAGTAACATCACATTACAAACATGAGCGAAACTGTTAAAAGTCAAATGATATAGATCAACATTTTACGTGTAGTAAATCTTGTATTTGAGTGATCTGTTTATTGTTTCATATGAAGCCATGAGAGGCGTTTGCAGTCTTTATGTTTTTAAAGTGTCGTTGTTCAAAATTAATTTTTTAACAGGAGTTACTCTTTCTCGAGCATTTAGTTCAAACTCATCTTGTTTTTCTCGTCTCATTGTGGAGCGTATAAACATTTATCCATAAGGGCATAAGAGCTTTTTCTAAAGACTCTCCGACATTTATGAATAAAACTATAGAGAATTTTATGGTTTTATGTCAAGTTAACGTGCGTTGTGTCAAGGGAATGGTTAAAGTGTTATTTGTTTGATGTAAAATTTCAGACAAGCCGAAGATTGCCTGAATATCTAACAAAAAAAACAGAATATGGCAGTGGCAAGTAAGTTTCTTGTAACAATGCTTCTCCGTTTTTTTTAATGTATTATTCCCAACATCTGTATATATTATTTCGAATTATTTCATCGTAGGTACCGTACAGAAAAATGGTGGAAGGCTTTTGGTAAGGAATTTGAATACTTTAATCCGATGTATTGAAGTACATATTAGAACAAATGATGAAGATTATTATTTGTTTGTAAATGTAGATCGTCCAGGTTGGTATGGTCCTGAGAAGGACTGTTTTTGTTGTAGTTGACTGACGTTTCGACAACCTTAGCGGTAGGCATCTTCAGAGTAAAAAAAAAAGTCAAAATTCTTTTTTCACTCTGAAGATGACTACCGCTAAGGTTGTCGAAACGTCAGTCAACAACAACAAAAACAGTTCTTCTCAGGACTTCTACTAACCTGGACGATCAACATTTACAAACATGTAACGATACTCCCGGGCTCAAACTATTTACTTTATTAATATTATTATTGTTATTGTTGTTAATATAATAAACCCGATTTTGCAGTGATTATTAGTAATAGTATTTTTTAGCATGTCAGTTGATGATTGAAGGGTATCTTTCGGAAATGTCTGTGCAACATGCTACATGGACAACCACCAAATTGACAGGTTTGTTTATTTCCACGATAATAGTAGGTCGTAGTGAATCCATGGTTTGTCAAAATACATTATATGTACTCAATTTTGAATTCATGATACCTTCAGAACCAACCTATTGGTTTTGAATTTATAAAGAAAAAAGTTTTACCAATCAAATTGTCTCTAACGCGTTTGAAAAAGGAAAAACATGCAAAAAAATGAGCTTCATATATTGACGTGCCCTAGATCAGCCACAGTTAGATTTGTATGTACAAGGCATCGATGAAATTTGACGTACCCTAGATCAGCCACAGTTAGATTTGTATGTACAAGGCATCGATGAAATTTGACGTACCCTAGATTCCCCACTGTTAGATTTCTATGTACAAGGCATCGATCAAAATTGACGTACCCTAGATCAGTCACAGTTAGATTTGTATGTACAAGGCATCGATGAAAATTGACGTGCCCTAGATCAGCCACAGTTAGATTTGTATGTACAAGTCATCGATGAAATTTGACGTACCCTAGATTCCCCACTGTTAGATTTGTATGTACAAGGCATCGATGAAAATTGACGTACCCTAGATCAGCCACAGTTAGATTTGTATGTACAAGGCATCGATGAAAATTGACGTACCCTAGATTCCCCACTGTTAGATTTGTATGTACAAGGCATCGATGAAAATTGACGTACCCTAGATCCGCCACTGTTAGATTTGTATGTACAAGGCATCGATGAAAATTGAAGTGCCCTAGATCCGCCACTGTTAGATTTGTATGTACAAGGCATCGATGAAAATTGAAGAGCTCTAGATCCGCCACTGTTAGATTTGTATGTACAAGGCATCGATGAAAATTGACGTACCCTAGATCCGCCACTGTTAGATTTGTATGTACAAGGCATCGATGAAAATTGAAGTGCCCTAGATCAGCCACTGTTAGATTTGTATGTACAAGGCATCGATAAAATTGACGTGCCCTAGATCCGCCACAGTTAGATTTGTATGTACAAGACATCGATGAAAATTGACGTGCCCTAGATCCGCCACAGTTAGATTTGTATGTACAAGGCATCGATGAAAATTGACGTGCCCTAGATCCGCCACAGTTAGATTTGTATGTACAAGGCATCGATGAAAATTGAAGTGCCCTAGATCCGCCACAGTTAGATTTGTATGTACAAGGCATCGATGAAAATTGAAGTGCCCTAGATCCGCCACAGTTAGATTTGTGTGTACAAGGCATCGATGAAAATTGACGTGCCCTAGATCCGCCACTGTTAGATTTGTATGTACAAGGCATCGATGAAAATTGACGTACCCTAGATTCCCCACTGTTAGATTTGTATGTACAAGGCATCGATGAAAATTGACGTACCCTAGATCCGCCACTGTTAGATTTGTATGTACAAGGCATCGATGAAAATTGAAGTGCCCTAGATCCGCCACTGTTAGATTTGTATGTACAAGGCATCGATGAAAATTGAAGAGCTCTAGATCCGCCACTGTTAGATTTGTATGTACAAGGCATCGATGAAAATTGACGTACCCTAGATCCGCCACTGTTAGATTTGTATGTACAAGGCATCGATGAAAATTGAAGTGCCCTAGATCAGCCACTGTTAGATTTGTATGTACAAGGCATCGATAAAAATTGACGTGCCCTAGATCCGCCACAGTTAGATTTGTATGTACAAGACATCGATGAAAATTGACGCCCTAGATCCGCCACAGTTAGATTTGTATGTACAAGGCATCGATGAAAATTGACGTGCCCTAGATCCGCCACAGTTAGATTTGTATGTACAAGGCATCGATGAAAATTGAAGTGCCCTAGATCCACCACAGTTAGATTTGTATGTACAAGGCATCGATGAAAATTGAAGTGCCCTAGATCCGCCACAGTTAGATTTGTGTGTACAAGGCATCGATGAAAATTGACGTGCCCTAGATCCGCCACTGTTAGATTTGTATGTACAAGGCATCGATGAAAATTGAAGTGCCCTAGATCCGCCACAGTTAGATTTGTATGTACAAGGCATCGATGAAAATTGACGTGCCCTAGATCCGCCACTGTTAGATTTGTATGTACAAGGCATCGATGAAAATTGAAGTGCCCGTCAGTGTATAGCTCGAACAATAAAATAACAAATGCCCAAACATTTTGTCTGATTATCAATAATTGTTTAGCAAAAGGTCTTAATTGGCTTAACAGATGGGAGAAAAGTAAAGACAGTGTTTTGCTTGTGGAACCCACTCAGGTAGCGAAATGATAACATTGTCTTTTAATTTTGCTAGCGTCGTTTTTTTTCGACGTCAGAAACAAAATTTTATCATGAACAAGATATCCCTGTTAAGTATCTCTTCAAATTATCGAAAGGTTATTTTTTCTTAATGATATAAAACATGCATCTCTATTAGCTAATCAAGATAAGAATGATATATCTTCACCTCAAGGAAAAATGTGGGAGAGTGATGATTTTATAGCTATCCTCTGCCAAAAGAGAAATTTGTGGTGGGGGGTGGGGGGGATGGGTGTTATTATAGCTACTATATCCGCACCATAAGGAAAAATCTAGGGAAGAATTATTGGCTACAAGGTAGAAATTGTTATATAATTTCGCAACTTGCTATTTTCTCGCTGAACATTTAGACCTCGCTGAACGTGTGTCGTCCTTTTTATAGTTTGGTCGACATATGTTGCACACTTGTGCATGAAGAAATGTGTCATTTTTATAGTTTGGTCGACATATGTTGCACACTTGTGCATGAAGAAATGTGTCATTTTTATAGTTTGGTCGACACATGATGCACACTTGTGCATGAAGAAATGTGTCATTTTTATAGTTTGGTCGACACATAATGCACACGTGTGCATGAAGAAATGTGTCATTTTTATAGTTTTGTCGACACGTGATGCACACGTGTGCATGAAGAAATGTGTCATTTTTATAGTTTGTTCGACACATGCTGCACACTTGTGCATGAAGAAATGTGTCATTTTTATAGTTTGGTCGACACATAATGCACACGTGTGCATGAAGAAATGTGTCATTTTATAGGTGACAATGCACACGTGTGCATGAATAAATGTGTCATTTTTATAGTTTGTTCGACACATGATGCACACTTGTGCATGAAGAAATGTGTCATTTTTATAGTTTGTTCGACACATGCTGCACACTGTGCATGAATAAATGTGCCATTTTTCCTATGTATATGTTTCAGGATATGTTAAGTGAAGAAAGAGATATCGTGGCGAAGACCTCTCTAACTAAAGCCATTGCAGTCAAGTCTACAGTTTCAGAAAATTGTATCGGTAGATTGTTGTATAAGTCTAAAGAAAGCCTTCATGTGGCTCCTTCGTCCGAGAAAGTTTTAGAACCTGTTTCTAAACGAGAATCTGAGCTCGAGGTGATTTTTATTGACATCTTTCATTTATGATGATGAGATAATGACAAATGATATTTTCGTTATTACTTGGACTTTGTTAAACAACGTCTTTTTCATATACGATGATGAGATGACGACAAAATATCTTTTCGTTGTTACTTGGACTTTGTTAAACAACGTCTTTTTCATATACGATGATGAGATGATGACAAATTATCTTTTCGTTGTTACTTGGACTTTGTTGAACAACATCTTTTTCATATACGATGATGAGATGATGACAAATTATCTTTTCGTTGTTACTTGGACTTTGTTGAACAACATCTTTTTCATATATGATGATGAGATGACGACAAATTATCTTTTCGTTGTTACTTGGACTTTGTTGAACAACATCTTTTTCATATATGATGATGAGATGACGACAAATTATCTTTTCGTTATTACTTAGACTTTGATAAACAACGTCTTTTTCATATATGATGATGAGATGATGACAAATTATCTTTTCGTTATTACTTGGACTTTGTTGAACAACGTCTTTTTCATATATGATGATGAGATGATGACAAATTATCTTTTCGTTGTTACTTGGACTTTGTTGAACAACATCTTTTTCATATATGATGATGAGATGACGACAAATTATCTTTTCGTTATTACTTAGACTTTGATAAACAACGTCTTTTTCATATATGATGATGAGATGACGACAAATTATCTTTTCGTTATTACTTGGACTTTGTTAACAACGTCTTTTTCATATATGATGATGAGATGATGACAAATTATCTTTTCGTTATTACTTGGACTTTGTTGAACAACGTCTTTTTCATATATGATGATGAGATGATGACAAATTATCTTTTCGTTATTACTTGGACTTTGTTAATATACGTGTGAATGTTATTGTACTATGTATGAGTGATGAACCCATTTAGATGCTCCAAACTTAAAGTCAGCGCAATCTTTTAGCGTCTGTTGTATTTAAATGTATTTTGTTATTATAATTCCATGATGTATTTTTATGTAGTATATTGCAGAAAACATTTCGACCTCCCCCCAAAGAAATGGTGTGGTGCCCTCTCCAACTCCTCACCCCCCGTGCCATGTCATTGATGCTCTATGTTGTTTCGTTTTTTTCTCATGCTACAGGGAACTCTGTATCAAGAGCTGTTGAAATTTCGTGGCGAACTTGCACGTCGTCATGATTGCGCCCCATATATGATAGCCAGTAATAAACAGTTGATTGACATTGTCAGACACAGGTACGAGATGAGATAGATTATTTATTATGAATATGTTATTTACTGCCTGTGAGGTCCGTACTGAAAAACGGTGAAGAAATTTTTAATATCTTTATTTTTATAATCAAGAAATTCGCCTTGCAAAATGGCCGATTTGACTTGTTGAGACTAAAATTGTTTTGTTTTCTGCAAAGCTCATTTCGTCTGGCTAGTAAAATTCACTCTCGCTATGATAACTACCATCTGAATTTATTTTTATATCTCCTTGAACAATTTACATGGCGTTTAAATCAATTTTCAAAATTCAAATTTTACTTTGTCAACAAATGCATGGCGAAAAATATCACTTTTGGACTACGGTCAAGACATCTTAAAAACCGCCCGCTACTAAAACCAATCAGAGTAAAAAATACCACTAGGCATGCATAAATAAAAATATATTATGTCTAGTTATTATGCATTCATCTAGCGTACCGGAAATTATGTTTGTGTCACGTGGTTCGGAATTAAAGTATTGAAGATGAAAAATCATACATTTTCCTTTTTTTCTGTAATTATATTTGGTTTTCGACTCATAAAATGGTTTATAATTTTATATGATGGTTTACGATACATAATCTTTTCACGTATTAAAGTTGTAAAGGGCCTGTTTTCGTGCTCCTGTGCCTAAACATGACCAAATGACAGTCCAAATACCAAACATTTTTATCCACCCTTTATATTATATAACTGTAGCAGACACCCACACTGACCTTGAAAAGCCGATATTTTGAAATCCAATTAGTGCCACTAAGATAAAAATTCACTTCATATATATGTTCTTTTATAAATCATCTTTTGTGATTGATATGGACTTTTATGATTCACGGGAACGTCTTTGACTAAAGTGTTCCTAATGTGAATGATGTGGGAATTTATGATTCACGGGAACGTCTTTGACTAAAGTGTACCTAATGTGAATGATGTGGGAATTTATGATTCACGGGAACGTCTTTGACTAAAGTGTACCTAATGTGAATGATGTGGGAATTTATGATTCATGGGGACGTCTGTGACTAATGTGTACCTATTGTGAATGATGTTGGAATTTATTATTCATGGGGACGTCTTTGACTAATGTGTACCTATTGTGAATGATGTTGGAATTTATTATTCATGGGGACGTCTTTGACTAATGTGTACCTAATTTGAACGATGTGGGAATTTATGATTTTAGGCGGACAACGACTGAATCACTGAATAATGTTGAAGGTTTCTCAGCAAAAATGTGCGAACGATTTGGAAAAGAGATTGTTGAACTTGTTTCAAATTTTTGCGAAGAAAATGATCTTGCCACTGATAAAATGCCTTCTGTAAAGGTATTTACCTATCCGCCATTTTTCTTCATCTATGCGTTCGACTTTAGTTCGTACATCAACTCGTTGAAATGTTAAAACGTATGAGTAAAACAAGTGTTTGAAAACAAAAGAAGTTAGCAAAGTTTTTTTTCTGCAAATTTTCTTTCTGTATTTCATAGCTGATTCTAGAAATGAAGACATGTATGTTATTTAGCGGCTGGGAGGTCCGGATGGAAAAGTAGCTTTCTATGCTGACCGACCTAGGTGGCAAATTACGTATTTATTTTTTTGCGTAAGGTAACAGTCTTACTAGATTGTGCTGTGAGCTTCAATAATGGCGGCAAAGTAAACAGTCAAAACTTTGCTGTTCATTCAACTTTGGAATACTCAACATTCACTTGAAATAGATTATTACAATCAAAAGTTGGTTCATCGTTTCCTTTGTAGAATCTCAGACATAGTAGAATTCCGCCCGCTGCTACAGCCAATAAGATTGTAGGAAAAACTATAGGATTCCGCCCGCTGCTACAGCCAATAAGATTGCAGGAAAAGCTATAGGATTCCGCCCGCTGCTACAGCCAATAAGATTGTAGGAAAAGCTGTAGGATTCCGCCCGCTGCTACAGCCAATAAGATTGCAAGAAAAGCTATAGGATTGCGCACGCATCTGATTTGTAAAGAAAAAATTGTTCTACTTTATGATTTCCAAAACAGTTAGGGACGTTGTAGTATGAAAATTGTATTTACTGAAACTGTTATATGTGTCAGTGGCTAGTTGAGCTGTATTCTGTGTTATCAATATAGGTGGTTTGAATATTACTTTACGGCCGCCATGTTTGTTGAATTTGACAAAGGATTTTTCTTGTTTACGATTCAAATTTCAACCAACATGGAGAATATCTCTCTGCCTTTCAACTCTTTGGGGAATGGTTGCACTCAATGACCTAGAACCCAATCTACTAGATATCTGACTCTGCCGATATTGTATAGTAATGAGTGAGGCAAGCCTCCATCTTGAAAGGTGGCAAAACTGATGATATTTACGACTAATATCTGCTTTTGCTGAGTTGATATAGAGTTGTAAAGGTCTATATCTACTCAGGCTATAAGTCTAGGTTTAATTATTAAAATGTTTGATATGATGGGTTTTTAAACTTTGTTTTAACTTCCTTTTCATTTTGAGTTTTTCTTTTTGCCAACTTTCAAGATGGCGTTCCTCGCCTCAGCTTGACACGGTAGTTATACAACTAGAGGATTGGGTTCTAAATCATTGGTTGCACTCCACTATTTCTTCTTTGTCTGCATACTGTGAAAATATCCGCATTCATAAGAAATTTCTTTCCAACAATCTTGATACTTTAAGACAGTGGCTCTGTGATAAGCTCAAACTATAAATTTTACTGATACTTTATTGTTTAGAATTCTCTCTTCCTGAATTGTGTGGATTGATTTACCGAATCATATATTTTACTAAATTTTTTCAGAAAGTTGTTTTGCCTCTAACATCGTTGTCCGCGACAGTTTCGATCAGTTACAATGCTTTTCATGAAGAAAACAAGTCTTTGGTAAGTAAATTTTAAAAGAAAATTGATCGAAAACCGTGAGACATCCCGGCCTTTTCAAGTTCATTCATTACAGTTCAGTTTAGTTTAGTTTGATTTAACTAAATTTAATCCAATTCAATTCTATTCAATTTAATTGAGTTAAGTTTTATTTAATTTAATCCAATTCAATTCTGTTCAATTTAATTGAGTTAAGTTTAATTTAATTTAATCCAATTCAATTCTATTCAACTTAACCATAGAATAGAGTGTATTCTCTATGCAAATGAATGTATTCTCTATTCTATGACTTAACATCAGGAGGGTTACATAAAGTGTTTTTCAACTCACAACAAGTGGCCTTCAAATTTTGTGAAAATTTATAGAAAAACTAATTTCTGCGCACAAGGTGTCTAAAAAAAAACCCGCACGGAATCCATACCAAAAATCATGAATGCATCAAAATGAAATCCGTATAAAATAGTTAATCGGCAATAGCTGTTTGTTGCGCCTGGTTAGATTTAGCCATGCGCTCGTCCATGTTTGTTGCAATTTATGGGAAATATGATGACGTTTTTGTGGCTGTTATAACCAAGTTAATGTCGCTTTGCCTTTACAAAGCTTTTACGTAATAAAATTGAGATAAAATTCAGTGTAAGACAGTACATTTAAGTTCTAACTTGTTTTGCTTTAACTAATACTCTACAAACCCGAGTAAATCTTAGAGGCGCGGTACCGTCAAGTTCATTGAACAGTTTTGAATGCCAGTTACATTAATGTGCATAATAACTTTAGCGAATACATAATATTGTAGCCAATGAGGTGCCAGGCGGGAAACGGATTCTCAATATAAATATTAGTGCCCAACAAATAATTTTAAACATAGTCATAAACAATTTGGTTTTATGAAATTTATTAAAAGAGTGACGTTTCGTCTTTATTCAAGACATCTTCAGACTAATTAGGAAGTTAACAAGAATATAGATATATATAGAGCTATTTACATAGTTTGAGGTTACTGTGAATGTGTAGGTGTGATGTGATGTATTGTGTGATGTAAGTGTGATGTAAGTGTGATGTATTGTTAGGGTGAGGTGTTGAGACTAGAACGTCACTCTTTTAAAAAATTTCATAAAACCAAATTGTTTATGACTATGTTTAAAATTATTTGTTGGGCTCTAATATTTATATTGAGAATACATAATTAATTTATGCGGGTTCCGTTTTCTGGTACACCGACACCTTATACATTATAGAAATAAAAATGCACGCATATTGGAATTCATAAACAAGTTTGGTACTTTTTTTGGCATGTTTGTATAACTCGATATAGAGCGTTTTCACTCATTCCGTTGGGATCAACATGACGATAGAGGAAACGGCCATATTGGTGTACAAAAAAACTTCTATTGGAACACCAACATGGCGGCTATGACGTCATGTGAAAACGTCACTTTCTCACTAATTAAATGTAATGCATTTGTTTGCTCATGTTTAGGAAAAGATCGCGAAATCTCGCAATATGGTTTTAACAACAATAGAAGGTCACCTCAGCGATGCTTTAAAGGCCGGCTACCCTGTCAATCTTCAGCGAGGTTTTAACCGTGCTCTCATATTGATCGTGCAAATTAAACCACGTTGATTCGTAATTTCGATTATTTTTCTGTGGAATTTGGATGACTTGTCAATTACTTGGTGAATTCAGTTAAAGAATATGTGTCCACCAAGATGCATTGCGCGCTTGTTTATGTTTATATCATTTTTTGAGCTTGCAGCACACTGAATTCAATTTCGTCTCTTAGTCGTCTAATTTATATGAAAAATATGAAAAAAGCGTTGAATAAAAACTCTATTTTACAATTATTATTATCGTTTGTTTAAGTTGCATGCACTACAATAAGAAAATCCGTCATTTTCTTGAGCCACAAAATGGCCGTCACGCTGTGATTAACGCGCAATGCATCTTGGTTGACACACATTCTTTGATTGTGTTGAGAATTTACTTGCCCAACAAATATATGGTCGTGCTTTTATTTTACTTGTGTCAGATCTGCTAGCCGTCTCCCCATTCTTTGGATGATTTATTTCTCCAACATTGAGATTGATTTTTCATTTTACACGTGTCAGTTGTGTTAGCTAGCCCTCTCCCCCACACTCGCCGTTCATGATTGTGGTCATAATCCTCTGATATCTTATATAGCTGGAGTCACAGATGACATCTACAATCGAGTCATTTCGGTTTGTAAAGCAACGAATTTCAACTCAGGTTAGAAAAAATTAATTTTTTTGATGTATTTACCCTGTCGTTGTCGGAAGTTCTGAGAATAGTTTGAAAACAATATCATTGATTTCATACATTCTGTGTGAATGCAGAAAACTATCAGTCTTCTTTCTTTTCTCTCCATTTTTCTATGACTCACATTTAAAGAATAAAAGATGTTTACTGTGCTTGCACAGGCTTATGCAAACCGAGGAGACCTTTGGGAGAACTCGAGAGCAGATCAGTGTAAGCCCGAGACCGAAGGTCGAGGGTTGCACCTGCTCGAAAATGACGAATATTTTAAATTTTCCTCTAAAATGTATTCATGATCGATTTGCAAATTCTCTTTGACTGATTGATTGTTATGATTGATTTGATTGGTTGCGTTCAGATGTGTTTTGCACAGGCTAATGCAAACACAGCTCTAGACCAATCAGCGCACGCGTTTCATTGTGTTTATTTTATAAAAGCTAATTAAGCACTATCTTTCCGGGAATTAAACTCACTTAACTTATTTCCGCGTATTGTGTTTCCTTTTCATGTCACTTGCCGCAAGAAACAGTTGAAAAATAAATTTCTTTTGGCTTTCAGTTACTTTTCGTGATATTTGATAAGAAAAATGAAGGAATTTTTACATAAAGTATTTATTGCTAATGCCATGAACTTTAAATTATTCTAGATGGTTTTAAATTAGCTCCTATAAAGGAACAGTTGCCTGATGTAAGTTACGGCAAAATAAAACTTGTTTTGGCGAGTTGGAAGAGATCGGGCGGTGAAGAATTTTGGGAGGTATGATTTTTTTGATACTTTGCAATGAAATAAGAGTTTTATTTCTTGTTTAAAAAGCTCAATGCCACTCAGTATGATATGCAAATAATGGATCTATGTTGAGTTTCTTTAAAGTAAATGGTTTAAACCCGGGAGTATCGTTACATGTTTGTAAATGTCGATCGTCCAGGTTGGTATAGTCCTGAGAAGGACTGTTTTTTTGTTGTTGTTGACTGACGTTTCGACAACCTTGAGTTTTGTTCATGGCCATATATGCGAGATTTATATCGCATTGTTAAAATTAATCTTTTTCGTTGTTGAAACAGCTATAAAAGTTGTTTGTGATGAACTTATTTACTTGCCAAATACGAGCGTGCTTTCTGATTGGGTCAATCAGATAATAGCGATGAAAATTGATAATTAACTCTTTAGATTTATGAATTCTTTTGCGTATTGTACTTCATTGTACTTGCGTAACCTATCGTAGACCCTGATCGTACAGGTGGATGCCCAAGTCCACTTTATAAAAAAAGGATAATGCGTAAGCCATTTTTGCGATACCTTCAACAATGTCAATGAATTTTAATGACTCTATCTTTGTGCTAAAGTTTCCCATCTTTTTTTCTCACTTCAAGAATAAAAACTCACGAGAGTCTCGAACCTGTTTTAATTATTTTCATCGCTTAAGAAGCTAATCATTGAAATTAATTTCATCGTTTAATAATCTTACGTGGCAAATATAACTTCTACTTGTTCTGCCTCCTAATCCTTGATTAAAACCAAAGTAAAAGGATTTCCAGTGTGACATAGACTGAAATGATATCCGTGTTATGTTAAAAATTTACATCGTCTTATGGCATTCCAGTGTAGTAAAAGCTGAAATAATGTTCATGTTATGTAAAGTTTACAATACTCTGTCACATATCTGCAAGGGCGTCATTCCATGGTTAATTGGGGGAGACCATATTCATATATTTTGTTATGCCAAGCTGATTTCAAGTGAAGTTGTTTTGAAAAAAAAGTAGCCAGGCATAACTGAATATATGAATATTGACAATATCAAATTGACATATCTGACTCTGAAGACGACTGCCGCTAAGGATGTCGAAACATCAGTCAACAACAACAAAAACAGTCCTTCTCAGGACTATACTAACCTGGACGATCTACATCTACAAACATGTAACAATACGCTCGGGTTCAAGCAATCCACTTTAAAAACAGATAGGATACGCATGTTATATGTAAATAACAGTTCTACGTGTGTTTAAAGGTCCCCTTTCAGCAAAAATTTTTAATAACAATATTAAATTTATGTGTGATTTTCAACGTATTAGTGAAAAAAGTTTTTATGTTTGTGAAATCGTTTCATTTTTATTTCTATTTAAAGTTAGCAAAAATGTTCCTTTTATTGGGCCCTTGTCCGTCGTTCGAAAAGTCTGGAGCGACTTACCTTGTGACGTCATGCAAGGGATTCCTCAATGCAAAATATATATACCAACTACTTTTGATGACGTCAAAATTTGACTAGACCCAGGCTCCATGCCACGACGGACAAGGTCCATCGAAAGGCAACTTTAAGCCTCCATAACAAGAAGACAATTTGACCAAATTAAATTCTTTTTACCGATATGTTAGATATTACACCAAATTTTGATATCGCTAATAAAAATTTTTGCTGATAGGGGCACTTTCATCGTTCTGTTTCAGACCAAGTATCAAAGCGTCACCTCATCCCAGGGAGCTAAGAGAAAACTGCCTTCATCATTGACGATAAACCATTCTTCAAAAAGAAGACTAAAAATATAAAGAGAAAGTAAAAACAAATTCTAAAACGATGGCGAAGCGCAGATAACATTAGAGAGATTTAGTAAACACGACGTATCGTCTAAAGGCTGATTTCCGTTCAGTGCAAATTGTCGCGCGATAGACTTTGTCTGATCACTTTCTTTTCAATTGTAAGCTCTCGACCGGAACAGTTTCACACTGCTGCACACAATTCAAAAGAAAAGCGCGACAATTTCCACTGAATGGAAACCAGCCTTAAGACGCCGTGAAAACGGCGTAAATATGGCGTGGATCCAACCATATATGGGAATATCACGCCATTTTTACGCCATTTTCACGACGTCTTAGGCGATACGTTGTGTTTGCTAAATCTCTCTATTATCTAGAATTATGTTTCCAGTTTGATATTCAACATGTAACGTTGCGTTTATTTCTTAAACTACAACTTGCTTAGAGTTAATTTTGTTAATTACAAACACAACACTGCTAACTATCCACTCAGAAGCAAGGCTGCTGTTTACATCATTACGATGGTCATCGTCGTCATGACTATTGTGATCACGCAGAATTTGTCATGAGCTTTTTCAGGATAAATCACATAAATTTAGTACAAAATACTGAAGTAAGAATATCTATTTTAAAAATTTGCGTCAAGCCCCGGTGAACGTAGCTGTATCTGAAAACAGTATCAAAACAAGGATTTTGATTGGTCAATGACCAAACGAGAAAAAGAATTTGAATGCTATGGAAGTGGACTGAAATTTTTGCTACTTGTCAAAATTAATTATAAAATGATTGCCTAGCAACCGTTTTCAATGTTACGGATTTTTATACTTTTGGATTTTAAGTCTTTTGGTCCGTGGAGAGTTTTTAGGTTCCTCCTGATTTCCTTGGCAAACTTTGATCTTCATTTCGTCAACAAAACATGGCGTCTTTAATTTCCATGCCTCGATCACAAAGTTAATCTCGTCGTAAATGTCAGCTGAAAAAAGCATGTCTGAATGCCGATACCAGTTTGTTGTAGATCTACACAGTTGCAAAGCCCCACTCAGTCATTTACCGCAGTTTATATAGTAAATGTTATAAATGTCACCGATTATATGTATTGTATTTTTAAGTCTCCATTTTATTGGACTAATTTCATAGAACTTATCCCATTGTTGTTGTTGTTGAGCTTGTGATATTATAGAACTTGTACATCATTTGTAAGCAGTTTTATAATCATTTTTAGCAGTTTTATAATAATTTGTAAGCAGTTTTATAATTTAAATTCAATTTAAGATCCCGATGAATGTTTTGATCATGACATTCTGTCATGATCTTGCCAACCAATACAAATATATCTGTACGAATATCAACTACCAACGCTTAAATCTTTCTGATTTTGTATTTTTTCAAAGTTAACGGCATCGAAGCTTTGCTTCTCTTTACTCCGTCTCCATAGGTACAATGGGTAAAACATAACCATTACTTGAAATACCAAGAGGCCAACATTGACCTGAAACAAGTAAGAGACAAATAGTTTATCATAATCGAAAATTTAAAATATTTTCCACATAAAACCGTTTTTCTGACACGAGTGAAAATTGAGATGACAAGAAATAGTGTCGAAAGACGAAGGCCATTGTGGCAAGGCATCCGGGTCTTTTTCTTGCCATCTCAAAATAGCAAAAGCGTGGTCATTTTGAAGATGATTTTACGTGTAAAGAACGTCGGAAATTTTTAATGTTTACACTTAGTTATGACTTATTAATGTGTACTTAACGTGCACATTAACGATTTTAAACAACTTTAACTAAATTCTTTCACGTAAAGGATTATTGAAGAACATCTTAATCATTTCTGTTTTAACTTACAAATTAGTAGCACGATTTTGATACTTTCAGGAAACACAAAATCTTCCAAGCATTCAACAAATGCAACAATTTGAACGCATTACAATGTTAAAAATGACATTTTTGAGTTGTTTTAAACTAGTTCTTTTCTTTATAAAAATTTAATGCGTTCATCAAACTACTTCACTTTACTATGTTATTTCTCTCGTATTTATTTTTTCACCCTTATCAAAAGTATACATTACATGAAGTATGAGGAGAGCGAGCCCGGATTCCAGGATTCATAAAATACAAACACGATTCATGTACATTTTCTTACCATAGTAGGATCCCCGTTATAAGGTCCCTCCATTAAAGCAAACATCAAAAATTGTACAAGAGCAAGAAGAGAAGTGAACACCAGAGTTGCACCAATCAAAGAGCCAGTGTGGTATAATGGAAATCTAGGAAACATAAATTGATTTTGGAAGACATCTTAACAAGTCGTGAAGGAAGCGAGATCTCGCTTCTAACGGGCTCATATGACTGCATCAAGCTGGCCAGCACGGCTGAACCGGGCTGCAAGTGATGAGATTGCGCATGCTCTTGTCTTATTTATTTACTTCAATATGACAAAAATTTCTGAACAATTAACCATGTGCATTCAGAGGCGTAACTAGAACATTAATTGGAGGGTGCATATTCATATATTCCGTTGTGCCCTACTGATTTTGAAAGTGAATTGAATTTATGAATACACCCCCTCCCCCCAATTAACGTTCTAGTTACGCCTCTGTGTTCATTTGAAAAATAAGTTTGAAATTTTCATGTAATACTTCTACAATAATCGGTGGAACTCAATGGTACCAATCAGATTGTTGTAATGTATGAGTCTAAACACATTTTCATATTCCCGCAAAATTCAAAAATTTTTGGCAGAAATTACGACGTTTGTTATAACTATTACGCAGATTGTTTTCACACCATATAAATATATTCGATAATTATAATGTGTAGCTATTTTACAACACATGACAATACAGTGGAATTGTGGGACGTTACATTCATAAGGATTCTTGCTCCTCGTGTTTGACTTGAAAATATATGAATTTCTTCATACTTAAATCATTTATGGAAATTAAAGAAGATAAGTTTTTCAAGGGAAAATTCTTTGCGCAACTAGTCTGAATCAGTGAACTCTATAATAAATTGGTAAAAATGAAATAAACGAGTTCTAAATCCACCAAATCGAATTGTTTGACGCCAATTTGAATTTGATAGTAGTTACGTAATTACGTAACTACTAAGACACATTTCAATTTATTTGCATTTTGTCTTGAGTGATAGCTAGTTACGTCCGTTTGGATTGGGTGAGATTCGAAAAATAGCATTATTTAGCCCTTAATAACCTAGCTAGAGGTCTTTGCGGAGAAATATGGGACCAAAATTTTTTGTACAGACCGAGCCCGTAAGGTGAGGTTTGTACAAAAAGACAGAGGTCCGATATTTCTCAGTAAAGTCCGAGAAAGCAAGATTATTTTTGCTTTCTTTCTCGACCTTGCTGTTTTTTACCGCTTGGCTTTCATTTTTCTATTTTTCATCCATAAAAAAATAAATCGTTTCAAATTGTATCGTCTAGATAGTTAAACTGATTTTCAAGTGTTTTTCCTTCGAATCACATTCGTAAATGGTTTTTTTCTTTCGTTTATTTTGCGTTGTGCTGTTTGCATTACGTAGTTTGTTTACATTTGACTGTAAAATTGCGCGGTTTGGACCGTGGTCGATTACGAGAAAATAATGGACCGGCAAAAATGTTTCTGAGCCAATCAAAGCGCGTCATTTAGCCGGAAGTGACGCTTGCCATATAATAAAACTACTTACTCTTTGATGACAAAAGATCCATGAGTAGAATATAGAAATGACCTCATTACGCCATAAGATATAAAACTTAAAATCTATAAAGAAGAGTGAATGTTTTTTATACATGAAAGCGATAAAGCCTGAAATACTCATAAGTTACATGATTGAACAGGTGAAAAAAGGCGGAAAGTCTCGAAACTATTCAGTATGGCTAATAACATCACTTTCACCAATATAGAAACGAGATTTTTGACTGAAACTTTAATCCTTACAACGTAACTTCAGACACAAATCTCAAAGTTGCCCGTTGTTAGGATCAAACGTTCATCACAGATATCGACAATAAAAGGTATTTTATGTTTTTAAAAAGCCCCAGTACCAGTTGATGTTCATTTAATCGATAGTTTTACAAATTTTTAGAACTGATCTTGTACCTGTAGTTGGAGAACCGGGATTAGAAGAAAAGATGTAACGAGAATGGATACAGCACCGGTCAAAAGAAAGGCAAGATTCAATGAAAAATCCGGATGTTTGTTTGATGGTTTCCAATCCAATACAAACGCTGTGAGAAACGCGTAAAACAGGCCACAGAATTGAGATATCCCCAGTATTGTGAGATAAAACTCCACTAAAAAGAAGAGCATAAACTTAACTTATCATCGAAATTGTTTTTGATTGATTATCGTGATTGAGTGAAGAATAAACTAGCACCATGCTTTGTCATAAAGCTCGATCCTGGCTTGAAATATTTAGAAATTACTCAATTAGGGGCTGTTTATATGAAGCCGGGCTGGCCCGCTAAGCTGGATAGCCCGGTATGCGAGATGAATTTTTGATGTGTTTATATGACGTTCAACTCGCTTGCCAAGACGTTTTCCGCTGTCAAAATAAAGACTTTTATAAAGCATCTTCTACTTATAATCAGAGAGATTATCAATCAAATGCTCCATCATCTTTGTATCACAGCGAAAGTTCTTTCTTTGAACCATTCTTGTGACTTATTTGCTCGCTTTTGCAAATGCATATATTCTGTCATTTTAATATGTCATCATACGCATGCTCAAATAGGGCTAGTTCGGCAGTTGAGTATTTACACCAGAAAAATTTCATCCCGGCAGGTGAGATCTCGCCTGTGCCAAGTGAGATCTCGCTAAGCGGGGCCAGCCCGTGTCGGCAAATAAACGCAAAGTAATTTTTAATATAATACCTACTACGTAGGGAGATCTCGCTGAACGGGCTATCTCGGTTAGCGGGCCAGCTTGGCTTTCATATAAACAGGCCCTTAGATTATGAGCTCGATATTTCAGGTGGTATGGTTATGACGGCAAAATAGCTATGAATCAACTGCCGCATTCAAGGTCTATTTACACAAATGCGCATGGGTAGTTCGTCCTGTTTTCCGTCAATAAGATAGAGAAAAAGAACGAACAAAGGAAATAAGCGATACGTCGTTACTCGCTCCCAATCTCCTAACTGCCAAATTTGTCTAAATGTAGCTCGTGCACTGCTACACGTAGATAGTTCGTCCCGCGTTTATATTTAGACGCATGATCCGTCAGACAAGCATAAAAAAGGCCATTGTTTACATTAAAAAGTAAACAACTCTTGCTCAATGCATCTTTAGACATTTCATTTTACCTTTGAATATGTTACCGTTGAATTAAGTGGCAACTTTAGTCTTCTCTAGAATTGCTTTCTAAATCAAAGCAAATCGCGTAAAACACGGACAATAGGGTCAGCAGCCATGTTTTTTTGTTACTCGCTATCTATGGCAGTGTCATAGCTAGCCCGAAAATTTTGTCCTGCTATGTTAAATTTTCTGCGTTCACTCACTGTAAAAACAACAAATTTCTAAAGAAATGAATAATGTTAATGACTTAAAATTTTCATAGCAGGACCAAAACTTGCGGGCTGGCTACACTACTGTTCTATGGTCGAACGCTATCTATTACTTAGCTGCATCACCGAATAATGACTATACAGAAGGGTCACTCAGATTTTCAACTCGTCCTTATGTCGGCCATTATTCCAGCCAGTTGATTAGGGTTTGTCACTGGTTTCCAACCATTAAAATTACATGACTTAATAATGAATTCAAGAATATTTTCTCTGAAGAAAGGACTTTGAATCATTTTAAAGGTTGGCAACAAGTCAAAACCCAAATCAACTGGCTGGAATAATGGCGGCCACCATGCGCGGCACGACATGCGCGAGGACAAAAACATCGAAGGTTCCAGCACGATTGACCCTCATGTATATTCCTATTCTGTGGCTGTAAATTGAAAAATAAATACCGATAAAGTAGCCAATCAAATTAAAGCATTTGCAATAGAATACGTATACTAATACAAATAAATTTAGACCAAGCAATTGAAACATTTCGCGAAAAATCACATGAAATGGGTGCTAATCCGAGTCACATATTATTTTTAAATTTTCGGTCTTTAAAAGATTTTAAGCATCGATCAGATCGAGGTCAATGTTATCTGCCGAAGCGAAGCTGAGGTCTGAAAAGTTCTTCACATCATGCGGAAGACGAATTCCTAGAATTGTTTTATTATACATTATAACGCAGAAGCTATATTTTGTAAGGAAGCTTTAGGCCCGTTTCAAACGTCGAACTTTACAAGTGCCGAATGCGTTAAAGACAAAAGGTAATGAGAAGAAATTCCTCGTTATCTTTTGTTCTAAATGCATTCGGCACATGTAAAGTTCGACGTTTGAAATGGGCCTTAAAGTTTTCTGTGCTTCGACATTAAATAAATTTGACATTGAAAACTATAAACGTCACCTACAGATAGCTTTCAATGTTTTGTAGATGGCAAATCAGTGAGAACTATCTGTGGGCTCTTAGCCAATCACAATCGAGATCGCACCGTCATTGCATAATAAATTAATTTAATTACTTCTTATATAATGGGCACACAGTAAAGTAAAATTCTCACCCTCTTTTTCATCGTCTGTAAGTCTTTTAAGTTGTTTATTAATAACACCAACGAATGAAAACGATCTCAAGCACGTTATGGCCACAAATGACGTCAAAGAAATAAAGTTAAAACTTTTCATGATCGTTAACAGACTAGTTTTTCCTAAAGAAATTAACAAAATTTTAGTGTGGAAACAGACAAGTTGTTCAAAGGATATGTGTTTTTTACAAAAGCAATAGTCTTATTCCCATTCTTAATTTAGTGTTAAAAGTGTGAATAAACTATTTAGAAAAATCATTTGATAATACTAGCAATATAAATGTTGGAAAGTAGCCTTCTATAGTTTTGTATTTTTATAACCAACAAATAGTTAGGATATATAATAAAGCGTGAATGATAAATAACATGGTAATTCTCAGTAAAACGTATCGAAAACCACAAGTAATTTCAAAAGACGTGTGACCTCACAACCGGGCATTATCAAGGTCGTTTTTTCCTACAGTATCCGGTTTAAACAGCAATTTTCATTTAAAAGGAAATTTCTTTACGTTATTTTTTCAGCTTCTGCTATTGTAGGAATTAAGTGGACAGTACAAGGCTATTTTTACACGTTTTTATGCATAGATTTGTATTGCGCACGAAAAGCTTGCCATAGCTGTTTACGTATTTTTTTGCTAAAACTTACAAAAATTAGCACAGCAAGAATCTTTACAAATATGATGCAAATACGATATGATTGTATTTTAATCTTTGTTAATCCAAAACCACAATCGATTTCAATAGAAGCTTCTAAGGTCTCTCTCTTGGCTTGGCTTCGCGAACGAAGATTTTATGAAGGGGGCTGTCCACGTCGACTACAGGCAGGCTGTTCACGTCGACTACAGGCACGCTCGTGGCTGACAAGTCCGATGCGAGACAAACAGGTTCGGCCGCAGCGGCTACAGTCAAAGGTCACGTCAGGTACGGCTGCTGAAGCTTCCCGGTTCTTCCTCCTGCGGCGTATCTCCCTCAAGTTCTCTGTACGAGAGTCCTCAAAAGAGGAGACAGCCTGGTGGACAGTACGTCGCTAGGCATCACGGTCAGCAGCAAGAATAGACCACTGGCGGTTGTCGATATGGCAGGCTCCCAGGGACTTCTTCAGAGAGTCTTTGTAGCGTTTCTTCGGTGCCCCTCTGTCACGGTGGCCAGTGGAAAGTTCGCCATACAAGGCAATTTTGGGCAGGCGCTGATCATCCATTCTGGAAACGTGCCCTGCCCAACGTAGCTGCGACTTCAGTAGCATGGCCTCGATGCTGGTGATCTCCGCCTGTGTGAAGACCTCAACATTGTTGACGTAGTCACTCCAGTGAATGTTGAGGATGGTGCGGAGACAGCGCTGATGGAAACGCTCAAGGAGGCGTAGGTGGTGACGGTAGATTACCCACGACTCGGAGCCGTACAAGAGGGTGGTGAGTACGACGGCTCTGTACACGCTGATCTTGTGCACTTCTTCAAGGAATTGTTATTCCACACTCTGTTGTACAGTCTGCCAAAAGCGCTGCTTGCCTTGGCCAGTCTGTTGTCGACCTCCCTGTCGATCTTCGCATCTGATGTGATAACACACCCCAGGTAGGTGAACTGGCGAACGCTTTTCAGCTCAGTCTCGCCGATGGTAATGTGAGGAGGTAGAACAAGCTTCTAAGGTAGAACATACATATATGAGTATTTGAGCCCCCATATTATCGAGCTTGCGCGGCCTCTGAGCTCTCGTTTACTGTTGAATAACAAATAGTTCAATCTTTGCCGACACCTTAACAGTTCTTTTTGTGCAATGCTGCAACGTTTACTATTCATTTAAAAACATCTAGAAGACATTTAAAGACAGGCTGCCAGATCGAAAGTTGGAGGTGGCAAGATTTGTATAAACCTGTTCGTTTTTTCAAGTTTATTATTTCAGCCCGCGTAATGAATAACCAAGCCTTGTTTAAAGCAATGCGAGCTAAGGTACTTTGAGCTACTTCGTTGTTTTATTCATATTCACTTTGAGTATTGTGTAATTTGCCGAGCAAGGGATTTAAGGAGTTTCTACATGAGTACGGTAATCGGGATTGAGCGACGCGTGAAATTATTTTGAGTAAAAACTTTAAGCGCAAAACTTACAATCTTTTCTTACAAGCGTCTTATTTCATTTTAGTCGTAATTTTCAAATCAGGCGAAATTATTTGTTTCCATTTTAAAGGTTTTGTGAATTTGCAAAGTCAGAGCATAGAGAAATTGCTCAAATAAGTTTCTTGTTGTAAAGTATTTAATCTTTTCCATTTACCAAAATGATTTAACGCTCCGCTGAATCCCGGCTGCCTGCGGGCTCATGTTAACAGCCCCTAAGAAGACAAAAGTCACTATTTTTGGAATGCATAATAAATCCTGAAAGCGACACAGAGCAGTTACTACGCACAACAAACCTCAAACCACTGCTTTTAGATAATTATCAAGAAAATGAAAAAGGCTTAGTATTATTGATAAAGTTTATTAGCTAAAAATTGAAATTATTTTTATTGTACGTGATTGAGGTCGACAAAAGTTTATAATAGCATTACCTTTGTTCCCAGATATGTCTAGATCTTTCGCTTTCTTTTGAATTTTATCTTAATTTCCATTTTCTTTTCTTCTTCCTTTGAATTTTCTAAGCAACAATTGTCGCAACGTTTTGTTCTCGTATCAATAGAACTGTTTCCAACGTTAACGATCTCGACGGTGGACTCGCAAAGAATGTTTTTAGGAAATACAGTGAATGTAAACACCAATCCATTGAAAAGCACAAGAGAATAATACACAGCAATGATATATTGAAACGAGATTCCAGCATTGTAGCATAACTAGAAGAAAAAATGTCAATTGTCAAATACATATCATATCACAGAGCTACATTGCAAACACTTACAATAGTCTGATTGGTTGAAAATTGTATGTCAACCAAGATGCATTACGTGAAAATTCACGGCATGACGGCCATTTTTTGCTGAAGAAATGGCGGATTTTGTAATTGTTCGACGCCATTTAAATATTCTCGAAAACGAAAACTACATGACGTTCTCAGCATTCAGTGTGCCGCAGGCTCAGAAGCTACGATATAAACACAAACAAAAGGGCAATGCAGCTAGTCAATAAAATCACAATTTCCAAGAGTGCTAATAATGAATTGAACAAAAGATTGTAAAATTGTTTTTTGGACAAGTCACCGGCGGTTGTTTTTCAACAAAAGTCAGTTTGAACTTCAAAGTCAGTTTGACAGTTTTGAAAAGTCAACAAAAGTCATTGTCTTATGAGACAATTGCTTAAATTGTCCAGAAAAATGCGAAGGTCATATCTTCATTCAATTTCAAACAACGCACTGCATATAACAATCTTTCAAAAGTCAGTTTATCACTACAATAAAAAATTAAGCAAAAATTGGAAATACGTGCAATAAAGCACCACTACTTGCCTCAAGGCCTGGTGAGAATGGGCTTCCCGCAAAAGGTACGTACTATATACTACCAAGCATGAACAAGAGACGCCGAAAGATTGATAATGGGAGGGGGGGGCTCATATTCATAAATACATACTTTATAATCACTTATCACAATTGATTTCAATAGAAACTAATTAACTAGAACATGCATATACGAATAATAGCCCCTCCCCTCGCAATTAGGGATCTTCCGACGTCCCTGTGAGCAATTGCGGAATTTCACTGATTTCGCCACGTATAAATAGACATTTAACAAGGATATAATGTTGTTCATCGAGAAGTGTCGAATTGTTTGGCCTCAAAAGATCGTGTAGTTTTTCAAAATTTTCAAAATCACTCGAACGATCAATGTGGTATTGATCAGTTAAACATTACAGTATAATTTACATGAATTTTGCTTACAATTTAAGAGACGATTAAAACATGCAGTTTTCACTTAGAACTGATGCGTTTTCAAGCATTGCTAAAAATCTTTGTGCTGGCGAAGAGTGCGAGTATCCAATAAATTGCAAAAAAACTTTGACAATACGAACCATAAACACAAGAAGTATCACCGAAGATGAATCGATACCACCATTAACAAAACTCATCGCAGTGTATCGTCGTTTTGGAATTATACTACAAACCTTAAAAAAAGAAATCTAACTTAATGACTATGTTTAAGACTAATAGACTTTGTGACTATTGTTTATGACTATGTTTAAAAATATTTGTTGGGCTCTAATGTTTATATTGAGAATCCGTTTCCCGCCTGGCACCTCATTGGCAACAATATTGAGAAATCTAACTTAATCATGTAATACATAGAGTGTATGTGGGACTATATGTGCGATACAAGATTTTCATCAACCAGTGACGTAGCAATTTCTAGTGACGTCAAAGTGATCGTTTTGTACTTTACTTTAAAACTCCAACGTTTAACAGAGTGGGAAATCTATTTAAATACTTTGACTGCACGCATGACTTTATACCAAAATGCATGGCTGCTACTGAAAACATACTATTGGAGTTAAAAAAACGGGCCGTCCTTTTTACGAGGTGCGCACATTTAGCACCGAAAATCTTTATTGAATAAAAGAAAGTAAAATAAGAAGCAATTTTACACATTTGTTTGCAGTGGCGTAGCTAGCATCGATACATGAGGGGGGGAGGGGCGATATTCGTATATGCATGTTAGAATCCGCTGAAAACAATTGATTCCAGAGGAATGTTTCAGAGCAACTTCATACTGCAGATGATGAATATATTAATATTGCCACCACCCCCAAATTATCGAGCTGTCTACGTTACTACTGTTTCTATAGATAGCTTTTGAGTTATACATCAAGGTTCAAAAAAAAACAGAGCACATAGATTTATGCAGGCCTATAGATTTAGTTTTCAGTTCAAATTAAACAGTATTTTAATTCGAGTATGTTTAAAAAATGCATTGCCAGAGAATGAAGATGAGAACTAATTTGCGTTTCATCAAAATACTATTTAATTTATGCAGCAGACTAAGTCGATATCAATGACGTAGAACCCAATCAACTAGATATCTGACTTTGCCAAAATTTTTCAGTTACGAGTGAGGAAAGCCGCCATCTTGAAAGGTGAAAAAACTGACAATATTTACGATAGTCTGCTTTTCCTGAGTTCATATAATGCTGCAAAGTTGAAAGTCTAAGTTTAATTTCTAAAATGTTTGATAGGATTAGGTTTTTAAACCTTGTTTTAAATTATTTTTATTTTGGATTTTTGCTTTTTGCTACCTTTCAAGATGGCGTCCTTGCCTCACCTTGACACGGTAGTTAGACATCTAGAGGATTGGGTTCTAAATCATTGGTCGATATGCATACGAAAATTTGCGCGTTCCGTTGTTTTTGAGACACACGGTGTAGTGCATAATTATAGCTAGACTGGATTCAATGTCCCGGAGTCCAAGATCATACAAGACCATGTTTTGTTTTAGGAAAATCGGAATAGTTACACTTCAAAAAAATAGCATCCATGCAGCTGCCTAGTTAAATTGGAAAATGTTTCGAGAAGCATATAGTAGGAAGGCAATATAATAGCTACTTTCTGAGCATGCTCAAAAGGTTAATTGTTCGCTGAAGAGAAAATCTTGCCAAAATATAAAATAATGAAATGAAGATGATACCTTCATTAAAACTGCCATAAACATTCCACCTCCAAAAGAAGTTAAAAACACTCCAGGGAACAAAAATTCATGCATACCTAAAATGTCAAAAGTCGTTAGCAACTTCAACATTCCATTTTAACAAAGTTTTCTAAACGAGCTTAATTATTTATTTGAGGAACGAAAAAGCTATAGTTCGCCTACCATTGCTCGAAATAAACATACAAACACCACCAGCAAAATAGATGACACTAAAAATCAAAAAAAGAAATAATTGGTCATGCTATCTTGCACAAAGGCATAAAGAAGCAATTGCAGAGTCTGGGTTAAGGTATGTCGTTTTAGTAAAATAGGGACTCTGTACTGCACCTCTCGCATTTTCTACCGAGCCGGTTGAATTTAAATAGCAAAGTCTGTCAATAATAAAAATAGGTACGCATCGCGTACATGTGGGTAGCCGGTCGATTATATGGTTATAAAATAAAGTAGATGAATCATGAGTATGTGCTTTTTGCTTAATGTCAAATGACTCAAAAACAGTTGCTCATATTTTATGTCACGTGATGGTCGTCACATCTGGGAAAGAGAAGTCTTCGAAATTTCTCACAAATTTTACCAGTTAGTTCGTTGTCATTTTCACTAAAAACCATTTTGCTATAAATACAATGTCGTCAACAACTTTTTTTAAAAAACAGTTTCCTGCCAAGTATGTGATTTCTCTCATTCAACCGATGATAAATGAACACGCTTATGACTTGTATTGATATACATACATATGACACTTGTGTTGTTATTTTGGGCGAATAGTTCGTGTTATTTGTTGCTACTTTTTTTGAAATATTTTGAAAAGATTATTTTCCAACGATTTGGCGTGTGTTCATTGTGTTGAGAATGATTAATCTTTAAACACAAACGCTTGACAAATGATTGCAAAGTATTTAATTTTACTTCCTGTTCTAAATTTGACAGGTTATCCACGCGCTTTGTATCAGCACGAATAATATTTGTAGTTCGTACAAGATTCGAAAGCGATTAAAAGTATATTCGTTTACTTTATCTGTTTCATTTAAGTTTAACAACAGAGTTCTGTGATCAGAGTGAACCAGGAAATTTTAAACAACGCTCAACTTGATATTTGTGATCGTCAGTGAAGCCTGCATTTGTACATCTCGACTTTATAGTTATAACTCTTGCGAAGTACGATTATTCGTTTGCTCGAACTATAAATGAAGTTCGTGTGTACCTACGCGAAGATGACAAGCAATATCATACATGTAGCTGCTACCCACAAAAAAATAATCGGAGTCCCTCTCTCAAAGCATTTGCTACAAGCCTACAACGTAATTGGAATGGGTGAACACTCATATATTCAACTCCGCCCGCCTGTGTTCTTTTGGAGGGAAATTAACTGGAGGTCATTTAAGATTGAAAATATTCCAACCACTCCACAAGAGACCCCTAAATGATGTTGGTCTGTTCGTCATAGTTCTAGCAACGACACAGTTCACACTCGTGTATGACAAATTTTTGAACAACTGTTCGCGTATTGAATTATTACGAAGGGCTATGTGAAGTTAATGGACCATAGCAACTCCATATTCACGTGATATACCCTCAAGGAGAATTCATCCAAATCCGCAGCACAGAATAAACATCTAAAGGCTGATTTCTATTCAGTGCAAACTGCCGCGCGATCGACTTTTTGAGATCACTTTCTTTTCAATTGTAAGCTCTCGACAGGAACAGTTTCACACTGCTGCACATAATTCAAAAGAAAGTGATCGCAAAAAGTCGATCGCGCGACAAGTTTCATTTTTTCGCAACGCATGCGTGACTTCCCAACAAGATACTTTCACAAAATCAATATGGAATAGTATTGTATTGCACGAGAATGCTTTTTTACTAATAATTTATATTTAAAGCAAAAGTTTGCCGAAATTTTTACGAAATGTTATCATCTTGCGAAGACGATAGGGTTCAAAGCGTTTGCAGTGCAAAACAACATATTTATAAAAACATCATATTTTCTATTGCGATCTAGCGAAAGTATCTTGCTGGAAGGCATACGTGTGCTTGGAGTTTGCTTCAGAAAAGTGTTGGACACGAACATCAAAGCGGCAATAAATTCTAGTAGGAGCAGCTATGTACAACTATGTATGATTTGTTTGATGGTCGTGTGTGCAATGATCATAATGTGGTCAAAGAGAAATTGAAAAATTTTAAAAATCCGTGTAGAAGCTAGATAACATTAATGTCGTTACGCTGTTGGCGCAAATTGGTCATTATGAAACTTAGCAACCATTGAATTTGATATGAGTTAACTGTGAACGTGAACTCGTGAGCTTCGAGATACTGGAGTTTACTATATTTTGCCTCATTCTAATCAGTCTTGAAACATGAAGACAGTTTCTAATTAAGTGAACATAGATAATAATCCAAAACACGAGTGTAATTCTATAGCATGCTAGATTCATTACAACAACATTACCTAGCGATCAAGCGTGACGATCGGAAACCGTACAAATCCGCAATTCTTCCACCAATAAATATAGACATATACGAAGAAAACAAAGCAATAGTGAAGGCCAAATTCAGCAGGTTATCTTGCTGTGTGCATGTCTGCTGAGTGTCATTGCGATTTGTATTGATGTTTAACACACTCGTATTTGAATGAAACTCGCCATTTTTACAGTACGAAGAAAAATATTCTTCGCTTTCTAAAATTACTAGCAATTGAGCCCAACCAAACATATTTGCCGTCGCTAGAACGCTTTCAAACACACTCCATATAATCAAAGCAATGTAATTCATCTTGCGGTCTTTCTTTGTTGCTCTTGAGTTCTGGCAATTTTTATGTCTGTCAGTGTCAGTACTACAATTAGGATCCGCTTCTTCTCAAATATCGGAGGCCAAGTGAATGATCCGCTTTCTTCTCAAATATCAGAGACACGTCAGAGACCTAGCGAATGATCTGCTTTCTTCTCAAATATTAGAGGTCAATTGAATGATTTATGGGATCAAATTCGATGCTCGAACATTGAACTTGAATTTAATTCTTGTAAGGCAATCTTTCCTGTTTTGATCGCGAGTTTAGTCGATTGAAATTTTACCCAAGAAATCACTCGAAGATTTATTGTTGCTTGTGGAAAATAACTATTGCGATATTAGAAATTATTTGCCGAGTGCCGACAACGGATAAGATGGATGGAGCCTTGTAGGAGCCTAGTAGCGAATTTATTGCAAATTGATATTATTAATCATAAATACATACTAAATTTAAAATAATTACTACCAATGCTATTCTTTATACATTTCCAAAGTTCTTGACGATCAAATGCTTTTAAGGTGTAATGAAATGTAGATATAATAAAGAATGAGCACCACGCCGCCGCCACCTGCTACAGCTTATTATAATTTATTTTAATTTATTAATATCACTTCAAATTTCTAAATATATAATGTATAACGATGTTCACCATCAGAGGTTGGTTTGCAGGAATCTTGGATAGCGTTATCCATGGGATAGTAAATTTTTTAAACTTGTAAAAATGTGTTTATATTTTCGTAAATACAAAGAAGTTTTGTAATCTTAGAAGCAATATTTTATTTCAGTGATTGCTCAGTTCAAACCTTATATTTTTCCTTTTTAAGAAGTTTTTTAACCGTTTGAAAAATATTTACTATCCAATGGATAACGCTACCCAGGTTTCGAGGGACTAGCCCCAGAAGTAATCTGATATTCATAGCAACTGTGCTTTTACTAGCGCCAGTTCCCAAGCATCTCACTCTCCTAGTAAAACTAATACGTGCAATTGCATAGCCTTTGAATAAAACATCTTATGAAAACGATACAACATCTCCATGATAAGCAACACTTTTGTTACTCTTTGCTTGAGTGCGTGTCTGTTTCTGTCAAAAGCGTCTTGACTGTTTAGACTTTTTAGGATCACGTTATTGTGTGGTGAAATGTTTTTGTCTTGCGGAATGTTCCTGAATTTTTAATGATGAATGAATGAATAATTTATTTTAACACGCTAGCCAATGTAAACAAAGAGTTGCTTCGCACATGGGGCGTGCGGTAATTAACAACAACGAATTTTACAGAAATAGTAAGTTTACATACTGCAGTGCAGAGACAAATTACGTAAAATAAAGTACCATAAAGTTCGTAAAATATTTTAATTTACAATCACAAAACTATTTTGTAAAAGTGAGCAGCGATTTATTTTGACAAGTAGCTACTGGAGAACTAGATTCTTTAAGATCAAGGATTCAGCAGTTTCATGTTCGACGTCATTGCTCATGTTTGCAATGACTGAAGCAATCCGATTTTGCAGTTTTTGTAAACGGCTCGATTGTGTCATGACGAAAACATCCCAGACTTCACGCAAAATATGTATGTATATAAAGCGTTATAAATGGAGACATGAGTTTTTTCAGGGACAAAGTATTCTGCTCCACCATAACCAATTATCTCCGAAGCAATCTTCTCACAAATATATTGTACTTTTCTTCCACGTCAAGTGCTGATTTGCAGTTACATAAAGAGACTTAAATTCCTGAAATGTTAAGATGTTGGGCTACTTTTATTCCAGTAATACGATGAACTGAGATAGCACAATGCCAGCGGTGTTGCGTCGAAGAAAAATGACAGGGTGTGCAGTGATTGCGCGTTGTATTTTTGCATATGATGCGCAGAGAAGATATATTTGTAATCATTTGCAAGTTTTGTGTGAATGAAATATAAACATTCAATTTTTAGTAAGTACACTCGATATCCGGTCTGAAAAGACTGGATCTAGTATCAGCGAAAACAATTTTTATTTGTTAACGAGTTATTTTAGCGGTGATGCTGTGTTTTGGAATTGGATCACAGCTATGCTTGCGGTGATGCGGCGTGTTGACTCCTCCGATGACCCCCTCCTTTAAGCAATTTATAGCAAGATTTTAATGATTGATGTTCAATTTTAATGTTAAGAATAGCAAGTCATATTTGCAAATAACTCTTTCAACATAAAACTGCTTATTTCCAACATTGCATACATTCTTGTTACATTATAATGCACAAGATTTTCTAGTATCTTGAGATAAATGGCAAGAAAAAAACAAAATGCGGGTTTCATAATGAAATATTTAGTAGCGTTAAATTGCTTTACTTGTGGTCATCTTTAACAAAACATGCTTCACCCAAAAATGCTATTATGTCGAAGATCAAACATGATTGGTTAAATACGCTTTACCGCATTTTCTTTTTAGATTGTGGCACTGAGAGTACTACAAATTAAGGCGAAGACGCTAATCGCTTTTCCATTTGCATTTTAAAGCTTCAGCATTCTCGGCATTGTTTGCACACGTATATATAATGAAAATAAAAATATTAACAAAGATTTTTTTACCATACCACTTGAAGACGCGAGGTGGCTTCAAAAGATTGTAGTTATATATCACGAAGAGTTTAGAAAATATTTGCTTGCGGATTGTAGTAACGCAATGATATCAACGATAAACACAACCCGAGTTGGATATGATTCAAATTTTGGTCACTTGCTTCACAGAACACTATCGTGTCACGATGCCTTGATTAACGACACTCCTGTTACGATTTGTCCAGAAAAATTTGTCGTCATCAACATTAGCGGAAAACGTTTTAAGACGTTTGAAGAGACATTGGACTTTTTTCCAGATACTCTACTGGGAAATGCGTCAAAACGAGAAAAGTTTTTTAACAAAACGGCAGGAGAATATTTTTTTGACCGTCATAGAAGATCGTTCGCTGCAATTCTTTATTACTACCAAAGTCGGGGATTGCTTGTTCAACCAAATGCAGTACCTGTAAACATATTTTACAAAGAATGTCTTTTTTTTCAATTGCCTGACAACGTTGTTGAGAAACTTCAAATTGAAACAGGGGTACTCGATAGGGTAGAAACAAGACAAATGCCAACCATCGGTATTTTTAAAAAGATTTGGGAAGCAATGGAGTACCCAGATTCATCCAAATTTGCAAAATTTCTAGCCATTCCCTCTGTCATTATTATATTGGCATCGATAGTCATATTTTGCTTGGAAACTCTCCCCGACTTTAACCCCTTGGCTCCTCAACGTTCAGGAAATATCACATCATGTCCAGGAAGTATAACATCACACCCAGGAAACATCACATTATGTCCAGGAAGTATCATATCATGTCCAAGAAATGTTACATCATGTTCACAGAACGATGATCATTTAAACCCTTATGAAAAATTCTGGTTTATGATAAACAGCATCATCATTGCGTGGTTTACCGCTGAATTCGTTGTCCGTCTTGTCGTTTGTCCAAACAAAGCAAGATTTATAGTCGCTCCACTTAATATCATCGACATACTTAGCATTCTTCCATATTACGTTACGCTTTTAATGAAAGGTATTGATATTTTTTATTTTTCCAGCAAATTAAATGCATAAATTTGAGGTGAACATGAGTTTTACCGCAACAAAATGCCGTATTTTTATGTATTACCTAGATTATAATATTGCCAGAGGAGTTCAAGGAAATACTGCAAATCTTTGCATCAGTCGTTATGTTGGAGGAAAATCTCATGTAGTAAAAAATTCATGTCAATTTCATCCTAGGTTGATCATCAGCACTAGTGCTCTCACTTTTAAGGAATTACTCTTAAAAATAGGATTTTCTTAAGGTTTTAAGGATATTTTCAAGGTTTTAAGGATATGCTTTTATACTTTAAATTAACATACACTTAATAATATTTAATGTTTCTTTACAAATACAACGTTGACAAACTTGAAAACAGCAAAAAATGGAGGAAAAACCATGAAAAAACATTTTGAGCCTATGTGATCAGGCCTTGTAGTAATTTTTCCAATGTTAAGGAATTTTATGGAAATTTGAGAAATTTTAAGCATTTTCTAAAAAACAAGGAAATTTGATTGTGAGAGCACTGATCAGCACTTTAAAGCATTCCTCCAACATGGCCGTTTTGATGTCACATGCAAACACTCTCTAGGTATTTTATTCACACTAATGACTTCCTACGTTTAGGATAGGCATTTTACGTCCTTATCACATATATGCACGGTTAACAAAATAGCTAGAAAATAGGTATTTTATTCACACTAATGACTTCCTACGTTTAGGATAGGCATTTTACGTCCTTATCACATATATGCACGGTTAACAAAATGGCTAGAAAATAGGTATTTTATTCACACTAATGACTTCCTACGTTTAGGATAGGCATTTTACGTCCTTATCACAAGTATGCACGGTTAACAAAGTAGCTAGAAAATAGGTATTTTATTCACACTAATGACTTCCTACGTTTAGGATAGGCATTTTACGTCCTTATCACATATATGCACGGTTAACAAAGTAGCTAGAAAACAGGTATTTTATTCACACTAATGACTTCCTACGTTTAGGATAGGCATTTTACGTCCTTATCACATATATGCACGGTTAACAAAGTAGCTAGAAAACAGGTATTTTATTCACACTAATGACTTCCTACGTTTAGGATAGGCATTTTAGAATTTCCAAACCAGTATTATTTTTTATTTTTGTCGCCTAAAACATTCTCCAATCCCTTTCATGAAACAAGCAACTGAGTTTTTATCATGTGATGAATGCAAAAGTTCTTAAAAGATTTAAAATGACTTGTTCGTGCATTGTTTAAAACATTCACACGCAACTACGTGGAATTAAAAACCCAGCCATACTGCATGAATTCTTCATGGAAGCAGCAGTAATGGGAAACTAGACAAATTGCAACTCTGGGACTGGTTGGACGAGGCTTGGTTAGCCTTATCCATTGGATAGTAAAATTTTCAAACTTCTAAAAAAGTGTTTATATTTTCGTTACGACAAAGAAATTTTGCAACCTTAGAAGCAATATATTATTTGAGTGATTGCTCAGTTCATCTCATTTTTTTAACGATGAAGATTTTTTTAACGTTTAAAAAATTTCATATCAAATTGATAACACTAACCTGGCTTCTTGCAACAGGCCGAGAACTTTAGCCTTCGAGAGTGTACCACTCCATTTTATTGGTTTAGAGAAAAAGTGGGTAAATATTTGTCCTTGAATACTAACGTTGATAGGTAAATATCACGTGATCATTACTGGAAAAAATTATGCTGGTAAATATTCGGTGTTTTTAAGATCTCGGTGGAAGCATTGAAGTGTTGCGTGTTGTCCGTGTTGTGCGCGTGTTTCGTGTATTTAAAATCTCGCGACATTCACGTGGATTACAGATTCTTGGCGATACTCTCCAATCATCTTTCAGAGAATTGTTCATGCTGGGGATTTTCCTCGTCATTTGCGTGACGATATGTGGAAGTTGCATTTACTATGCAGAGCTCGGACAAGGTAAAAATATACAAGATTTGGTTTACATATTTAACCCATAATGGTAAATTTCCCCTACAGTACTTACTGGTATCATTTTAGCGATTTTTTATTGAACTCTAAAGCCCACGTACCAATACGAGTATTCAACACGCATACACCAGCGAGTATTTTACATAACTTTACATGTAAACCATTATAGTATTTTATACCTAGATCTGTGAACGGAATATTTTACATGTTAGGATATTTTTTAGTCAAACTGTTAAATGGTTGTGTTTGTGTAATTCAGTTAGCTCTTGCAGACATTGATATAGCATATATTATCGACTCATTCTATATTATTTAAATGATTTACAATAGCATAAAGAAACATTATGCAAAACACTATACGTTTCCAAAAATTTCCCACCCATCTGTCTTCAGGTGCCAGACTATATGAATTTTACATGTCATTTGAGCTATTTATATATGACTAATTTAGGATAAATGTCAGCCAATTCTATCCTCGGTAGTGACGTAGCCAGCACGCAAATTTGGTCATGCTATGTAAATTTTTCGTCTTTAGAATTATTCATTTCTTTAAGAATCTATTGTTTTCTTAAAGCGAGTAAAGACCCAAATATTTACATAGCTTGAGAAAACTAGTGTAGTGTAGTGGCTTTGTTTGTAACAAATTGTTTTTGAAAAAGAAAACTTATAAAATGGCAATGGACGATGTTAGAATATAAATATAACATTTGCGATAGTAGTTCTCAGCAGTTGTGAAAGTAATTGATAAATACTAGAGATAAAACACTGTTTATTCAAGTAATATCAATCAATCTTTATTTTATGGGAAGAGAGACGTCTCTCCTTGGCCAATAAATATTCAGAACTATTAATTTGTCGCTTTATAGATTCTGGGTTTAAAAGTATTCCTCATTCCTTCTGGTGGGCCATTATTACTATGACAACAGTTGGTTACGGTGATGAATATCCCACAACATTTCTTGGAAAGTTTGTCGGAGGTTTTTGTGTAATTGCTGGTATGAAAATTAATCTCTACTGGGTTTTTCAAAAATTTGAAACTGTGAATGTTGATTATGGGTAGAAGAGTATTGATTTAAAGAGTTTTTGCAGAAGAATTTCCAAGAAAATTTACCTGTAAATTTTCTTGATATGTGATAAAAACACTCATAATAGCTGACAATTAAAGAAGGGCATCGAATAATGAAGAATACGAATCTTTGCATCTTTGAGAAAAAAGCATAATTACCATTGATGAATTTCATAAATGCATTGTAAAAGTCTTACACGTTGTTTGATGGGCCAAAAAGTTAACATTAGACTTCACTGAGTAAACCTATAAAGTTAACATTAGACTTCACTGAGCAAACTTAAAAAGTTAACATTAGTCCTCACTGAGTAAACCTGAAAAGTTAACATTAGTCTTCACTGAGTAAACCTGAAAAGTTAACATTAGACTTCACTGAGTAAACTTAAAAGTTAACATTAGACTTCACTGAGTAAACCTGAAAAGTTAACATTAGTCTTCACTGAGTAAACCTGAAAAGTTAACATTAGACTTCACTGAGTAAACTTGAAAAGTTAACATTAGACTTCACTGAGTAAACTTGAAAAGTTAACATTAGACTTCACTGAGTAAACCTGAAAAGTTGACATTAGTTTTCACTGAGTAAACCTGAAAAGTTAACATTAGTTTTCACTGCGTAAACCTGAAAAGTTAACATTAGACTTTGCTGAGTAAACCTGAAAAGTTAACATTAGACTTCACTGAGCAAACTTAAAAAATTAACATTAGACTTTGCTGAGTAAACCTGAAAAGTTGACATTAAATTTCACTGAGTAAACCTGAAAAGTTAACATTAGACTTCACTGAGCAAACTTAAAAAGTTAACATTAGATTTCACTGAGTAAACCTGAAAAGTTAACATTAGACCTCGCTGAGTAAACCTGAAAAGTTAACATTAGACTTCACTGAGTAAACCTGAAAAGTTAACATTAGACTTCACCGAGTAAACCTAAAAAGTTAACATTAGACGTCACTGAGTAAACCTGAAAAGTTAACATTAGACTTCACAGAGTAAACCTGAAAAGTCATTAGACTTCGCTGAGTAAACCTGAAAAACATTATTTGTTACATGCACTACAATACCATATAGAAAAAATAGTTTTTGCCTCCATCAATTACAATGAGTGATTTGTTTGTCATAGTTTTTGTAGGCATCACATAGCTTAGAAAATTAAGAGCATGGCGTTTTTACTTCATAATACAGGGGTTCTAAGCATCGCCCTTCCAGTTCCTGTGGTCGTTTCAAACTTTGAGCAATTTTATCGAAAGGAATTAAACCGAAGGAGCCTGGAAAAGGACAAGAAGGACGTCGAAAAAAAGAAAGGAAAGAAAAAAAGAGATCAAAACAACTCGAAAGTTTGTTGATATCATTTTATCCAAAGTTGATTTTAAAATTGATGAATGCAATTTGTTACTAATTTTACCAATAGCTTTAGGCTATCATGTGCTTAGGTTAAAAAACCCATGTTATTTTTAATGATGGTCACAAGTTTCTGAAAGTAGTTTTCTGTCTCTGAATTGCAAGCTATGATTTTGCTAATTGTCCCTATGGAGATCGTTTAGTATAAGTGATCTTGGCCAGTCCAAAATTTTACTCCCTCCGTACAAATAGTTCTGTGTAAGGGAGTGACGCCAATCCATCGATAGCTTTCATGGATTTCATCAATTTTCTGCACTTGTGACAAAGAGTCATGGCTACTTCTGCCTTTTATCGCGCCACGTGATATGTTAACGCCCACGACGCTCATGCTCCATCATTGAACTAAATATAACTGGAAGGCTACCTTCAACCGGAAATTTGAAGCTAAAGTCGGCAGTATAGTTCCCAGTCTTTCTACGCTTAACATAATAAACGCTTAACATAATAAACACGACCAAAATAAAATATTTCAGTGTTCTTGAAGAAACCGTGAAAAACACTGAAAATAAATGGCAAAAATAGTTTCAGAAAGATGTAAATTTGTTCGACACATTTATAGCAATATTTCTACATCAATGCATTGTTAAAAAGTCGTTTTAGTGAAAACAACTTAACAAACATTTACAAATGCGGACGATTTCGACGGTTTGCAAAGCTGCTGATAATTGTGTTGACATTTCTTTGAAATGTTTAACTACTAATAAGACTCACATAAAAAATCGAAGAGCATCTGAACATAAACAAATCTATGTTTTAAAATGTTATTTACGAAAAGGATCGTAGTTTCTTCTCACTCAGCCCGTATGAATCCGAGCACAAAACCTTTGCCGTTTGTACGTTTCTTGTGCAAAAAATTATTTGGTCGGCAGGAAATTTTAGTCTCCTGTGTCAATAATTCAGTACAATGCTGTGAAACAGAAAAATCCAAAAATTTTCTTTCCTTTAGTTTTGCAGAATACTTTCTTTGCTTTGTTTACAATCAGTCAATCACGCGTCGCGAATTTGTCGCGAAGCTGAAGCTGAACTCGCGTGATTTGACTCCCAGGTTCACGTGTCTGGGAGTCAGACCACTGACCTCGAAAAAAGACTGGAGCACTTAGCATTTAGCACAGAAGTTGAAGACAAAAAATAAGGAGCGCCGCCATTACCAAGGGACCAACTTTCGAAAATAAGGCGCAAATATATTGTGGATTTATACAAGAATAATCAAGAATTTTCAACATGTAACTACATGAACATAACTTAAAGATAAATCAGTTTATAGAAGAGCTAAAAGTACGATGAAATATGATGAAATATGTTCAAAATGCAGCGATTTTTGTCATCGGTAACTCTACTGTTGTATGGAAAAACTATGGAAAACAGCCCACAACTGCACCGGAATACCTATAATTGTTGGAATCATAGTTCTGAACTACAAACTGATTAAATAACCTCATTTACAATCGTAAACTGATCAATCCTTTAAAATTACAAGCCTTTTTTAGGAGTGATTCGGAGTGAAACCTGTATGCGTTTTGTTTTATACGGCCGATTATTCTGACTCGCTTTACTATCGCCATAAAGGTTGTTTTTCATCTTCTCCGTTATCTTAAAGCATAATTTTGCAATGTGTTGCTATATTTACCATAGTTTTGTTAAAAAATCTTTCGATGTGCTGGTCCCTTAATAACGGCGGCGGTGGCTTCAAAATTTGCTTACTACAAATATAGAGTTCCTTCATCCAGTCTTTTTTCGAGATCAGTGATCGAATGACGCAAAATATTGGCTTCATTTCGTGTGTTCCCGATATATCAGAAGGTAGCCTTCAAGTCATATTTAGTTCAATGTGTTCCATGCAGCATTCACGCAAGTCATTCACAGTCCATAATGTCATGTGTCAAAAGTTAACGTATTATGTGTTGTCGATATTCCTGATCAGACGAGAACACAGGGGCGGATCCAGCTTCGTATGTGAACTTAGGCACAATGTCGCACCGTTAGCGCGACTTTTCTATGGGGGGTACAGGAGCATGTTCCCCCGGTAAAATTTTAAAATTGGATTGCGGAAAACGCTATTTCCTGCGTTTTTGCAGTTGGTTTTCTAAAATATTTATTACTGGAAAGCTAAAATTCTTGCTCATAAATCATTGATTTTTGACCGTTTCGCTCAATATCAGAGCTCATCAACATGCCTAGGAAACTCGCAGAAAAATATGCTTTGAGGGCTTCCGACAATTACAAACTTAACCTAAAAGAATTCTTTACGCTCCATCAACTTTTATATGGAATTTCATTTTATAGTGGTCTAGTCATAACAATATGCTGATTATTATGCAAAGGATTTTATTTCAATTTATTAAATGAATTTGTCTACAAAAAAAGCAAAAAAACGTGTGTACATGTCGATCGTCCAGGTAAGTAAAGTCCTGAGAACGATTGTTTGTGTTTATATTGACTGAGGTTAGCAGCAGTCATCTTTACAGTCAAGAGTTAAAAAAGGCATCAAAAACTTTCACTCCTTACTAGGAAGCTAGGTCAATTATTCTTTTGTCTTTTGCAAAAAGATCTATAATCTTTTCTATATCTGACCATTTAACCTGTCAGCGGCCATAGTACTTCTTGCATAGTTCTTTAATCTTCGCAAAGCAGAGAATGACCTCTCACACTCACAAGAAGTGACTGGAATAGTACCTAAAATCTTTAACAATACTTTTATGTTCTCAAAACCTAGGAAATTTTCCTGTGAGATATACCATATGGATGAGCCTTAGTTGTCATGGTTGTCTCTGTAGGACCAGAAGGTGTAAACCTTAACTTTGTTTGTATACTGGGCTTTTTAGCTTGTGACAAGTGACTACTTCCCTTTCTTTTAGTTCCCTTTCCCTCCAAGTATCAAAGGCACATAATGATTGTGTTTGAATGCAGTGGCTTGAGGAGCTAAACCTTCAAAGCAAAACAAAACTCACAAATAATTACTAGTGGAAGCACAAGGTCTAGATAGAATTTGAGGTTCAATTCTTTGGTTAAATATTAAATTCCCTTTATAAGCACCAGAGTATATTTAAGGATAATAAGAAAAAATGCTACAGGATGTAACTGAAGCGAGTGCCAACAAACAAACAAACGCATTCCATGCCATATCTTTTGCATTTAACACAGCTTCTGCCCTGACCAGTTCAGCAACAGAACAACCACTTCCAGCACTATCAATAGCTTCAAAAGAGACTGATAATCAGCATATAAAAATAATTCTATAGAGGTCATCAGCCTCAAAATAGTCACCACGGAGTTGTCACCAGCAAGCAGAATTGACAATGAACTATAGAGGCAGTTGCCATTTGTAGCAGTCTGAAATAATGTTATGTAAATTTCAAATATCATGCTTCAGTTCATTTTCGTATATCTTATCTTAAGTATACTATTGAACACATCAAGAAATAAATCAATAGAAACGTTTTAAATATGATCGAAATTCGAAAATTTGTTTTGTTTTGAATCACATAAATAAACCACAAATGACAAATCCATCGGGCATCACATCAAGCCAATTTATATTTGCTTATATATTCTTGTGTAAGCATGCATGCATAACATGTCATAAGTTTTCTAAATTTAAGGCAACCAAATTTGTGTTCTTTGTCTTGGCACTCTGCGGTATGTAAAACTCGGCATTGATATTTCGGAAAATATCAACACCGAGACGATCCAACAAATTATCGTTGGTGACAATGCTTTTGACATTCAGGCAATTCAACATCTCTCCGTAGAGTTGAGCCATAAAAGTCTCATCTTTCCTCGTAAAAGCATCTTCGACTCGATCAGTAAAAGATGCCATGCTTTTCATTAATATTGTTGGTTTTGAAGCTCAAAGATAAAACCTCGGCTATCAACAATCTCAATCTGTGCTGAATTTCGCACAACACCGCTTGAACATTTCAGCAAAAACGGCGGCTCGTTAGTCAGCACAACGGCAATAAACCAATCAAGAGACAGATTTTAGTCTCCAAATTCAGCACAATTTTAGGCGTGCTGACTCTGGGCGGGTTAGCTATGGGTATTTCTCCCGCAAGTGAATTACAAGTATTTTTATCCACTTGATCCCTTCATCTCATGCTTAATCCAGGTCTTGGAAATAAGAACGTTGTTAAATGAATGCACGTTGCTGCACAAATTTCTCATAATTCTATCCCTAACCCTTATAATAGTTTATTTTTCTAATGCTGTCGTTGTGAGGACACAAAAATTTTAATTGATTTTAGGATAAAGAATTCATGATCATTATCTACACATTGAAACTACACCATACCGAGACGAGATTCGAACCGGCAAATGACGCATAGAAAAATACTCTTGGTCCTTTCGACCAAACGAGCTTCGTTCTACTCCTGCGAATTCTTTTTATTTTGAACTAAGGGCATTTAAAATTTGATTAATTTTTTTCCGCTGTTGTGCAGAGTTTAACTACGTCGCGTGCTGAATGTGACGTAGTTTCAATCCGCCCCTGCGAGAACATAAGTTATTTTTGGAAGAATTGCTCTATCACATATGTCACATATGTCACATATGTCACATAGCCTTTATACATTATACATGTTGATGTTGTACATTTTAACAAGAAATTTTGTCGCTAGAGAACTATGTTTTTAACCAGTATATAAATATAGAGAAATATTTCCAATACCATTTGACTATTACTAACAAAATACATTGACTCTTTCAAGAAACAAACGTTACTTCTTTCTTTTCGTCGCAAAACATGCGTCTGAAGTCAGCTTTTATTTTCAAGATTAGCATATTCGTTCGTGAATTAACATAACCTGTATTTGTGTACGAGCTACGAGTAACTTCATGATAAGTTCATGACCTATGATATCACATATCTATCTTGATATCGCAATTCACAAACAATCGTATTCTGTCGCTATACAGTCGTAAATTTAAAGATACTATCGACATACGTGAACAATACAGTCGAAAGGTAAGATATATATTCCCAAATTCTTCGTTTGTGGTAATTTTTAACTGGTAATAACACCGCGTTTCCATTGTTAAATCCGCTCTAAACAATGATAATGAAAGTTCATACACTGTCGAGATAAGCCCAGCTTAAACTCTGTATATGTCATGATTCATCGGGGCAAATAGAAAATCATTTTTGTAGTTAACGTGTTCAATGTTATACTGCTGGGCTGATAATGTAGTCACAGTTAAATGTGTAAATTGTTCGTGAAACGTTTGGCTTTGAGTAAACAATGCGTTTATATTGTACATGTCATGCGAAGCAACAATGCGAAATTAACTTTTCAAATTACTAAGCGTTTCAAATTACATCAACGAAACAATCTACATTTCTATAGTTGAAGATTTTTTTCATTTTATTATATTTCTAAAACGACGTTCATAGCATTTATAATAGCCTGAGAATACTTGACTCATCGTCAACTATGACGCTTTGCCCACTTCGTTTACTTTCGTCTGTAAATCATACATACATAACATTATGTCGTTAGTCGTCCATAAACATATGGCAATGTTATGCACTATAGCAACTGTGTGGCCGGAAAACTTTACCGTATATTTGCAACATAATACTACATGCCATGGCAATTTTATATAAGAAAGTTTTATTTCGTTAAAATAGTTTTGAGTATTTGGCAGGGCCACCTTAATATCTCGTACGCTACATCGATATTCTGTTTTACTTGCATGTACGTTGACTGCCAGAAGAAATTTGATTATGGCTTCATGCATCACTTCTAAAAGGACAATGACTGATAGAAATAGTTAAATAGAAGATAAATAAAAATGGATCACTTAAGGCGAACTTGTTAGAATTATAAAAATTCTGAAAATTTCAAATATACTGACCATATCAGCGACGTAGCCATTCGATAGTTTAGTTGGTATTCATGTATGAAATTTCTGCCATGATAAAATGAAATCAGTTGTTTTCTTCGGATTGCAGCTAATGCATCGTCGAGGCTAAAAACTGATTATCGAGGAAACAACGCCATTGCTGACCATAAATGGATTGCAAATTTCCATGACACTTCGTTTTTAATATAGCTTATCTACCTTTAGATTTTTAAACATGTAGTCGATGAAAACAACTAAAATGTAAAGTATAAGATACAATGATTAATATAAGTTGTGCTAGGTTTCGAACACGAACACGTATTGTATTTCATCAGACTTGCGTATTAACAAATAGAAGCAAGCACGCGAATACGCTTTCTACCTTTTGAAGGCCGGAATAAAAATTGGAAGTATGTCATGAAAGAAAGGACGTTCCTAAGCATCTTAAAATTCCCAATCTTACTAAAAAACAAGGTTCTTCACAAAATGAATAAGAGTAATTATATGTTTAAATTTTGACTTTAGTGGTCAGAGTCTTTGGAAGCTTTCAAAAGTTGTGGGTGTTCCATGTTCGCAATTTGATAATGCGAGAAACTTAGAGTAGTAGTGAAACTGTTTCATATTAGTTATTTTTCATAGTTTTTTCATCCTTTTTCGCCTATGCTACAAAAATTGTCAAAAATGCATTACATACAAATGATTTGCATAAATCGGCAATGCTCAAACAATTTGAAATTTTCAGCTTGCTGGTGCCTGTTCCTTAATTAGAAAATTCAGTGTGCTTGCAAAAACTCAGCGTGCAAATGTCATATATTTTCATGCAAGAAGCTAAATTTGTGGGTGTCCTCCTTTATAGAACACCCACACTCTAAAAGTTGTGGGTGCACTGACACCCGGACATTGACGGCTTCCCAAGCCCCCGTTATTGTCCTCACTTGCGACATGAGCATAAGCACAAGATTATAAAAACTCTCCTATCTTCTCATGTTTATTAATGCCTATGCGTTTCTTAATTGCAGTTTATTACAAGTGAGGACACTTAAGTTTATGTTTATGTGCCACATGAAGAGCAAGGTGTTTATTTATTACTGCCTTCCAAATACAGATTAGGCAATGAACATTTTGTACGTTTTTAAAATGTTGTTTACATTGCGATTCTTTCTACGATACAATTATTTTAAACGAAGTTTTTTTTGCAGTTGAAGAATGGGAGAAAAGAAATGTGTTCGTGGCACACTTATTTTTGTGAATGTGATAGCTTTGGTAAGTTGCGTAAATATTTTATTAATGAAGAGAACATACGAAAATAAATGTGATCATGTTTGTTTCGATGGGGTTTTTTTAACAAGGGTAGAGTCAAAATTTTTGAGCCGGTTAAAGATCGAAATTTGTTTGGATAAAATATGCAGGATTAATTAAAAATTGAAGCAACACCTTGAGTGAGTCTGAATTTATCATTTAACCTAATTGACACAACTGCATTCAAGCTGAGCTTATTTTTTATTATAACAAAACAACTGATGTTGACGTAAAAGTTGATGTCAATGATTCTCTGTATCGGCGTTTGACGGAATAAACGCTACTATTTGAGCAATGTTGTTTTTCATTCTGATCATTTTCAGTTAATTTATAATCTTTTCACTCTTTCAATTATGCATTTTCATCAATTTCATAAATTGCTCTTAAGCCCGCCGCACACTGGTGAACTTGCCGCGCGTATTTGTTATTCGTGACAAGTGTGATCGACAAAATTTCCTAGTGTGCGCGGAAGTTTTGAACAACATTTGTCATTCGTGTCAGATGAGTCAAATATCAAACGCGTTTCGCTAGTGTGTGGCGGGCTTTAGTGCCCATGCATAAGTACGCATTAATAACCTGAACATGTGGCAGCATTCTTACTGGGAAGCTATAAAAACACACGTCGATACTTTCCTTTTGTTGCTTTGCTTTTGCTTCATAGTAACGTACAACTTCATAGTAATGTACAACTTCATAGTAATGTACAACTTCATAGTAACGTACAACTTCATAGTAATGTACAACTTCATAGTAACGTACAACTTCATAGTAATGTACAATTGTTATGCTTCCTACATAAAAGTTCTAAAGTAAAAGTTAAATACTAATTTTATTTAAAATTGTAAAGATTTTGGGCCTTGGCGTGCTTTCCTTGGGAATCTGGGTCCAAGTTGAGAAAGGAGATTATATCGCTTTGGCGGACTCGAAAACAGGCCTCACGGGATCTCTGCTGTTGATAATAATTGGTGGCGCAACTGCGATCATTTCAATAGTTGGTGCATGTGGAGCCTATTTTCGAAGCTCTTGTTTGTTATGGACGGTAGGTTTCTTTGTGCTTTTTGGATAAACATTCATTTTTTTAAATGTTAATAAACGAGTGGCGAAGTGGAACATTTACACATAATTATACACATATTAGAAAAATAATCTGGCTAATTCTTGATTCACACTGTAATCCTGTGGCCGGTTGCACGAAGCCTGGATAACGTTATCCATTGGATAGCAAAAATCTTCAAACTTGTAAGAAAGGTGTTTATTGCAGTGATTGCTCAGTTCAAACCTTATATTTTTCCTTTTTAAAGGTTTTTAACGGATTAAAAAAATGTGTGATCCAATGGATAACGCTACCGCTTCGTGCAACCGGCCCCTGTTATAATTCTTAGATTTAAGAATTTTCTAAGTATAGGATATGTATTGTTTCTTCGTGTTGCTTTGAAATTTATGCTGTAATAGTTTTTCACTATCCTTCTCAAACATACAGAGGTCTATGTGCTGTACGTCATGTGTATAACCCATAAAAAGGACGTTTGCTATGTCCCTTTACAAGTTCCACACAAGTAATGAAAATTTCATGAAATACTACATGCAATAATCCTGATTTAAGATGAAATGAACGTAGCACACGTGCATCATTCACGTAGTTTTTGAATATTCCCGCGAGGAATCTATTTCAGATAATCTCATCCTAGTGGAAGCAGATTTTTTTTGACCGGAGTCACGATGTGTTTCAGTTTTACAAAGTTTTTCAATTTTTTATAGTTCTTTGTTATGCTATTGGGGATTGTGATTGCAGAGCTCGTGGCTTTAGCTTTAGGCTTTATTTACAGGGATAAGGTACGTACGTAGTAATATATACAGATATTACAGAAATTACAGAGTTATGGATCCACAATAAATTTTTAGCCGGGAGGGAGGGGGAGGTTGATCTCGTTTGGATTAGAGATCGTTTCCTACTGGTTACCGTGCTATTTCAAACTTTTTGTAAATTCTGTTAACTTTTCATTTGATATTAAAGTGTGTTTCGGCATTAAACATCAATTGCTTTAATTGTTTGGCGGATTAGAATTTTGTTGAAAAATTGGCATAACTATCAGATACCCCCATAGCCAAGACAAGTAGGGATCTGCAAGCCTACTTACCTCTCCCTTAAATTCATCCGCGCTCCATCAGACATTAACTTAACTACTAAAAAATCGAACAAAGATGAAAAATATATTTTAGATATGAAATATATTTTTATGTATTTTGAGATATATATTTTAAATCTATTTTAGATATATTTTATTTTGAACTTTTCATGAACTCTATAGAGACCTCTACCTCGAAAATTTGCCTTTTATTATAAGATACAATATGGCGATAATGTCAAGCTTTTCCATTTTTTCTAGTCAATTGTTTCAACTACATGCAATGCGAAACCATCGCCATAAGCGATTGATCTGGGAGAATTTTAAGAATGAAAGTGCTAATAACACGAATTTCCGTTTTTTATTAGACACATTTCTATAATTATGATATGAATTTAATTTGCAAAATTGTTTTCTACTGTTATCGAGTCTAAATGGTTATTGAGTTGTGGCGTAATAGTTAAACACGTACATTCAACAATAGCGTATTTGATAATAGCTAAAAAACACAGAGGAAAACGCGATGTTCCTTCTATTTGTGTTCGTGTATTGTACTTTTGGGCCACCGTAGGAGAGTAGCAAGTGAAAAAACAAAAAAATAGATGCATTAATATATGTCGTGACTTTAAAACTATATAAGAGTACAAGTAACAATGTAGGAGAACAAGTAGGACATGTAGGAGTACAAGTAACAATGTTGGAAACAAGTAGGAACATGTAGGAGTACAAGTAACAATGTAGGAAACAAGTGGGAACATGTAGGAGTACAAGTAACAATGTTGGAAACAAGTAGGAACATGGAATATAACAATGTTGGAAAACAATTAATAATGTATAATAAAATGGAAAATGAATGAATTTTTGTAAGAACATGGAAAATTGGAGGAAGTAATGTGGAGAACAAGTAGGAACATGTAGGAGTACAAGTAACAATGTAGGAGAACAAGTAGGAACATATAGGAGTAGAAGTAACAATGTTGGAAACAAGTTAGTCCATGGACTCGAATATTGAAGGACCATTAATGCATCTGATTCTTAACTACGAAAAAAATGATGTGCTTTATTTTACTATGGAAAAGAGTATGCTTTATTTTACAACAATTATTTGATTGTTACATAGTAGAACTTCAACATCTGCCATAAGCGAACCTTACTTAGGGGTCTTTGCCAGCAAAATATTGCCTGGACACCATGTCGTAATCACAAGAATATCCACTTATGCATTGTGGTTCGACCGTGTTTTCTTGCAAATATATAACAAATGTAAAATATTATGAATGCTTCATGCCAAATAGTTTTGATCATAAGTTATTTGTTGTTTGAGATTATTGTTACGTCGGAACAAATTTTCAACTCCAAATCATCAACATATGCGATGACATATAACTGTTTAAGGTTGAAGACGAATTTCATAAAGACCTGAGAAAGACAATTCAAGAGTATAATACTGACGTGGATGGAGTGACTGATGCCTGGGACTGGGCTCAAAAAAAGGTACGTACATGCATTACTTCATTTAAAACAAGATTCTGGTCTTCTTTATATTCTTCTATTTGTTATCGAGAAAACATATATTTCTTATACAAACTGGATGAAACTATAGTTTTTGTGATTTTTTTAAATATCACTATATATATTTACGCTCTGCTCTCGCGCATCGAGCTCTGTTTCACGGAGAATCATCACACAAAAACTTCCTATATTTCTTATACATATATACAATAATTTCTCAAAATGTCATTTTTGATTAGAAATGCATGTTGTTTTTAATGAAGATATATATAAAATTACAACTCTTTTCGTATTTTCTCATTGAACAAAGAGTAATGATAGACATGCTTTTCAATTCGTTGTCAACATTCATGCTTATGTACATCTACGAGTTTGGACAAGTTTGTAAGATAAGGGAACTTTATGGTTTTGTTTTATTTTATACTAACACACTACATGTGTATTTTCCTTCAAAAACATAATGACAAAACATGCGTGTGTAAAATATAATTTGGAGTTTAAACTAGTCACCATTATTGATTTGTTGTATTTATGAAGTTTTTGGTAGTCGGTTAAGATAAAAGTTGAGCACAGGATCATGGTTGGGGTGGTGGTGTTGATGGTGGTAGTGGTTTTGGAGGTGGTGGTGGTGGTGGTGATGGTGGTGGTGATGGTGATGGTGATGGTGGTGGTGGTGGTGGTGGTGGTGGTGTTGGTGGTGATGGTGATGGTGGTGGTGAGTGGTGGTGTGGTGATGGTGGTGGTGGTGATGGTGGTGGTGGATGGTGGTGGTGGTGGTGGTGGTGGTGGTGGTGGTGGTGGATGGTGGTGGTGGTGGTGGTGGTGGTGGTGGTGGTGGTGGTGGTGGTGGTGGTGGTGGTGGTGGTGGTGGTGATGGTGGTGGGTGATACATAATAATATATTCATTCGTGCGCGACTGTTTTGTTTTTCAAGCAAATTGACTTTCAAAAAATGTCAGTCGTGCGCAACTGAATGTATGAATATAACGTTCTAGCTACGGCTCTGCTTGAGCATCGTGAAAATGAATCCTGACACTCTGTGTCAGACAGGCACTGATCTTTTGTGTTGTCCTTGATTTTGCACTTTACAGAATGCAGATCACCAACAGCAAATTTTTTTTACCGTGAAATTCATATAATGCCATTTCAAAATTTAGTTTAAATGCTGTGGTGTCGACAATTACACTGACTGGATAAATGCCACTGGGTTCAATCCAAACGGTTTTCACAATCTTGTACCTGATAGTTGCTGTAAGGAAAGGAAAGAAAGCTGTGGAAATTTTACCAACCTTCCAGATACCGTAGATCGGAGTAAAATTAATGACAAGGTATGCCTTTTTATATTGAAATATTCCTATCAAAAATGGCGGTAAAGCTGTGTGGGGTGAAAACTCATGAAAGTCATAGTTGAGAAGACAACACAAAATGTCTCATTGATTGAACTATATGGCCCAAAATTTGCTTCATTTAGTTATGTAATATGGTGCGTACACCAAACGATTTGACGTGCAAGCTTAATGTATACATAATTCAGTTTTTCAAGTTTTTGGAACTTAATTTAATTTTTACGCGTAATTTTATATGGCTCTAAAATTGTGTTTATTTACAGTAGGTACACGTAAAAATTTTCTGTAAAGAAATTCTCTGACGCACGATAAAAAATTCTTTTCTGATGCAGGGTTGCTTCAAGGAATTAAAAGATTTTATTGAGGAGCACTTGCTTGTCATTGGCGCGTCTGCAGGGGCCTTTTTTCTTTGAGGTAAGACATAAATTTCATTTTATGTATGAAAATAAAGAATGGTATATCTAAACGAAGCAATAAATTATCATGAGCTGCACTAGAAAGAGAATTAACTAAGACTCCTCAAGGAAATGATTTTGCACCTCTGCATAAAACAAAAAGTTGAAGTATTTTTTTTTATTTCAGATAATCGTGATCGTGTTAACTCTTTCTTTATTATGTTGTGGTGGGCCGGGGAAAAATATGTATGTCTGAAGCACATTTCAAAGGGCGCAACAATATAAAACTCTGTATTCGTTTGTTTTATCTTACATTAGAAGTTCATGGAAGTGAACAGTTTATGTTAGCATGGATGGTATTTAGAAAGTTTTTTTTGTTCAAATAGCTAGTTGTTTCGATCTGATAGCTATTGATGAATCAACACTATTTTGATTCTTGAACCAGTTTTTTGTCCAAAAATCGAACTTTTCAACCAGCAGTAGTCCATAGTAATAGAGATTGTAAACAATTTAATCCATATATAGTTGAAAAAAAATTTCGATCTTCCCACGTTTGAATGCATACATATTTACTTTGTCACTGAAACTATTTTAACTACTTTAAATATTCACTTGCATGAACTGTTTATACATACGAAGACTATATATTCCGTAACTACACGTATCTTTTCTTGATTATTTTATGCTAAATACAGTACAGTACACCACAGTAATGAAATGGCTCAAACTAAGAATAAATAATGTACAACACTCTTTTTATAAAACATTATTGTAAACTGCAGATGATTATTAATTTGGATCTCTTCAACAATGGCGAAAGATAGTAAATAATTTTTCTCTTATACATGTATGACCAAACTTTTGCTTCAAATTTGTTCAAATTGTCCAATTTTTTGAAGAGCTGTTCCTTGCTTCCATCTCGTACGCCAGAAATAAGTACATTATGAAGAAGTTGATAAAATGCACAGTTTTGCTTCCATCTCGTACGCCAGAAATAAGTACATTATGAAGAAGTTAATAAAATGCATAGTTTTACGTTTCTTTTCATTCTGGTATTTTTCACTGCTTACTGTTTGAATTTTCAGTGAAGCGCAAGAAGTACTAAGAAAACGAAGGTCGCCCAAAGTCACGTGGTTACTGCCTGCATTTACCGCTTCTCTGAGTATTAAATCCTGAAATGGTTTTACGTTTCTTTTCATTCTGGTATTTTTCACTGCTTACCATTTCACGAATGACAACAGCTCTTGAGTTTAATTCTCTTGTTTGGAAGCATTTTTATATTTGTGGAAGAAATCGCTAAAAAGAACGCTAAGCGCTAAGCGTTCCATGTAAACTTCCCATTTCTTCTCTTGCATAAAGAATTCAGCATTCGACTTAACAAAAAGACAAAATTCGTAAATCCCAATAACACTACAGTGTGTTCCAAAAAGGTCGGAATTCAAATATTCCTGGATAAATGACTTATAAGTAGATTAGAATTAATATATGAAAACAGGTAATTCATGCAAACACTGAATTGATTAAAACAAAAAATACAATTTCGGCGCCATTATAGATCTGAAAAAAAGACCAAAGACATGCTCGTCACTACCCTGAGTTACCACATGCAATGCGTGAATTGAGTACCTTTGGTTACTTTGACTATACTTTCGACTATGAAATGACTAATTTTTCAAATGTCGTGTTCTACGAAATGAGAACTTTGTCCTGTGAAAAGGTTGAGACAAAGGCAGACAATCACATTGAGGTAGACATAAAGGTAGACACAAAGGTTTGGAATGACGATCATTAAAATTGACGACAGGAAAGGTAAAAAAAGGCTATGAAAATAGTCTTTTCACGATACTCTTGAATGGAGAAAACTAATTAAGGACATGCGCGTCATGACCCAAATTCACCACATGTCAATGGATGCTATTGAACTTACTTTGTTCCATTTGTTTCTTCATGGTAAAGTATTAATTGCTCAGAGTGCGACGAGCAAGCTCTTGCCTTTAGAGTTCTACTATTGCTATGATTTTGTCGAAGGCTTAATTTTAAAACACGTTATAAACTAAAACCTTTTAAAATGGAAGGCAATAAATGTTGTTCTGTAGAAGCACTTGATATGTTATCATTTATAGCATCTCGCTTTGCTGAGGGATACAAATAATTGTTTCGTGATGACTACTTCTTGGGTTCAGGATCTCTTCATATTCTTTAGTTTTTTATATTTCAATAATACGTTAATAACTAAGGATAAAATCATGGCTAAGGTAATTGAACCTTCTCTGGTTCAAGACCACTTTAAATATTTGTACTTCAAAGTTAAAAATAGGGACAAATATGCAAGGAACATGTTGTATTCATCGTTGAGTTCCTGGCTCAACACGCTCTGTCTGACCTCCAATGCACGAGGTCCTTGGTTCGTCTCAGTGTCGTTGTCACTTGTCTGTTTGAGTATTAAGTGCACGGTTGAGGCTTGGAGGGGATGTGAAAGGGCGTTCGGTTTGCCTTCTGTTAATATAATTCACTCATTTTTAAACAGTTTCACGACAAAAATGTTATTCATGCGTTTTTTCACATTTTCACGCAAATAATATAATCTACATATTTTTCATATTCTCACCAAGAGACTATCATTCACATATTTTCACACATTTTCTTGCAAAAAATAAAATTTATGCATTTTTTTCACATTTTCACTCAAAAAAATATATTACACAGATTTTTTCATATTTTCTCCCAAAGACTATAATTCAAGCATTTTTACACATTTTCACGCGAAAAATACAAGTTACACAATTTTTTCGCATTTTCACCAAAAGACTATAATTCAAGCATTTTTACACATTTTCACGCGAAAAATACAATTTACACAATTTTTTCGCATTTTCACCAAAAGACTATAATCATTTTCACTTTTAGGCATTTTAAGGCAAAAAAATTAATTAACTCATTTTTTCATATTTTTATCAAAAGACTATTATTCACTCATTTTTGCACATTTTCATGCAAAAAATAAAATTTACGCATTGTTTTACTTTTTTTATCAAAAGGCTATAAGTTTAATATATGCATTTTTTCATTATTTTCATATTTTCAAATACGTTCATTTTCATAAAAATCATAAAATAGTTATACTTTGGTGAAATTCTTTTTCACAACCATGATTTTGCTGTTGGTATGATGGTTTATGTGTTATC